GTTGGCAAGTACAAGGTATGATGCGAGGTTAAATAATAATATTTAATTTTATTTAAAATATACATTTACATTACAAGGTGAATAATGAAATTTATGTTCAAAGCCTACAGTGGAAAGGCCCATATCGAAAGCCCGCGAAGAATGCGACCGATATAACGGGCCACCACTTACGGAAGCCCAAAAAGTTTAATAATAATAATAAAAAACCGCAACTACTCCGTAATGGAGTCATATTTTCCTCGTTGAGAGTTGAGACTTAAAGTCAGCCAGCAAATACTGAATTATTCTTCCTTGTTTCAGTCTCGAGTTTCTCGTCAGGTTCGTCACGCATCTACACATACAGGCTTCGTGATATCTGTATCTGTATATTTATTTGTGTGGATATGCTTTGATTTATGCAGAAATCTTCTGATATAGATTTTATTTTTATGATATAATCATCAGATCGGCGCTAACCTCTTTGATTCGTCGAGTTTCTTCTGATCGATGGCTTCCAAAAGGATCCTGAAGGAGCTCAAGGATCTCCAGAAAGATCCTCCTACCTCTTGCAGCGCTGGTATATATATATGTTTTGTGTGTTCATCTTTTAGTAATTTGTTTTGTACCTATATGGATTTTTTGTTTTTGTTTCATGTGTTCGTTGAACAAAATTGGATTTTGTCACTGTTTTGTTTTATGAACGATTGAAAGGCTCTGTTGGCCGATCTATCTATTCAATTGTGATTTGAAGACTCTGCTTTGGGTATTTGGCAGCATTTGTGTTATTGCTGTATGGGTCATTGTTTTAGTGGTGTTATTCTATTGCATGCGTAATTTTTGTGCTCAATAAGAAATCAAAGGGTTTAACTTATGTGATGTAATTTGGGTTGGGTGGGTTTTTTCCTTTAGATTGCCATAAAAATGTGTATGCAACCTCTAACACAAGTTTTTTTTGCTGCAAGTGTTCTGAGCAACACTTGCAGCTCCTCATTCTATGAGGATAATAACGTAATCAACCTTATCAACAGAACGGCAGGTGTTCCTCATTCTATGAGGACAATAACATAACAAAAGTTGCTCAGATAGGCATTATCATGATGATACTACAGACAAGCATGGTTACTTGTAATGAAAAAAAATTCAATAAACACAAAACTGTTGTCTCAAGTTTTTTTTTTTTTTTTTTTTTGGTACACGTTGTCTCAAGTGACAAGTTTTAAGCCATGCTAGAAATTGTGAAGGTTGATTGAGTTTGGGAAATTAAGCTTAAACACTGTTGCAAAGCTTGGCCTAGGCACTAGTTGCCCCTAGGCTGAGACTAAACAGGTGCTAGTCACCAATTTATTTGGTTAGCTGACTCAGCCCTCAGCATCAGCTGAGTCGGCTGATTAATTTTTTTTTTTTATTTAGGTTTGTTTCACTAAAACGGCGTCGTTTAGCGTGAAACAAACCTAAAATGTAATGGGTAATGTTGCGGTATCACACATCAAAACTAAAATCAGATCGCACAACATTCCCAAGTAGAAACTAAGAAACCTCAAACCTAGAACCTGGAACCTGATGCCATTGCCTTCCGCCCCCCAAATCGCTCTCGCCTTTCACTGCTTAGATGCCATCACTGGCCAACCATTGCATCTAATCGACGGATTGAGATGACTCAGACGAGTAAGAAGCCCATCACCGCAGCCTGCAGCTCACCATCGCCCATTGCCTAGTTGCCACTTGGAAGTATGAGGTTTTACCGTTTTCGACATTCCCTTTTGGCTTCAATGCCTTATATGGCTACTATCTGAGACTTTGATGAGTTATATGCGTTATATTCCCTTTTGGCTTTAATGCTAGGGTTAGGAAATGATTTTAATTTATAAAAAATTCACTATATAACTATTTAACATTTTTTTACTAAGGCACCTAGGGCCCATCCACCGCCTGTTGGGCGCCTACCAAGTTCCACAACACTGAACTAAAATATACTGTCTTGGACCTCTGTATCTCATCATTTTATTTATTCATTCCGTTGATTGTTGACCTTAATCTATTCAGGCTGATTGGGTCATTCTGAATTAATTACGTGTGGAGTGGCGTCATTGGAATTAATTTTCCCTTTCTGTCCAATCAAAGTAGCATGATTTAATAATGAGTACCAGAAGACGCTAATAACATTTATTTTTGTGTTGTGTTATTTGCTGAACAGGACCTGTTGGTGAGGACATGTTTCACTGGCAAGCAACCATAATGGGTCCCCCAGATAGCCCATATACTGGGGGAGTGTTTTTGGTTACTATTCATTTCCCCCCTGATTATCCATTCAAACCTCCAAAGGTAGAAGATGAATTAAAGTTACTATTGATATATATGGCATCTCAATTAGAAACTTACCTTTGTTCTTGGATGACTGAGCTTCTAAACAACTCCAACATGGGGAAGCGGGTGGGCTAGTCTGTTTGATTTATCTTGTAGTTCTTTACTCATATACTAGTTACCAGTTACAGTAAAACTTTTCATATGCATGTGTATTAGTGCTTAACTGCTGATTTGAATGACTTATTAGTCTAAAAAATCTATCTTGTCTAGACAAATTCTCAGCTGTTCTATAATTTCCTAATTTTCAAAGTGTCACATGGAATTTGTTGGAACCGTAGTCTTTGTAGCTGAATTTCATGGCTATGTTGTTGCTTGGCTTCCTGATGTATGAATGTGTTGTGCAGTGTGCTGTTAACAGATGAAAGATCTAAAATAAAATAAGGAGAATTGTGATAATCATAGTTGATCTCCACTAACACCATGAAAAAGGGATTGTATGTTGGAAACGGGATGTTGTAGAATGTCTAATAATTTCTTAGAAGAAACAGGAGGATGAAATCTTTTTAAGTGAACATAAATAAATTTAAATTCAAGGTTATAGAATGGCAGTATTTCCTATTCTACTAGTTTCTTACAATTATATATTCGTTATGAATTATCTGTTTCCATCCTTTCAGGTTGCTTTTAAGACGAAAGTTTTTCATCCAAATATTAACAGCAATGGTAGCATCTGCCTTGATATCTTGAAGGACCAGTGGAGCCCTGCTTTGACCATCTCAAAGGTTTTGTTAAATTTGATGTTCCTTACTAATTTGCTGAGAACTAATGAAAGCCATCTTGTCATTTAAAAAGACTCCCTAATTCTGAATCAGCCTTCAATAATTTCTTTATTAGCTTTATCTTTTCAATTAACTTCTCTACTGTTACCCTGTGCAAAGACTTGTTAAGTACATCGCCTATTGCTCTCATCCAATTTTCTGCATATATAATCTTCTGGCTCTGAAATTCCTCCATATCTTGTGGCATTTCTCATTCAACCATCTAAGTATCTCACACATTCCATTTCCAATGACATAATGGTAGCTATATCTTTTCTTTCCTGAAAATATTGAACCCTGGCAAGGTTTACATTTCTATTATTTTATATCATGCAAAGATTTGTAAGGACCTGTTTGAATAATCAGCTTAAATATGTGCTTTCAATACACTCAAAAAAGCTAATATATCTTTGGTAAAAATTCCTTTTTCAGCTTATTCTAATAAGTTCCTTGAAATAACTTATGAATAACTATATAAGTTCATATGGTGGTAATATAAGGACCTTATTCCTCGAGTATATGAGCTATTACATCATTTCCTTTTCTATTGGTCTGTTGCACTAGGCACTAGTTAAAACGCTTGAAGTTTAGAGGGGTTATCTTTATGTAGGATCCACAATTCCACATATAATGGTACAGCTTAATAAAATTTTATTGAGCTTGTGGGTTATAGCTCACGTTATGCATTTTAGTTGAGAATTTGCAGTATTATGCATTCTTTAAGATTTGTTGATACTTTCAGGTGCTGCTTTCAATCTGTTCGCTTTTGACGGATCCAAACCCAGACGACCCCTTGGTCCCCGAGATTGCCCACATGTACAAGACAGACAGAAGCAAGTATGAAGGGACTGCCAGGAGCTGGACCCAGAAGTATGCAATGGGTTAAAAACTCAAACTCAACCATTGCTGCATCATCGGTTTTATGTAAAGATATAAATTTGTCGGTCCTATCTATCTACCATTGCAATGGACAAGTGTAGAATAGTGCTAAAATTTGGTCTGCAAATGAAAGATTGTGGTTGGAATTGTTGATATGGACACATATTTTGATGAAAACTAAACTGCAAGTTTTTGGTTTTACTATACTATCCATCCATGAGTTTGAATTTGATGTTAGTTATTGTGATTGCTGGCTTGCTGCTGCATGCTGTCCCTGACTATTAATGGAGAATTGAATTGAGATGAATCTGGAGAGAGGCAGTAAATGTAAATGGAGTACAGACTGGAAAGGTACTCTCATGTTTGACCCTGACAAGTAGTCATCTATCTGATCTGAGGAACAAGTTGGTTTTACTAGGTTGTACGGTGTTCAATGTGACACCGGGCCTGCTGAATCCATTCATTGCGGTCGGTCTATTTGGCTTGGGGGTCAAGCTTTACCTCTTCTGTCTGTACGGTTTCGACTAACTTTACTTTTTCTGTACAGGAAATATTTCATTTCACCATCCTCTCTCTGCTACTTCCTCGAGTAAATCGTGCATTTCTTTGACTCCTACCTTTTTCTCTATAGAAACAATAACCTCTATTAGAAACCCATTATATGTATTTATGGTAAAAATTTAATTTAATTAATTCACCAAATTTGTGGCCTGCCGTTACAGACTGATCTTTTCCTCATTTCAAAAGAAATTGAAGAGGCAGATATATACTTGGTTGACAAGCAAAAAATATTTATTAATTAACGTTGGACTCCCCAAATTTATATTCCATAGATATACGAAGTCTGACGGACTACTTGGCGTCCAAGAATCTGGTCGTGGATTCTAAAACTGATTGCAAATCTCAACCACCCATATTACTATTTATCCTTTTTCGATTATATTATTCATTGTATACCTTCATCCTCAGCTCGTCATATATATCACGAAAAAGAAGAAAAAAAAAAATCAATGCATTAATTATTATTATTTTTAAATAAAAAATAAAAAAATAATATAATGGGGAAAAGGGTAGTACGTATGTATGTATATGTAAGACGAGGCCCTATATAAGTGTGGTGAGTTGCATTTGGAGGAATCTGAGATTGTAGGGGGTAGTTGTTGATCACACGTACAGTCACTTGTGTGTAGGGATCTTTTACTTTTACTACTTCAATTGCATATATATTATATTGACCATCTATCGTTAAAGCCGCTCTTAAATTCAATCTTCAGTTACAGTTTGTGCAGGACTTGTTCTTACGCCATTTTTTGCGTAACTCTCCCATCTATATTCTCTCACTTCATCTTCTTCTTCTTTATGTATGTGAATCCTTAGCTTTCTGTTAGGTTATATCACCAAAAATATAAACGTACAGAAGAAGAAGGGCGAAAGGAAAGATATGGATGGGAATGGTAATCCTGTTAAATACAGGGTTGAGAAGACTGTCACTCTGAAGCAGTTTAAGGGTGGGGTGTGTGATAATATGCCCCGGGTGGTACGGATATCTGTGACTGATGATGATGCCACGGATTCTTCCGGTGATGAGGGCGGTGGTTTCCGGCGGATCATGAAGAAACACGTGAGCGAGGTGAGACTGGAGAGGGGTGGGTTGGTGGAGGATAGGAATGGGAATAGGTATAAGAAAGTGAAAACGGGTGGGAAGAAGGTGGCGCAGGTGGGTGAGGATCAGCAGAAAGGTGGGAGTGGGAGTGGGAGGAAGTTTCGGGGAGTTAGGCAGCGGCCGTGGGGGAAATGGGCGGCGGAGATTCGGGATCCGATTCGGAAAACCAGGATTTGGTTGGGGACTTTCAACACCGCCGAGGAAGCTGCCTACGTCTACGACACTGCCGCAATCGAGTTACGCGGACCCGACGCCATGACCAACTTCCTAACTCCTCCTCTTCCGCCGCCCAGGTCCGCCGTATCCGACTACGACTCCACCGGGGAGTCCGAGGTCCTTCCCGTTCCCTCGCCAACCTCCGTCCTCAGAACGCATACCGCCACCACCGCCGCCGCCGAGAAACAGAACGGAAATGAAAACAAGCAGTGCGGAGTTGAACCGCCGACGACAGAAAATGGAGACGGTGTACTGACGACGAATTGTTGTGTAGAGACAGAGCAGTGTTGTCTGAACGGGGTTTTGGATTTCTGGTCGTCTTCTTCCTTGTTAACCGACTACTACCATTACGGCGACGAGAAGATTCTGCCGGAGGTGAAGATGGAGGGGAGTTTAGATGACATTTCGCTGGATTTTCAGGCTTGTACGTGGGATATGATGTGAATCAAGCATCCTTAATGCTAACTTAATTTGTACATGATGAAAACTCGATCTACAATGTTTTTGTCGCGTCGGGCCAAAATGCTTTACTATTTCTTTATTAATTTATTTATTTTTGCATGACAGCTTCTTTTTGATTTAGAGACCTGGACAATCTAGTATTGTAGTACATATGTAGTGTGTAGCCACTAATCTTCAATTAGACTAGCTAGTAAGCTTTTCTTTAATTTGTTGAAGATGTAAGTTTCAGAATAATAAAATTTAATTTGTTGGCCTGTACTTCATACTTGCACTAAGTTTTATTGAATCATTATGATCTAACTATTATTGAAAATTCTGAAATTTTCGACCACCTGAATCAAGTTGAACGTCTTGTTCCGACAATATTTTATTTTTAGTGTCGGAAAAAATCTTTGTATTTTTGACCACTTTTTACTTTTTAAATTAAGTGGACGGAAATTCCATAATTTTAAGCAGTGAACGAAGCCATTCAATTAACGTACATAAAACGTAATCTTGTGTGTGGCTGGACTTCTCCATTGATCAAAGAGACAAAGAGTAAGAACAATAGTTGTACCAAAGGCAAATTATGCTGTGGAACTGTGTCCACTTGCAAGGTAGGACATAATTTGTAAATATAGAGTTCAAAAATTATGAACATAGTTCTGTAATTGTGAACATAGAGTTCTCAATAATTGTGAATATAAAGTTTAAAAATTATGAATAAGAGTTTAGTAATTATAAACATATCTGTAATTGTGAATATAGATTTTAATAATTGTGAATATGAAGTTCAAAAATTATAAACATAGAGTCTAGTAATTATGTACATAGAACTTAATTATGTACATAGAACTATGTCCACATTAGACACAGTTCCACGGCATAACAATTGTGTACCAAATTGTCCACACAATACTCCTCTCTTCTATGCTAAGCCCAATGGGCCTGGGTATAAGGTCACTGAACTCAGCATGACAGGCCCAATAGGGAACAAAAACATGTTGAAGCAAAAATAGTGGTAATTGGGGCGACAGTGTTCAGCCCATATGTGGAGCATTATGGAATTACGTGGGCGATGATGTCATTGTCGGAACCCAAGTTGTTGGAGTTGTGAATTTTCACAGCCACGCGGTCTCTTGGCGCCGTTAACGTCTGACGTTTGGCTGCCTCGTTTGAACGCCACGAATCGCATCCCTCCCCATCCTCTATTTCTCCATGCAATATTGTTCGTCTGGAAGAAAACCCTAAGAGATTTTATTCCGGTAAAATTGGATTCTTTTATGGTGGTTGGATCATCGTCGACGAAGCAGGGGTTGCCTTCATGGATTGGAGCAACCGCAGCTACCAGAACTGCAACCGCCGTGGACTTGGATAGGAGCTCCCCCGCCGCGTCTACGGCGATGGCTAATGGTGAAGCTCAGCAGTCTCACCATGCCAATTCGGATGTGGATTTGGGTTTTGTGGAGAGGACATTTTCTGCCGCCGGTGCCGCCGTTGTCTCCGCAATCCTCGTCAACCCTCTCGATGTCGCCAAGGTAGCTCGGGTTCATATTCAATTCTTCATTTTCCTACGATAACTAATAGATTGTAGTTTGTTATTATTTGGTTTTCTATGGTACCATTCTTGGTTTCCTTTGGGAATTATATATTAATGTTTTAATTCGGAAAGCTGATCTCAGCTCAGCTTATCAGGTTGCCCTTAAAGCTCAAACTTTAACTATTCCAACTTGAGATTTTAGGAGTTTTATTTATTTGTTGTTGTCAATTGTCATAGTATTTCAATACTTAATTGTATCAAATGCGCTTCTCTTTACTATCTTTCAGACAAGATTGCAAGCTCAGGCTGCTGGTGTCCCCTATGATGGCATTTGTAGGATGGGGTCTTTTGGAGGGCATAGTGTAAGTTTGCAGCTTTTTGTGCTGTTTTGAACATGTTGGAGTTCAACTACAAAGTCCATTCTGTTTTGATACTTAGGATTTTCTTCAAAGTTAGTTAGGGACTGGTATTGTTTGTGTATAATTAAGCTGCTGGAATTTTGTATAGATGTTGGATCTGAAGTGTAACTCCTCCACAAATAATGCAGTTTTTAGAACTGAGATTTCGTGCCCCCCAGATTCTACGCGGTACAAAGGAACACTGGATGTCCTCTCTAAAGTAATACGTCAGGTTAGTAATTTTCATTCTCAATTGTAAGAAGCTAAAGTTGTATGATTTATCACTGAAGTTGAGTCTTAGTTTTTCCTGGAATTCGTCAATGATATGCTTGATCACCATTTGTTATTATTGCATTCATTCTAATGTAATTAATGTGTTTCCAGTTGTTAGAGTAGGACTAAATATATATCAGCTCTGTAACCTAATAGGAACTTGCAGGAAGGATTGGCTAGATTGTGGAGAGGTACAATGGCAAGTTTAGCATTGGCAATTCCTTCTGTAAGTTCTCTCCTTAACAGGATTGTTTCTAGTATTCTGTTGCACCCTTTTTTCAAGGTACTTCCTATGATGTCAGTAACAAGTTCATAGTCAGTTAAATGAATTTCATTCAGGTGGGGATCTACTTGCCTTTATATGACATTTTCCGAAATTCTATGGAAGAGTATACTTTGCATGGTGCACCTATAGTAACACCATATGTACCCTTAGTTGCTGGATCCTTGGCAAGGTCAGTAGCCTGCATCACTTGTTACCCAGTTGAGCTTGCCCGAACACGTATGCAGGTAGGCACCCGTTCTTGTATGAGCAAACTCCTTTTACGGAATTACAGCATTGAAATCTCAATCTCTAGATGGAACGATTTGCTAAATTTTGCTTCATTTAATTGCAGGCTTTCAGAGATGTCCCTAATGGTGTGAAGCCTCCAGGAGTGTTGAAGACATTGGTTGGGATCATTTCGCCTGTCAGAAGTGCAAATGGCCATCAACATTGTAAGTTTTCTCGTAATGTTAATCATCTAATAATGAACTAATCATCCTAACTTGTTGATCATTGCCAGCAATTCAAGTGTACCGCACTCTGTGGACTGGGCTAGGAGCACAACTTGCCCGTGATGTCCCTTTCTCTGCAATTTGCTGGGGAACTCTCGAGCCAGTAAGTGTCAAAAGCCTCTTTGTTTGGCAAATCTACTCCCCACAGGTTTATATTGTATTTATTTCTGTGCAACATGATCGATCCTTGCTAAATATTATTATGTAGGTTAGGAGAAAAGTGTTGGGTCTTACGAGCAATGAAGCAAGTGCAGGCAGTATCCTGGGCGCAAACTTCTGTGGTGGATTCATTGCAGGGAGCCTTGCTGCTGCTGTTACATGCCCTTTAGACGTGGCAAGGACCCGGAGGCAAATAGAGGTCAGTATCTTTGTATTTTATTGATTTGATGTGTTTAAAAAATGATGGTTGAGAAACAAAGAACAAGAAAGGTTCAACATTTCAAAGAAAGGACATTATTAAGACAAGATGCTATTATTACTTTGGATTCTCAGAACGATCCTGAGCGAGCACTGAAGATGACAACCAGAAGAACATTGATCGAGATCTGGAGGTATATCTTGGCTATTCTTTTGTACCCCATTTCCCCTCAATCGATCTCTATGGAAGTCTTTCCTCCATGACAGAAACATCAAGTTAGCTAACGACTACTTGTTTATGAATGAACTAGGGATGGAGGTATGAAAGGATTGTTCACTGGAGTCGGGCCAAGAGTTGCTCGAGCTGGTCCTTCAGTTGGAATCGTAGTTTCCTTCTATGAGGTAGTGAAATATACATTGCACAACAGATAATATACACTGACAACGTAACTCGTTTGGGATATGGATATAGCTAGCTTACATTACAGTCTGGTTGAACAACATACAGAAACAGCTAATCAAGAAAGCCAAATTAGGCAAAACAAGCAATTTGTATTTGGATGCCGCCCACTCTCTCTTGTACCCATTCTTTTCTTTTCAATACAAAATAGCAATATATATATATCATTAGGATAAGAACTAAGAAGAATGTGTTTTTCATGTATACACGACTCAAGGCCGGCCTGTTGGGGCAAGAATGATGAAATAAGCAATGCAATTCTTTTGGTCTATTTTTTTCCGATGTTATCTGTGCACTCTGTATAGACAGACAATCATCTCTGTCACGTTTTGTTGTTTGATTCATAAAACATTTGCAGACAGCATGCTTTAGTTGTCGCACGCAACCTAAGAATTGAAACTCCACAAGATTCAATCTCTTTAGATTTCGGACTTCCCCATGATATATAATTGTAATGCCTTCCTTGTGGACTCTAAGAATTCACTTATTTTAACAAACAAAAACTCCCTTCCTTTATCATACGCGTCTGTCTCGCCGCCGCCTAGCTACAACGGCTTAGATTTGACCACCGTGAACTATTTTTTTAAGTCTAGAAAATTAAAGGAGAATTCTTCAACATACGTTTTTTCTGACCTTCTGAAATACAAAGAATTCTTGATCAAATTAAAGAAAACTTGGATGGCTTCTTCAATTCACGCATCATATCATATCAACCCAACCTTAAACATACATACCTAAATCAACAGTACACATCATTTAAGGATGTTTCTTACTATATATATATATATATATATATATATATATATATATATATATATATATATATATGGGATTTTATTATGAAACTACATAGAAATAAGATGGCAATGCAAGCACGTACTTATACTAGATACTAGATAGTTTAAAGCGAATATAATTAAGATGAAAAGGACCAAAGAAAAGCTCCCATGGCGAACTTTCTTTTGTGGTTGACATCTCCCTGGACAGGCAGACCGTACTCGATGAGCAGGCAGTCCAGCTTCCACTCCGGCATGGTTTCGTATTCCGCCCGCGTGTACCTCGGGTAGTGCAAGGGCATCTGAAACCCCACGTTTCCGCACCGCTCCCTTCCATTTCCGCCGCTGTCAGGTGGCGTTGGCCGTGCCATGGACTCCATTCCTCCACCACTCATATATTCAAGTTTGTATATGTATGTATGTATGTATGTGTAAAGCTGGCTAAGCTAGCTGGGTTGATTGCCTATGAACCCCTATTTATAGTAGTAGTGAAGGACAAGCATGCATTATATTGTCCATCGAGGTGGTTGAGGAATAATGTAACGTTTGAAAATAGCCAAAGGCTGTTTCTTTCAATTTTATTAATTTTCCCTTGCAATGTGGTTTGAGTGTTGGTATCCAACTTTGTTATTTATGATCAGCTTTATAATTTCGAGGGTCAGGATTGTTTTTTCCAACAATAAGTATATATACAATACACGTACTCAAAAAGACTGTAATATATATAAGATCATAAATCCATAATCATGGTTTGTTTTAATTAAAATTGTAAGTATATGTACAATGAATTATGCACCGATATGATATATTTTATATTTTTCTTATTATTGAAAAATGTACTTGTTTTACATGATTCCTAATCATGATTTGCTTTGATTATTGGAAGATTATTTGAATATAAGCACTTGTGCACATAGCTTAAGGTTGACAACAAAAGTGGGTGTTAAATCATCCTTAATTGTCTTCATCAAATATAATTCCTTGTAGGTTAAGATTAAGTATATTCTTAATTGCCCCTAGCATCACTTAAATGTTAGCCACATATCTAGAAACTACTGTTTAAGTCAACAATAAAACCATAGATCAATGTCCAGAAATGTACCAGAAAACCATATGAAGAAGAAGAGGGCTAGGAGCATTGAATGCCATGGAAAGTTTAGTTGATGATGTCTCACCTGCCATAACCCCACAAGTCATCTATCTTTGATGGGGGCGACCAATTTGGACATGGCAGGCAATCCAGGCATTCAATAGTTCTCGAAAGAACACCACATTTTGGTGGCCATTCATTTGCTGCCACTACTTCTAATAATAATAATAATAATAATAATAATAATACAGCCCGCATGAGCAGCTCAGTTGATCATAGGGATAAACTTTGAGAAGAATGCGGCAGTGTGGAAACAACCTCTCAAAGTGTCTAGCCTCTGTGGTCCAGTTAAGTTACCATGATTTTCATCCCCCAAATGCTCTGTCGGGCCGGGGTGTGGGAACCCTTGGATTAGGGAAGAATAATAATGCAGTCATCAATACAGCAGTACCTAGTTTTGATATATGTTGAAGACCACAAATGGTGGCTTCCCATTGCCCACCATTGTCGGCAGTTGAAGGTGGCAGTCACTGCACACATATCCTCACAAGATTCTCTAACAATGTTTAGCTCTCTCTCATGCCAATAATTTCAGCCAAATAATACTTACAACTGTGCACAACAACAAATCCTCAGCCACTCTTTCTTTCTTTCCATTGCAAGATGAGAAAAAAAGATTATTATGTTTTCAAGAATTGCAGAATTTGAATTAAATAATGAAGCTGTATGTATGTTCATCTACAATGATCATTAATATCGACAAAGAAATCCAGCACTCATCTAACTTAATGCCTTTCCTTAAAGATTCCAAAGAAGAAAAGGATTCAATCAAAATATTAAATGCAAAAGTGGTAGCAGGAAAACAGCTGTAATCAATGTAATAGTAACTGTTGTGTAGGGACCAGACCTTCCTGTTCTGCAGATTCTGTCTCTCTGTTGCCCTCTCTAAGCAAATGAGCAGTATATAAAGGACCACCACATTCTGCAATTCAGTAACTGAATGCATAATACTTTTATGAGGCTACTCTTATAATTGCGGTTTTGTTGAAGCAGGGTCAAGTTATTTTACAGAGAAAAAAAAACCCACTCCAACTACCATACAACTATCTTTCCTCTAGGGGGAGACCTACCCTGTTGATTTTTATGCGGTGAATGTCAATGTCAATAATTGAATGTGAATCTATAGATGTCTGTGTAAGAAGTTAAACCTAGATTGGAGCTAAAACTTCATGCTGATATCAAGATATATTATCACTTAAGTGTGCACTATACATCACGAAACTGTTCTTCGATCCACAGAAACTTCAGTCAAGTTCTCTGGGGCATCTTTTGTTGTCAAAGGCAAATCCACTAGCGTGTTAGGAGGAGCAAAATACATATGTAGTGACATCATGCAGATTAAAATACCCAAAAACAGCTGCAATGGAAACAAGATAAATACAATATGCATTAGTAGGAAGTATTTCTGTCCACAGAAATAATGATCTGAAAATGTTTTATCAAATATTAATTAATGTTATATACTCGGAAAGTCAGAAGCTGGAAGCTGCAGGAGCGAAACTATATGTAATTCTCAATCCTTTAAAAAAAATTATTTAAATTATTGTTCTTCCAATGTTTCAAAAATATTAAAGGGTAGTAAATAGAAATTTTGACAGATGAAATAAGTTATTGAAATACGTGCATATGCTATGTTCAAGGTTGAAGTTGAGGAGCAATACAAGGGAAGGAAAAATGAAAAAGAATAAAGTAAGCTTACTTGCACTGTTGGCTTGAAATCGAATAGGAACACTGATAATAACATTGTTAAAAGCATTGCCATAGATGTGGAGTATACCTTCAAGGGAAAAAGAACATGCAAAATCTCTGCTTTATATTTGGTAGAAATTTTAAAATTAGGATAAAGCAGGCAGATTATAATCATCACATGCAAACTTCTCGACCAAGTTCATGTTATTCTAACACAAACAATGATTTGTTCACTGAACTCTGATGTAAATACTAGGGCGAAAGGGCACTATTAATTCTGTGTAACTTTGAAAATAGAAAACTAAAGAGTGTCATCTCAATAACTATTTGACAATCAGCAAATACTTTTCCCTAGGAACCAGACTTTCCCCTTCATTTCTCATTCCAATTATCATAAAAGACTCAAGGCCAGGAGCAAAAATAGCTAGAATTAGCATAAGAATGAGAAAGCAAATAGACTGACTTCAAAGAATTGTAAACTTGGTCCCAAAGTGTTACAGGGTAATCTATCTTAGGATCCCTGGCTTCATAGAGAAGCCGTAAGCCCTTTTACCACTAAGCCAATCTCAAATAAGAAAGCAGGAAGCAGTCTAAACTCTAAAGAAACCAAGGAAAGAGAAAAAAAAAAAAAGGGATCATACCTTCACAATATTGTCAGCATACTTCATTAACCATGATACAAGAAGCCCAGTTGTTCCCAGATTCAAAACCACCAACCATGTTGTAATACTGTACCCATTAAAAATGCGTTGCCACCATGCTCCTCTTTCAAACCCGCTTTTGAAATCATCAAGGAGAAGTCGTCCCATGTTGAATATCGAGCCAAATCTGAAAATAAAATATACTATTTTGGATCAATAAGCTGATCTATGGTTCACAGGCCTATAGCGATATAATGCAATTTGATCATCTTACTAAGTCATCAACCCTTGTTTGTTTTTTTTAGATTTTGTGCCTTTTTCCCTTTCAGCAATGGGTGATGGAAAGAGTCACAACAGTATGTATGTAATACATGGATAATATTACACTAATACATCAGTTCAGGTTGACTAAACATGCTACATGCCCATTCACTATTATATGGAGTACACTGCATTTCATCATATAAGGAACTTACGTATATAATTGGACATTCTGCCAGTATAAACTGTCATTGTTCTTTTTCATCAAGAATTCAGTGTAAACACCGGCTAAGGCTGAAAGACAAGCAGACAACACCCCCAACATATATCCCTGAATGGGTGATGTAAACATTGAATTGCAAGAAGCCTCTCCGCAGCCTTTCACCTATATCAATACGAAATAAACAAGCCATTGTGAGAGCAATTATGTATTTATGTCTTATATTTCTTGAGTTGCTAAATTAAGCTAGAGGCATGCATAATGTATTCAGAAAGAAACAACTGCATGGATAAAGAGGTTTGAAAGGTCATGAGCTCCATACAAGGTTGAAGCCTAGTATCTATCCCCATCCACAACTGATATACTCGTAAACCTTCCCTACCCCCAATCCCCCACAAAAAAGGGAGGGATAAGTTGAAAATCGAATAGACTCATGAAAATTTTCACACATGTGATATGTCAACTCACATTCTAATGTTATTGATGAAATATCACATTAAAGTCAAAACACATTTTCTAAATACAACAGCTTTTTTTTTTCCTCAATAAAATGATAACTATTCTCTTTAATTTTGCATTCCTAGTTTCTTTATGTGATACGACTATACGAGTAATATTTATTCAAATTATTGTTCAAGTCTCTAGAAAGCGGTCAGGGTAGCTCACAAAGCATAGTACAAAGGAAGTACAGAGGTAAAAGGATTGCAGCAGTACCTGGCTTGTGGTTGTTCCAACAGCCAATAATACAATTGCCATCCACTGCAAATTAGAAAGCTTCCTCTTCAAAAAGAGCCTAAAAAATTCAAATATCTCCTATTTTATGAAGAATCAAGGACAAAATGCATAATGGAATAATATCCAGTGAAAGGAGGCAAATTTAAAGTTGAATGGCAGTGTGAAAAGAGGATTAAGGTTACACCTTAGATGAATACATATAAACTAAAAAATGCAGTACCTGAATAATATTCCAGTGGTAACAATTTTCAAGTTTCCCATTATCTGGTAACTTGATGTATCCACGTAGGTCAAAGTAGCGAATTGAATGTTATTGTGAATAAGGTAAATGATAGATGGAATTGGGTACAGGCGAATGCTCTTCCATTCCGTGGTCATTTTTGGAGGAGGTGAGTTTTTCATCTCTCTTGATAGGAAGATACTAGATACAAGAAGCTGCATTTAAAACACAATGCATTAATAAAGAAGAACCTGAATAAATCAGACAAATCACCCCTCTCCTCTCTCTAACAAAGAAGTTAAGTAAGCACAATTAAATAAGAATAATCATCTGATACCATTTTGGCTGCAAAAACATTTAAAGCTATTACCTTGAACACTTCAGCAAGAAAAGGAACTGTCGCATAGTCATATTTATATCCTCCATTACTTTGAGATAAAGTCGTCAAAATTCCCTGCCGCATATGATGCAAATTCAACATGTAAATCCAAACAGAGCGACGAAATCCACCTCAACATTAGAAGGTACAGAAAATGATCCTTTAAAGAAGAGCTTCCATGATTTTACTATCCAATATACTTCATAAATTTAGAATATGAAGAATGCATATACTCCGAAATCCGATCAAAAATCAGAAGAAGAAGAAGAAAACGAAGTGAAATTACAGCATAAGAAGAGAGGTGAAGGCTTTAAGACAACCTGCGAGCTGGTGAGAACGGTGAGAAGCGAAGCGACGACGTACCACCGCATCTCGTCGCCGATCTACTTTGCTCTTTGCAATCTGTTAACTCACTCCGACTGTGTGAATCTGTGGAGTAGAGTTTGCCGATCACTTCACAGTTTAGACCCCTCAATGTTTTAGTATTTTGCAAACACCCTCTCTCCAGATCTAGCTTTAAATTTACGGCCCTTGTTTTCACTAATTTACTTATTTACATACTATCAAGTATCAACATACGAGTGTACAAATTAGTCAGACTAAAAAATAAAAAATAAAAAATTATGCACTCAATTTATAAATTGCAAAAATAAATTAAATTAGGAAAAAAAAAAAATAGACCATCAAACTTTAGCTGAAAAGTCACTCCTTAAACTTTTTAAAGAATCAATTACACCAATCAACAATTTATTTTAATGCAACGAAACCCAAAAACTGAGTAATGGCCTGCTATCACAGGTCGTTAGGATTTCGACAACTTGATGACGAGATTCCGGCGAAATTTCAGGCAACAAAGTAACTGGTGATCAGAGACCGGCGAACGAACGGCTGTCGGTCATGGAGAAGGAGACCAAGGTCGCCTTCTCCGGTGAGAATGCAACCTTGGTCTCCTTCTCTATGAACGGTTGTCAGTCACTTTGTTGCCTGAAATTTTGTCGGAATCTCGTATGTAGGTTGTCAGAACCCTAATGGCCTGTGATTGCAGGTCATTAACCGATTTTTAGGCTTCATTGCATTAAAATGAGTTGTTGGTGGGTGTAATTGTATCTTTAAATTTAGAGAGCTAATTGACTTTTCAATTAAAGTTTGAGGGCTTATTTGATCATTTTCTTAACGTATATGGATTTGCATGAACCTACATTATAGTATTATTTTGTACATTGTATATTGATAGTTGATACACAAAATCAATCAAGAAATATAATAGATTAGACAAAAGCGTGACGTATTAGAGTAACACATTAATACATTATACACGATCCAAAAACAAATATTTATTTAGTTATTATGTTTAGATTGTACCCAATATTTGGAGAAATGTTTCCATACAACAAATCTGATACATCAACATAACCAACATTTCTAGAAATGTTTTCAATTGGGACATGGTCTAAAAATGTAGATTAGATGTTGGTTGAAGAAATTGTGCATGCATTTGATTTCACCATGCTTTTTTCCAGAGAAGGAGAGATGTATTTGCTAGATAAATGATCTGGGCACTGCATTTAATTCACTGATCTGACTATGCCCATCGTTCATTGGTGAGTAGTTTCATCTCAAGATTCAATTTTTTTTTTAAAACAAAGCAAAAAACTGTGATTGATTCAAATCAACCAAAATCTTTGTTTTTGGGCATTTCCAGATTGAGATTTCTGGTGTGATTAAGGGAGGGTTATGGAGCAATTTAGGCAGATCGGAGAGGCTGTAGGAAGTGTGAAGACATTGATGGTTTTCCAGGATGACATACAAGTGAATCAGAGGCAATGCTGTTTATTGGCAGATATGCTGGAGTGTGCATATAATACAACTGCAGAGTTGATGAAACAGAATCTGAGATATGAAGAGAAGAATTTGAAGTGGAAAATGGTTGAGAACCCATTGAGAGAGCTCCTGAGGGTGTTTAAAGAAGGTGAAATGTACATACGATTTTGTCTGGAGACGAAGGATTTCTGGGCAAAAGCCATTAGTATGTATCAGAACAGTGACTGCATAGAATTCCATGTCTACAACCTTCTTAGCTGCTTTCCCATTGTGATTGAAGCAATTGAGATTGCTGGGGAGGTGTCAGGTTTTGACCATGATGAGATACAGAAGAAGAGGATCATTTATTCACTGAAATATCACAAGGAATGCAAAGATCCAGGAGTTTTCAGTTGGAAATTTGGGAGACAGTACCTGGTTTCTCCAGAATTGTGCAACAGGATAAGTTCAGTGTGGGATGAAGACAGATGGGTCCTGAAAAACAAAGTCCAGGAGAAGAAAAGTTGGGGGCGTTCTTCGTCAAAGCAGGAGCACCGGCTCGCTGATCTCCTGTTGAGCAGGTTGGAGCCATTACCCGACACTGACAAGCTCCTCTTGCCTAGCTCAACTTTACTCGGGTCCAAAGACTACCATATCAAAAGGCGGTTGGAAAACGCGACCCAATACAAGGAGGTTCAGTGGCTCGGGGAGAGCTTCTGTCTAAGACACTTCTTCGGTGAGATTGAGCCGTTGATCTCAGAGATTTCTGATGAACTAGCGCTCACGCACCCCAACATAATGCACATGTTTTGTGGGTTCACAGATGATGAGAAGAAAGAGTGTTACCTTATCATGGAACTCATGAATAGGGATCTATCCAGTTATATTAAAGAGGTTCTTGGCCCAAGGAAAAGAGTTCCATTTTCTCTCCCTGCTGCAATTGATCTCATGCTTCAAGTTGCAAGAGGTATGGAGTATCTACACTCAAAGAAAATCCCTCATGGGAATCTAAACCCTTCAAACATCCTTGTCAAAGTCAAAAGTAGATACATGGAAGGCTACTTACATGCAAAGGTTTCTGGATTTGGGATTAGCCACAACAGGAAACCTCAGGCAGAAAATCAAAATGGGCCACTGAGTTATATCTGGCATGCACCAGAACTTCTAGCTGAGCAAGAAGAGCCAGGGAATTGTGGGGGTTTCTTCAAGTGCTCAGAAAAGTCCGATGTGTACAGTTATGGCATGATTTGCTTTGAGGTTTTGACAGGGAAAGTCCCATTTGATGACAGCCATCTCCAAGGAGACAAAATGAGCAGAAACATAAGGGCGGGCGAGAGGCCATTGTTTCCATTTCCTTTACCAAAATACATGACCAGCTTCACAAAGAAGTGCTGGCATAGTGATCCAAACCAACGGCCTAGTTTCTCGTCTATCTGCAGGATTCTTCGCTATATAACACGGTTCATAGTCATGAACCCAGAACTCACACAGCCCGAAGCACCCATACCACCGTTAGACTATAGTGATATCGATGCAGGGGTCTTAAGGAGCTCTTCAGAGACACTGTCTGTATCACAAATTCCCTTCCAGATGTTTGCTTATAAAGTGGCAGAAAGGGAGAAAGCAACTGCAAGTCATCATCACAGGGAAAACTCTGAATCAGGAAGTGATGTTTCAGCTTGTGGAGATGAAATTATAATTGGAGACGACCCGCCCCATTCACCTAGTCATGATACAAAGTCTGTTGTTAGTTGTCCAGACATCCTCAGCAAGAAACATTCACCATCAATTCGAACTACTGTAGACATCAAATTACTCAAACAGAAAGGTAAAAACTTTCTTCTACTCTACAAAAACGTACTCCTGTCACAGGAGACAACTTTAATTTGTTCAAGCCACTAAAGACCAAACAAATCCCATGGGAAAAAACAAGAAAAGATAGTATATATATATAGTCACTGTTATTGCATGCCCACAGGTTTTAGAACTAACAGTAATTCTGTGGTTTAAACACTATATATAGGAACACCAAGGGGAAGGTCAGTTACTTCAATCAGGCCTCCACAAATGAGTCGACATGGACGTGCTAAGAGGATGAACTCCGAAAGTCAGTTGATGGTTATGAGTCCAAGATCACACAGAACGTCTGGTCACATGTCAGATTCTGATCTCCCCTAAATCTGCTACTTGCAAGACAGCAATCCAACCTATTTCATCAAGTGGAAAATGCCAACTTTATAGCTTAGTGTCTGGTTAAGTTTAGGGAATATTTAGGTTAAATGATTGACACAAATTTACAGATGTATAGATAAAAATGAAATACAATATAGTGCTTTTGCAGGATTGTTGGCCTTTCCTTCAGTTAAATGACTTGTTTTTCATCAAGCTATGCCTATATATGTATATATATGCATGAAGTTTAACTATAAAGTTTCCCAACTAATCATGTGCATATATAAACAAACACATTTATATCCATACAATCAATAGATAAAAGTTAAAATTTTCATTCAAGAGTGCTGTTTAAGGTTGCTGTTGCTTTAACATTCCTACAAAGACAATTGAGTAATACATAAAAAGCATCAAATTTATGAATTGGGTTTAGTGGAGAAGCAGATTATGAACAGAGAATAGATTTCAAACACTGAATTTGAATTAGTTCTGCTTTACAATCGATCAAAAGTGCAAGAATGCAAGAACATCTTGAATACAGACATCATTTGGTAAACAAAAATACTGATCTTATACTCTAGACTTTAGACATGTAGAATTGAAAGAGTTCTGGAGGTCACATGTAATGGAAGTCCTTGCAATGCAAAGCTCCAAAGACTTTCAGTTTTATCTGCAGAAATACGCATTATAGACTGCATACAAATACAGAATGTTAGTGATGACCAAATGGAGTAAGGAAGACATTATTTTTCAAGAAATGAAGGTAACCATACCTTAACTACAAAAATAATCTTGGAGAGCAGCTCTCGTTTTTCACTTGTAAATCCTTCTTTATTCCCGAAAACAAAACAGTACAAAACAGATGGCTGCATTTCTTCACATATCACTTACGTCTCTTCCAGCTTCACAATAAAAACATCTAGGAAAAACTCCAACCTGGTCTTAAGGAGCATTTTACAGAAGAGACGACAATGAAGCGGTCTGTGCACAAGTCCTGGATCCTCTGACTACAGACTTTGCTCTATCGTCGAAAGCTTAACTTGTGCAACCTAGAAATATTGGCATTTTAAAGTTGTATAGTATGTCTAATATTACTGCTTCTGTTACATATCAGAATAGTAAGTTACTAAAACTAGAAGTCAATTGCAACGTGCACGTAATACCTTAGTTTATGCAACTCTGCTAGAGTAAAAACCCAGGGAACAATTGATGAAAACAATGTAAGTTAAATGGGCTTTTAATTAGACCAACGCAACAGCTTAATACATCCAGTTGAGTTGGCAGCAACAACCATATTAGATTTCCTTCTCCAGCAAACACTTGAAACAAACGGTCCGTTATTATCAATGATCTCATCGCCAGAGATAGGATCGATAGATTCAAATTTATAAGAAGTAATTGGCATTGGCAGAGATCTATAGTAAGCATATACCTGAAGGAGAAAAGATTAAATCAGTAGAGGGTAACATGATAGTAGAACGTGATTCTGGTGGGACAAAATGGAATGAAGGAAATAAGGTGTGCTGTGGAAATTGCAGCCCCGAAAGTAGGGGATCAAAGACATTACTAATGCAACTAAATGAAAAATACGCACATCTGTTTATAGTTTCTTTAGTTAGTGACAGTACAGTGTGTGCTACTGTAAATAAAACCTTAGATGGAAAATTGAGTCACTGACCAATGCTAGAAAGCAAAACATAAAGGATGTTATTGAAAGAGAATATCATTGAAAATAGAAGATTACTTCATTAGATTCTGAACCACATGCTATGTATCCATCAAGAACAGATAATCCTACAAAATTCTGCAGAAAATACACCAAGAAAATATCAGGACCACTAATAACCACATCACTCTAGATGTACTTGGGGAGTTGATGATTACCTTCTCATTGGAATGTCCACTAAAGGTAAAGGAGCAAGCCTTATCAGAGAATCCTTCCAAGCTGGTCTTATTGAGGTCCCATTGCTTTAGTGTATTATCAGTGGATGCAGAAACAAGGGTTTCAGAATCTAAAAATTTCACATAGCTAACAGCTTTTCCATGGCCAACTAATGTGCACCAAGGAATCCTTGTATGTCGAAGATCATAGCAATAGATCTTGTAATCAGCAGACCCGAAAGCCAATAGATGCGTGGAGTAAGCAGAAAACTGCACACAGCATACATTGGCAGGACTCCAGATTGTAGCCACAGAATTCCTCTGTACCAAATACCAAATAAAGTAATTTTTTACCTTACTTTAAGATAACCTAGTTCAATGGAGAAACTAATTGCATGTGGAAGTGGCACTTAGTTTCAGGAATATATTTGGAAGAAATTAAAAAGCTGAAATCACCGTTACACTTGAAAACTTGTTACATGCAAGTGAACTTCTTCCATTAGTTTGAACTCCTTAAATAGTATAAAGCATAATTCCATTTCAAGTTTCTAGTTCTTGATAATGTCAATATTGGAGGACAAAGACGAAAATTTCTATAAGTACCTCATTAATGTTCCACACTTTTACAGAACAATCATCACTCCCACTGACAAATTTGGTTGGATCAACTAAAGAAAAGTCTACAGACCAAGTCCTCTTCTGGTGCTCCATATAATGTGAAAATCCTTGACCCGTGCTTGCATCCCACATCTAGTTTTGAAACATATAAGCCAAATTACAGAAATAAAATAAAATAAGATAGATAATCAACAGTAAAAGAATTGTGCAATAACGGGTATGAAATTGCACCCAAAAAGCAGTTGACATTTGTGCAAATTTCTTAACAATTTATAACCTAAAAGAAGAATATTATTTATATTCAAAAGAAGGCATTTTCAGAAAGAATGATATCTGCAATTGATAAATGTAAAGGGCTACAGTGTAGGATTTTAGCTATCACACTATCACTGATTCCCATGATTCCTGTGACCTTAAGTTAAAAAATACAAACCTTCACCACACCATCATAGTCTGATGAAGCCAAGTAGTTTTTGATGTAGTTGTTCCAACAAACACAGCTAAGCTTAGATCTGTTTGACATCTCAATCACAGGATACTGAATATCCACGGATTCATTCAAAAGTGAATCAAACTCAAAAATTTTGACTTTCTTTGAGACCCCGGCTGCTGCTATATATTCCTCTTCACGGTCAAAACTTAGGGAGCAAATAACATTTGTAGAATTTAAAAGATCACCACTTCTTAATGTCCCACACTCCTCAAACTTGCTATATCGAGCAAACTTGCAAATACCTTCAAAGAATGCCCCAACTCGATTTACATTGTTTCTCTCAATGCTGGGCTCCTCATTGTTAGTCTGAACACGAGACAACTTCTCACGACTTCTCAGTAAGTCCCTGTCTGATCTTCCCTTGAGATCAGTTTCAGTAAGTTGGAATTGTGATCTCATGCAGAAGTAAGCATTTTCAAACTGACTGATATTTTTCATTACCGTCTCCTCAAGAAAAGTCTTTATAGAGAATGATTTGGAAAGAGAAGAAGATTTCATATCTTTACAATGGGGCCTATGCTGTGCATCCAGGATGCCTTGGTGCCTCCAATATGAAGTTCTCAAAGTGTCCTTTTTTTCAACCTCCTTGATATCAGCTTCTAAACATTCTATGCTTTGTAACAACTTGGATTTCTGGCTATCCCTTTGTTCTTTCAACGAAACAAGAAAATAAAGTAAGAGTTCTAATTCAGGGTCATCTTCCTTTTCAGCAGCTAATGGCTCATTATTTCTTTGGTGTATCTCTTTGGATCCAGAAATTGATTCAGACTGTAAGATTTCCCTGTCAAACAAAAATAATTAATGAAAATGCAATTTTGCTCGATTTCCCTGCCAAACATAATTGCTGTGTATTTTACTCATGTTTTAAGTCTTCTGTCAGCAAGCTCTTTATCTCCTTTGATGGCAGTGAAGTGCACTCTTGAATTTCTAAGTGGTAAGGTTGCAAAGGTGGGACAATGCTTGGAGATTTGCAAACTAGGCTAGAAAGCATATAATAGCATATGATCTAATGCAATGTATCTAGGTAAAAGATTTGCAGTAAGTATTGCCAGATATCTCATTGGCATCTAGTATTTTATAAATTCTACATCCACACAAGCTTTCTCTACAAGGCAGAAAAATGACAAATTATAAATTCCAGTAGTACCTTGCTGTTGGACGAGCAGATGATTCAGGATGAAGTAGCCAAAAGCAAAATCCAGCTTCCTTTGGATTTTCACAGAGAAAATGTGAAGGCAGAACCCGATGGAGTAAATCCATCATTGCTGCGGAATGCACCTTTGGTGATTCAAAATGGCACAGCAACTAAAAGAAACAACTGCTATTAGTGAAACTGGAGATTTTCTTTAAGATCATTTCATGAAATCATAAACTGAAAGGACACACACACAAACAAACAAACAAAAGTGGGTGGTGGTGGGGAGGGGGAGTACTTAAAGATTGGTAACACAAGATTACAGAACTAGGTTTCTCACCTAAAAGTGGACAAAAGAATACGGTAAACTGAATGCCAATTCAAAGGAAAACAGCATTATGGTGAATCAAAATTTTTAAGAATGAAGAGCTGAAATGAAAACTCGTATGAAGGTGCCTTGGGTGGCCCTCAGGTTCAAGGATTGTTCCTCCATTGTTCCAGAAAAGAGTAAAGGGCCCTATTCATGCAGGTGGCCTTTCCTATGGAAGCAACAAAAATGAGATAAAGCATCTAACCTATGAATTTGATTTCATTTTCCATACTCAATAGTCATTTACTCAATCCTACAGCTGAAAATCTGGAACATCAAGATTCAGAAAGGCTGGTTTGCAAGACCTATAGCAAAGAACCACAGAATCAAAAGTCTTGAGTAAGTTGAGTTCATCCATCTCAAAGCTCAGAGTTTATGAACTCAAAGAAGGGTCACATGAGGTGTTGATTGTTCAGGCAGACCTTTGTCCTTTTATTTTATCCTTCCCCATGAGGAGAGAAGATAGAAGGGAGGATAACCTTTGAGCTTTACCACTATGGATACCAGTATTGCTCAAATTCTAGCACCAAGAAAATTCCACAACACGACAATTAAGGATGTAGCTAGTTATTTAATATGTAAATCCTGTGTGAAAGAAGTAATGGAAAACTCAGTTCTTTTTTTTAGACAAAGTCTACACATCATGATTTATTTTTTTTTTAGTTCTCATAATACTCTCTAAATAAATTTGCAAGATTTTCCAGGTCTGGAATTATATCATTTGCCATAGCTCAGGGTTTACATATATCGAAACTAATTAAAATTGTTAAGCAGGGATTAAGAGAATAGGGGAAAAAATATAGCAGCGCCCAAAATAAACTGGCTAGCAATAATTTATCTGACCTCAAACAAAAGCACCCCAAGACTGTAAATATTTGATGATGCAAGGACTCTGTCATCCAGCTCCTCTGGGGAAGTATACCACCTCTTTTCCAACCGAACGAAGTCAGACTCCAATAGACAATCTGCCTCAATAGATGAACCTTCACGATACGAATAATTCCTTTCACTATTACACTGTACCTCATGGAGTTTTTGCTGCTTTGCACCCCTACTATTGCTGATGTGCTTATCCAGCTCTGGTAGTCTTTTCCTCATCATGTTCTGGTTTCCCAGACCCATACATCCTATCTGGACTGTTGAACCAATATATTTAACATCATCATATGAATGTAAAATGAGACAGGAAGGCCGTAAATCAAGGAAGACATTCCCTTGGGAGTGAGCAATATCCACCAACTGCACAACTTTCCGGAATAGGTGCAATCTGTGATCTTTATTTATCTCGGAACCTCGAGAGCATAACCATTCTCTTAAGTTAATTTCATTTTGTGATAGTTTAGGTCCTGCACCATCATGACAATGTAATGGAGCTTGAAAAGTAGACCCTTGATTCAACAAGAAATTAGTAGCTGTCCTGCTTAAAGAAGCTGGGTTGTTCTTTTCCTGCATGACTATGGCAGAAGGAAATTCAGCAGAAGGTTCGGGGCGTTTAGACAGCACATCCTTGCCTTTCAAAGATTTCCTGGCAAAAAACTGAGAAAAACTAGATGTAGATAATATTTTTGACCGATTATCTCCGAACTGTCCATTATTTGGGCTGATGCCATTAGCATCACAATTTAAATAGGCAGAAAAGGCACCAGAGCATTCAATGTTATGCTTAATAGGTGGAGGTTTCATCACATCAGGGTCTGGAGCCGTTGTTGGCAATGATTCTTTGGGCATAGATGTTAACAAACCCTTGTCTGTGGACATCAGAACTTGATTACAATAACTACTACTAGACCCACCCGCCAAATTATAAAACTGTTTCCACTGGATTTGCTGCTGATCATTCATTTGTTCATGGGTGATAGAGCAGCTAACTGACTCTGGGTTGGAAATTCTGTTATTTCTCATTCTCAACTCTTCATCTGAATTGTTATTCAACAAAAAACTTGTACAAGGGGGCGTAGGATCTGCCCGTGACATTCCATATGTACTCAAACTACCACCACCCGGGATCTCTTCTCCATCATAGTGGGGAAATCCCTCACTGGAAGATGCATGCACTGCTGGTGGTGGTTCAGGGAAAATATCACACTCTTTCCTTTTTGCTTCTGCTCTCACTGCAGCATCATTTGCAGCTTTTTGCTCCTCCAACTTCTCCATGTGGTCCCGAAATGCTCTCATTGTTTTAAGTACTCAATGCATCTTCAAGACTTCACCTAAACCAGATCACAAGAATTAAGTGTAGTAACAAACAATAAACAAATATCAAGTCAAGTGATCAAGCAAAAGATCAATTTAGTGAGGTTGCCAGATGCCAAATGCAAAGGGGGGAGGAGAAACTATGATGTGAAGAACTAATTTCATTATCTTGAATCAATTTGTAATTCCACACATTCAGAATATGAACATAATCACAGAGAGACAGAGAGACAGAGAGAGGGGAAAAAAAGTGGAGTTTGTATTAGGGTTCTTCAACTAGTGTAGAGAAATCATCCTAGCTGATAAACAGTTCAGAGCTCAAGAATCCAAATTTGAGAAGTATTTCCCTTTTCGGGATAACCAAAACAAGCTAAGCTAAAAGCCTAAAACCACTAGAACACAAAAAAGATGAAAGAAGTAGGAGTAACGAGAGTGGGTAGAAAAGGAAGTAAAATAATTCATCTACCGAGGTTCCCCAGAAGGCCAGAATTGCAGATCACACAATCACATGCTAGCTAGCTCAGACAGTGATTCAAGAAAGCTAGAGACTTGCCTCAAATAGAAATCCCAAAAAAGTTAAAATCTTTCCCGATACTTTACTTACTCCACTTGTAGAATAGCATTACACTAGCTGCGTCGGGCCTAGTTGTAGCAGCAAATATTACTCCGCTGTCCGTAGGTAAGATTTCTGGGTGGCGGCTAAGAAATCCCCAGAAGAGGATTCATTTTCAGCATATCATGGAGCTTAAAAAGTACGGATATTGATGGATGGTGACGTGGCAGGCCAGTAACCAGAATCTTGGAAAGCTGAAAGGAAAAGAGGACCACAGTCCACAGTTATTCGGTATTCTCAGGTCAAGGTGCCGCTGCAATGTCTACTCAGACCGACTTGATAGGCTGATTAAAGTTGTCATGTCATGCATATTTCCTGTCCTCATCGCCATGTGCTCGAATCTGGGTCCATGCATCAATTATCCTTTTCTTTCTTATCATTTAATTGTCTGTTTTGTCATCTACTCACAGATTTTTTCACAAAAGTTTCAACTACCAGTAAAAAATTAAAACCTTTATTCTAAAAAGAGCTGTTGTTTTCAATACACAAGAAGAAAAATGAGAAGACATAATCCAACCGCTTATTATTGCATTATTACATTATTATTCCTTGCATTCATGCAAGCGATTACTGAGTAAACAAAAGCTAAGTTGAATGAGAGAACACTGGGAAGAATTGGTTCCTAATTTTTGTGCATTGAGAGTACATAATCTTCTGTGTTATCCTTTGCCTACAAAATTGGGCTTTAATGTCCTCCATCAGTCTGAGATTCTGATCTCCACCCCCAATATGTCTTTCACTTGCTCATATGTCACGAAAGCAATAGCGATTGAAGGGACGACCTGACCAAGTAACATTAATTATAGTTAGAAATGTCTGCAAACAAGATCAAATGCATTCTGTTAATGTTTTTTCCTATAGAAGAGAATATCAGAGACTAACCTTCACAGAGTTGGGGACCAGACCCTTGTACAGTGCTCTAACACCCTCATAACGAACAGTTTTCCGGAAGGCATCAATCATGCCGGTATATTCAAGGGGAGCTTGACTCTTCCCTTCACCGGTGACAATAGAAGCAGCGCCTTTCCATCCCACCATCTGCATTCTTCTGCGGATGACATCGAGTGGATAAGCAACAGTTTGGCCAACAGTCCCTGCAGCAGCACCGCATGCCAGCCTTGTAACAATACTCAGTTCAGAATCTTCGACCAGCCCAAGAGGTTTAGATTTTATCAACCAATCTTTTAAAGATTCATAGACAGCAAAGTTCAGACCCACATAAGGAACCTGCAAAACATCAAACCAAACCTCAAGATTCATGGAAGTATACCAGGAGGATACTGTTTAACTATTTCATTTTGGAGAGATGCTGCTCCACTAGCAAAACCTTAGGGGTGAGAAGTACATATATGACTGAATGCAATTCCAAACTAAAAGGCCATTTCTCTTCCCTTACAGATGCGATAAAACTTCATGGGGAATTTCAAGGGAATGTTGCTAGAACAATAAGCTAAGACCATGGTTCAAATTAAGAATATCTACTAAATCTTCTTTTTCTAATATAGTACCAAGCAAGACTATAATGGAATTATTGAAAGATGCCTTCTTCTAGTATAGTAAATAAGTGCATAGAAAGACTTTCTTTATTAATAATAATAATAATAACACAAGGACATCAGGAAATGCAATCAATCACTAGAAGTAATTTCAAAAGATAAGCAAGAAGAATCGCAGTGGATCTAGACACACAAGTGGAGGCCCTTGCCCTCCACTCAATTTTTAAAATTTATACTATTTTATGTATAGTTATTTTAATATTAGATAATTTACCCCACAACTTATAATAGATTGCCCCACTCAACTTTAGAAAATATATATATTCAATAAATGAGCCCACCATCATCCCTAAAGGATTGTCATTAACAGGGTTTCTTAGTAATTGTATTAGTCACCAAATAACATATTCATGGGAAAAGAAATGCAGGACTTACAACTCCTATGACCGAAGGAAGCCATCCTTTATATAAAGCCCTAGGACCTTCATTGCGAAGCACAGTTGACAATGCATGAAACATTCCCCTGTACTGATAAGGAGAGTTTTCTGTCTGCAAAACAGGAGAGGACTACATTGTCATGCAAAAGTAAAAGCACAGTGAATAGATGTCCCATAGTTGCAAAGCGAGCTTCAAATATTAAGCATGCAATTTCTTTCAGAAGAATTCAGAACGTTACTTGTACAGTAATTCGGCCTCGGACCATGTCCATTGGGTATGTTGCAGACATGGCAATTATGCCAGCACAAGCTCCAGCACCAAGACGCAACAGAGGAGTGAGCTGAGCATCCTCTGCAAGATAAGAACATATCTTTTTCAAGAATTTGCTAATCCATTTTCAGAAAGGGAGAACAAATACCTAGCCATCTTTTTCATGTTTACAGGTAACAGGAAATGGCATAGAAGAATTATATATGAAAGGATCTATGAAGTACATTTATTTTTGCAGTAATAAATCACAAAGAACTTGATGAAAACAACCATAACAAGCTTTTCACCAATGCAGTGTCCAACAATCAAACTTATACCATACAAAATGAAATCTCAAAAGTGGAAATTTGGTCATATAGATTGCAAAGGAGGAAGTAGTTATCACCTCATATGTTAAAAGTAGTAGGAAAACACCATCAGTAGAAAATTTTGCCAAAAAATGGAAAAACAGGTAATATCTAAAAGAATGTGCAACAAACATAAAGAAAACAAGATAGCCATTACCCAGTGGTGGCCCCTCAATCTGGGGCGTTGGAAGGGTTGAACTGGGTACAGACCTAAACTCCGGCTTATTTTGCACGAAGTGGCTGCCCGCAACTCGAACCCGCATCCTCACGCTTGACAGATTGAGCTTTTACCATGCACCAAATATAGCCCTAGCTAGATAAAACAGCAAACAGAAGACATAACATGGGGAGAAGAAGGAAGATACATATACCATTTTGTAACCAAGTTCTAATATTGAATTCGGTGAGCAATTACAACCTAGTAGAGGAAAATATAAGAGGGTGAAGTGAGAGAGGGGGTGGGGGGAGGGGGGCAAAGAAGGAAATAGGAATACAAGAACTTGATCAGAAGAATAGACCATAGACCAATTTCACATTGGTTGTCTACAAGGCACATACCTTCACTGGAAAAACTACAAAAATAATTCTCAAACAGATATGCAAAATCAAATAGAGTTTTCACCACAATAAGCCTCTGAATGAAGGAAGAACATACCATTGCCAGTTTGCTCGCGGTATAGCCATAATATACCCCTGATTGCAAATACAAGGAAAAATGTCATTTAAGGAAAGAGAGATAATTTGGTGATACAATGAGAAATGAATTTACCAGGTTCTCTTCTCTAAGACCCTAACAAGAAACTCTAGTTGTGGTTCAGCAATGTTAATGCATGAGAAGATTAGCTAGTGACCATAAGCAATCAATGAAGTTTCACATTCAGAATTGAAATCTAAAATGTTTGAGACAAGGAGATTTACAGGTCAGAGATAAGGCAGCATCAATCAAGACACCCAAACAAACTTGTCAACTGAATATGTGATAATGGGAGGCTAAGGCTTAACACCATTGGTTTCAAAATTCATACTATAAACTTTGAGTTAAGCTCCTAAGAAAGTAGAAAAAGAACATTCACAGATATTAATGCTGCTAATATTCTTTGAATGTTTATGCAGAAGCCCAGTATTAGACAGGATCATACTTGGAGGCTTGCTCATAGCTGAAGAACTTGACAGCTGAGTTTGGGACAATTCGGGCACAATTGGTGCCATTGCCTTTGAATAATCCTCTGAAGCCTTCAGTTTTCCAGATATACTTCAGGCCTTGAACTGTACCATTGTATTTTATATTATGCGGATTTTGTACCTGCACATTGGAGAGCAGCACCTTGAAATTACAAGACAACTTTTTGGTAAATATTCCCCTGGGCATAATCCTGACAGACACTTTTTTTTTTATCTTATGAAACCAAACTTTATTCAAAAGAGACAGTAGAGCTTTAAAGAATCAGTGCAATGAATTAACTGAGCCAGGATGTGCTGCATTGCCACATGCTTTATGGAAAATTTTAAAGCTTTTCTTAGTACGTCCAAATTCAACTGCTGAAGATAGTTCAAATAACAGGGAAAAAAGCGCAAAATTTACCTGTAGTAATATCTTTAAACGCTCTAAAGGAGCAACAGCTGTTCGTGACCTGCAATACTCACACTTCAGCGTTGCAGAAATTCAAACAAAAAGTCAAAAAAACAAAAAACAAAAAAAAAAAAAAAAAAAAAAAAAAAAAACAAAAACAAAAACAAAACAAAACAAAAAAACTTTTTTTCATTTCTTTGACGAGTGAATCTCAAGGAGAATTGACTTCATTGCCATAAAGGGCACACCACTACAGGCTGTGCTCAAGAGAATGGCAAAATAAAGAACCAAAGTAAACGCTTGAAAACAAATCTGAGCTATTTTTCTAAACAGCTAGTCCTAGTGATTATCTACCACTGCTTTTATCCCCAACTATATTTTGAGTCTCCTTTAAAAAAAAAAAAAAAAAAATTACGGAGAAAAAATTAAGCTTTTAATACAATAAATGCCAGGACAGAATCTTTGGTATTACTCACACGCCGCCGGCAACACCTCCAGCAACGAGAGACTTGCATATACTGAGAAGCGCATGGCTTGTGGGCTTAATTTCATCTCTAGCGAGCTTCGCCTCCTCGGCAAGGTTCACAATCTTCTCCACAGCCAACTCACCCGTCTTCACCTCCTCCGAAGCCATTGAAAGAAATAGACTGTTGTTTAACAGACAAAAAAGAAAAGGTCGAATAAGTCAAAAGCTCAGCCGATCAGACTGTCGATATCGATTCCTCGAGAGGATCGATCGGCGATCCAGCAATTTATGTATGAGTCTCTATTCACGGCGGCTCGGTAGTTTATTTCGACGAAGAGAGAGCATATGATGCGGCAGAAACAAGCATGAGGCACACTGGTAGTGACATAGTGCGTTCAAATCCGACGGCGTTTATTGCTTAGTTTTGGTACGATGTCGCTTCGCTCACCATCGCGCTGGCGTGCTAATAAATAAATATAATTAAGTTATACTCCTTAATATTTTTTTTTTTTGAATCATCACAATTCCATGATGTTTAAGAAATCTTAATTATTGAATGTAGTGGTTGAATTGTTATATACTTTGTACGTCATAATTTTTTTTGAATGTTCATTACTGTATAAATGTTCTACTTATAAAAATGTATATAAGGTGAGATACGTATATTTTATAACTTAAACATTATATGATAAATAATTTCATTACTTTTAAAATCATGTCAAAAATTTAGATAACAAATTCCAATGATGACTTGCTGCAAACTCTCTTGAAAATCAAAGTTAATCCTTCTCTTTAAAAGCAAACTCTATTACAAATTTCAATGTGTAACAAACAACTTAAATATTATACGATAAATAATTTCATTACTTCATTCAAGTTAATCCTTTTTTGAGAATCAAAGCCTTTGCTATCCCCGAGTTCAAATTACAAACGGATAAAACCATTCATCTTCTACATAATTTTATTATAGTTTTTGTCTATTTATTATATTGGTATTTTCACTTTTAATCATCAATTATTGTTGATTATATTTTTACGCATTGACCTTTAAAACATTTCACATTTTATTCAAAATACATTTTAACTGTAATTGTGTGTTTGGTTGCAGTGAGAGTATTAAGATAAATAAATTGCAATTTTATGCGAGATAAATAATGTGGAAATTTTTATGTGTTTTGCTTAAATGAATATAATTACTAATAATTTCAATTCCAATATTTAGTATCTAATAGAATTTTTAAAAAAAAAAGTAATATATTGACCAAGCATAACAGTGATCTCTCCTATGCTTGACATATCATAGACCAATGTTATTCGTTTCAAAATGCAACTTGTCGTTTTATTCCTTATTTAGCGAACCAATTGGCCCATACTCTGGCTAGGGACACTGGCTCTCAATCTGTACGTCTTACTTTGAAGTTTAACCCCTCAATTTGTCTTCTTCAGCTTTTGAGTTAATCAAATGATATTTCCTTTTTTTTTTTTAAATGTATATCGACCAATATGTTCATACTTATTAAAACGGACAAATGAAACATCAATTTTATATTAAAAAATTAAAAGAATATAATTTTGTAAAAAGTGTATCTTTTTTTTTTAATCTTTTCAAAAACTGTGAAATTGAAAATAACAAGGGAAAAAACATGAGATTTTAATTCCATAAAAATGATAGAATTACAATTTTGTAAAATTACAATTTTTCCAACTAAAAAATGAATTTGTTTATCTTCTAAGTTAAGTGAAAGTTAAATTTTAATTTCCTCCGATCAAATAGATTGTATTGCTATAACCTGTAATATGTTGGATTTTTGTGAAATTTAAAGTAATCGTGTTTTGGATATTTAAGATTAAAAGTGAAAATATCTCTAAATTTTTTAAAATAAGGGCCAAACAATTCTCCCCATTCACCCGAGGATTGATATAGAACAAGCACACTAATAACGTGTTGTAAATTAAGATGTATCGTAAATCGTTGTATAGAACTATAAGGTAAAGCGAAAAGCAATATAATACAATATATCATCATCAATCAATTAGTATTCATCTTCAATCAAATATATACATGATGTAAAGAGTTGCACTATAACTATAAGTTTGTATTATCATAATATAACACCTTTAGTCATGTTCACATATATTTATTTACAACATAAATGTTTTTTTTCAAAACTATATATTTAGTGAAATAGGGTGAACAAGCTATGATAATCCATGCCTTCAAAGGGCTCAAAGTACAAGTGTTACATAATATGAGAGCAACCAATTAAGTTTGTAGGACAATTAATATACTAATTATACAATTTTAAGTTCAACTCATGTATGAGCTACATATTAAATTACCGATTTAAATTTTGAACTGGCTAGTTATAGGAGTTACATATTGATTTCTCGACTTGAGTCGATCATTTGTAGGAGTTATCTATTAGCTTCTTAGTTTGAATTTGTCAAGTGTAGAAATTGTATATAGACTTCTCAATTTCAGCCCGTCAATCGTAGGATGTGTCAATTGAATTATTAGTTTGAATCGATCAATTGTAAAAGCTATGCATTGACTTCTCAAATTGAGTCAGTCAATTATAGATGTTGCCTATTTTATAAAGGATTATTTCCATTAAATAATGGGTTACATACTTACATTGTTTTGATGCACGTTGCAGTGGCTTATGTGAATGGACCAATCATCAAAGGAATCAAATGTGCAAAAATTGAGGCATTATAATATGCAGAGGGAATGTACTTTCTCGCGCAGTATGCAAATATGTCCAAAATAATGAGTGGATTAATCAAGAAAACGAAAAGTAAGAGCCCCAAGAATTAAAATGCACAGTACATAAATATAACCAAAGGCCCACAATCTTTTGATAGATTTTGTCAGTAAAATTGATCAAAATCCAGTCAAGGCAAATAATAATATACAGTAGAAATACTTTCATTAGTCTCTTTGAAATCATTAGCTGGTATTCGAGTTATGATAATGGTACCCGGGTTGGATTTTCATTTGGAAGGTTGTATTTCAGAAGGTTGAGAAAGTATATGAACAGATACTACATTGGCTCTTTGTGTTTCAGAAGGTTGAAAAAGTATATAAACAGATACTACATTGTAATAGAGCTAGTAGCATTCAAAAAAAAGATATTATACACTCTCGTTAGTTATAAATAATAGGTTTCACGTTCATTTTTATCGTATTTCAAGAACTTTTATTTATTATTTTTTTTAATGAAAGAAATGTAAAATAAACAAGAAAAAATTAAAGAGATTTGTAGTCATCAACGAAATAAACTCATTCAATAGATGAACAAATAATGTTTTAAAAAGTATAAGATTTGCCGAGCAACCGTGATATTAGAATAGAATGTCAATTTTGACGTCACCAAGCTTGACCCTGAATTAAAAAAAAAAAAAAAATACGAGTATAAAATTTTAAAACACAACAGATTTTTTTTAGTACTTCTAACTCTATTACATTTGAGGTTTGAACTTGTAACATTCTATTTGATAGAGTCATAAAAATGTCAACAAGCTATTTGGCATATTACCACTTCAAAAAACAAAGAAGAAAAATTCAAAGAAAAAGAAAGAAATTTACATTAAAGGCGATGGGTAGGTGAGACAGGTTGGGAAAAGTCTAAAAATGAAACCAATTAAGTTCCCAGCTACCATCCATAAACGTAACGTCCTAGATTTTTTGGTTTGTTTTTGTTTTTAATTTAATTACAAATGTCAATACTTTGGGTTTTTTTTTTCTTAAAACATATTTGTTTGTTTCTTCAATAGTTGTTCATAACACGTGATCCTGCCCAAAAAGTCACACACCACGGACCTACTATTAAATTGAAAATAAAAAAGTTAAAGAATTTTGAAAATAGAGAAAAACAACTACAAAAATGAAAAATAATATGACTATAGGTCTATAAATAATAATTTGAGGTAATTAGTATGTGAATTGAGATATTCAAGTATTCAACTATTGTAAATGGTGCATCATGTAAAAAATGTGTAACAAACAATTAAATAAAAACTATGCAAGCGACACACATACACATATATTATTTTGATGCTTCATATTAAAAATGAAAATGCTACAAATATAACTCAATAATTATTACTAAGAAAAATTAATATATTTCTGATCCAGACTGAATATGGATGATTGGACGACTATTTTTCATCATAGCAAGATATCGACTTTTATATAAAAAATGTGATAGAACTATTTTAGTTATCTAAAAAAAAAAGTAAGTTATTTTTAACACGATTTATATAATTTTATAAAAAAACATACATTTTCTTAAAAAATTACGATGTAATTTATTATTTTACTATTTTATATAGAACAAAAGTACTACTTAGATTTCAAAAATTTATTTTCAATTTTTACTCAATAATGACATTCATATATTAAGCCATCAAAAAATGTGATATTATAATGAGTAAAAGGTGAGAAAGTGCAAGTAGAATTACTGTATATAGAATATGGGGCCATGTGTAGCAGGGATATAGGCTTTGTGGGCAAACAGATTCGTGTTTTGAGAAGACCCACGGAGTCTTCGTCCTCTGGGGCCTGGGCTCCGGTCATCCATAAACAAACAAAAGAATTGTATTCATTGAATGTACGGATATCGCAGTTGATGTTTCTGCACCCTCTCTCCTCATCAGTCTGAGATATCCATTTTAGATTTTAAAAACTTGTAAATTGATTATATGGTGTGGTAGTTATTTATTAATTTGTTTTTGTATGACTGGTTTTCAAGATTGGTTGAGCTTCTTTGAAGATGTCTGAGCCACCAAAAGTTCGCGTTGTTCGTTGCCCCAAGTGCGAAAATTTGCTTCCGGAGGTCACTGATTTCTCTGTTTACCAGTGTGGTGGATGTGGTGCTGTTTTACGAGGTAAAGTTATAACCTTTTGCCTTTTCCAGTTTCTCTTGCTTGTGAGTATTTTCTGTTTGCTTCTAAGAAAGCCCGAAAAGACTATTGCAAAATAGGAACTTTATATTCTTGAAATTGAAAGATCAATTTATTTGTTTTTTTGCCTTTTGTTTTGGCGTGAAATATACAGCTAAGAATGAAAATGGAGAGTTGGAGACATTTTCTGACAAGTCTGATGAAGAAAGGGTAGTAGGGGTTTCTGAGAAATTTGAGAAAGTGATGAACTTGAGTGATGGTTCTGAGAATGATGTGAAGTCAAATGCTAGTAGTTCTTGTAGCATAGATGAGAGGAGGGGGATTTTGGGTGATAGAGTTGAAAATTACAGGTCTAATCTGACAAGTAAGTCTGATAAATGGGTGCTAGAGGATGATAATGATGCAGAATTGTGTGAGATTATAGATGAACATAGTCAAGAAAAAATCGTGGAACAGCTTCAGAAGTTCATTCCTGAATGTGAAAGTGAAAATGGGTTGCCAAATCTGGAAGAAATTCCGAATTGGAGAAGTGGGGAGACTAACGAGGCAGCAGAGGCTTTTCATAGACGCCCAAGAGTTGATGATATGGAGATGTATGAGACGGGTGATGAGCAAAGTCAAGAAAGAACTATGAAACAGTTTCAGAATTCCACCATCCAATATGCAAATGAAATGGGCTTGCAAAGACCGGTTCGTATTCCAGATTGGAGAAGCAATGGGGAGGCAAGGAAAGCGGAGGTTTCCCAGAGAGGCCGAAGAATTGGTATTGACGGTTCGATGTATGCAGTTTCGAATAATTCAGCAGATGCTTCATCATCCAGTTACCAGGTGGGGTCTAGTTACGGGTATCAACAGCCACTGAGGAGTGGGAACAGTGAGGAAAGTTCTTCTAGTGGGTTTGCTAAAACCGAGTATAGTGAAGATGAAAGAGTTGAGCTTTTGAGAAAGTTGGATGAGCTGAAGGAGCAATTGAGTCGACCTTGTGAAGTGATTGATAATCCAAAGGATAAGTTCCCTCTCGATAGGAAGATTATTAATCAGGATCCCTATGGTGATTCCCGTGATTGGTTTCCTGATGGCCCTTCGAGGATCGTTAATAAAGGTTCGATGCATTATCCCGTTTCTAATCAAGCTGCCACAAGACCTCCTCTCGTGAATCACTATCAAGAACCATCTCATGTCTTGGGTGGTTTTTATCCACCTGGGCATACTTCAAGTCATCCACAACTATTTGGGGACCCTCTTAGGTCCCAAAGGCTAAGGACAGATCCATATCATCCCCATATTGCTGGCCACTACTCTAATAACGAGATTATTGATCACCTTCAACCTTATGCACCTCATGTAAATCGTCATCATCATCCATCCTGCACTTGTTTCCATTGCTACAAAACAAACCAAAACCTCGTCCAGGCTCTTCCAACCGCCTTTGGTGATAGCAGGTTCTCTAATGTCCCGAGTAATCCCATTTTTTATCACCATGAAAATCCAGGCAGATTTGGTCCACAGGATTATGATCCTAGAATTCCCAGCGCTCTCCCTATGAAGACACAAAATTCTCAATCACAGAGAAGGTGGGCGGGTGACTTGAATTCTGATGTGGGTGTTCTAGTCCGTCGACGACCTCCTGGGTTGCAGCCGCCTTCAAGTGGACACCGTTGCCGCCCCATAGCTGGCGGTGCACCATTCTTGACATGCCACAATTGTTTGGAGTTGCTTCATTTGCCTAAGAGAGCTTTTCTCCGGGATAGAAAACAAAGGAAAATGAAATGTGGGGCGTGCTCTAGTATTATGGTTTTGGCAGTTGCTAACAAGAGACTCATTTCTGTTCATGAACACGTGAAGAAAAATGCTGAGATGTTTACTACGGATGATAATTTGACACAGGAAAGTAGCTACTCCCATGGTCACATAAACCAACCCAGTACGATTTTTTCCTCTGAAGATTTTGACAATTCCAGATACGATTTCCATGCAATGGATGAAGACCACAGATCGCTTTCAATAGGGCAGGCAAGTTCTGTCAAGTCCATCGAGGTGAGGAGCCATCGTTCTAAATCTTCCTCAATGTCAGCAGAGGAGGGCAACCTTGTTGCCTCGGCTGCTACAGCAATAAATTCCAACCCCGTTGAGTTACCCATGAAGGACAAAGTGTCTCCACCACCTGCAGGATCACCATTGCAGGATCATTTTGATTACTCAACTAACTATGGCACTGGAAACCGCTTTGAAAATGGAAACCTAAGCGGGCGATCAAGTCCAGATAAAATGATGTCAAAGAAGAATGCTTCACGTCAAACTTCCATGAAGGATGTATCAGTGGCAACGGAGATGGATATATCATCCAATGAGTATGCTAACACCGGGTCATCTTTAGAGTCGGGTGAATCAAGCAAAGGAGATCGGCTAAATTCCAATAAAAGCACTGAATCATTTTTTGCTGGGATTGCAAAGAGAAGCTTTAAATCCAAGCATGTTGTTGGTGAGGAAAGGAGCAATGTTACAGTGAATGGGCATCTTATACCGGACCAGCTTTTTAAAAAAGCTGAAAGGGTAGCTGGAAAAATAAACCCTGGACATTACTGGTAAGTAACTTCATTAATTATACTGCTTCCCTTTCCAAAATCCAAACTTTTTAAAAGAAGGAAAAAAAAAAGAGACTAATTCAAGTGCTAATACATTTCTTGCTCACAATCTTAAAATGAATTATGACTCAGGTATGACTTCCGAGCTGGATTTTGGGGAGTGATGGGAGGTCCTTGCCTGGGCATAGTTCCGGTAAGATTTACCATTCCAAGGGTGACATGTAGTCAGTTGTTATGTAACATTCTAATGAATATGCGTATTTCCTTGCAGCCATTTATTGAAGAATTTAACTATCCCATGCCTGAAAATTGTGCTGGTGGAAACACTGGTGTGTTTGTGAATGGGAGAGAGCTTCATAACAAAGATCTGCAATTACTATGCAGCAGAGGGCTCTCATCTGAGAGAGATAGATCTTATATCGTTGAAATTTCGGGCAGAGTCCTTGACGAGGATACTGGTGAAGAGCTAGAGAGCCTGGGCAAACTCGCTCCAACGTAAGAAACTATTCTCTAATATGCCTTTGCTTAAATTATCAAAATATTGAATAGTGACCTTATCTGACAATTTTCTACGTATTATTGGTGGTAATGTTAGCTTACATTTTATGTGAACTTTAGTGGATAATTGGATATTAAGTATTATGGAATCATTCTTAACTCTGCAGCTAACGTTTTCCATTGAGAAGACTTTTTTTTTACAGAATATCTTTTAACATGATCTCAATTTGTGCTAAAACCTTTGTACAGAGTTGAGAGAATGAAGCGAGGATTTGGCATGAAAGTTCCAAAGAGAGCAGCATGATTATGTCTATGCAGAAACAACGTTGATGTTTCATTGTTCTACAGAAGATCTTGTCGTCTTGGTCCATAAATCTTGCAGGCCTAAAATGGAATGGGGAATCTATATGAGCTTTGAGTCTAGCATGGCATCATATATGTAAAATCTAGCTTGCTTTGGTTGTACCTAATCTGCATTTTAGTGGTACATATAATAGTGATTCATGTGCTTGCTGCACCCTCTATGGCAGACATTTCCCATTGTGATTCTTTATAAAACATATTTTAGTCTTTCCCTAGTTAATTATTGTTGTCTCAAACTTCTCACTTCATACTTTTTAATGATGTCTGAAACTGAAATGAGGCCTAACAAGTTAACTAATGATGGGAATGTAGGGATATGCTTTCTTAATTTTGTTGCCAGGTCAATATAGTTGGCGGAGAAATCATTTTCCGTTTCTAAAATAATAAAAATATTTCTAACATTTTCAAGATTCATGTATCCCTATGAAATAGTAATATTACCAAGTCGTCTCCCATGTTTCCATTTTAACCCACTACCTAAAAGTATTATAAATAAAAAAACTTCAACTCTCAATATCTAATAAGAGAATTGAATTTGAAAATGAGATCGAGAGAATTTCTTTAAAATGAAAATGTCTTGGGGACTTTTTTGTACTTTCACTATTGTTTTGTCCAGTATATATCTTCCAGATTTCCTGTAATGAAGTTTTAAGTTATTCAGTTGTAATTTCTTTCTTCTTCAAGTCAATTCACCAGTTCTACCTTAAATTCCAGTTTTGTTCAGTTAATCATATTCATAGAGACTTGAATGATGAAAGATAATAACTCAAGCCGTTTATTTGTAAGTTTGTTTAAAAAAAAAAAAAACCATAATAATGCAGGCAGAGAAAATGCAGCTGCCATCATCAGATTGAAGAAGGCATGGGCCCATTTCACCTTCTTGTGGGACTAAATTAAAGCTGCTACCTTCAATTCAGCTTTATTGCCTTACTGTGGATCGGAATTAAAGTCAGAAAAAAAAAAAAATTAAAATCTTTTAAATTGGGCAAAATAATGCTTTGGTGAATGGTGACAATTGACAAATGGTGTGTAGATTGGAAACTATAAATATATTTATACATTAATATTACATTATTAAAATATAAATTATTTGATTATCTTCCAACAAACATATCCACAAAACGACACAGAAATAAAAGCAATGGAGGTGAGGAGGTCCAGCTTTTATTTTATTTTAAAATATGGTACCATTATTATTCTTGAATGCAGTCATTAGCTCCAGCCTCCAGCCTCCAGCTGTTCTGATGTTACCCCAGGCCATTCTTCTTCACGATTTAACAGTATAGAACTCATGAAGAAGAATGCATTTGAGTTAATTATACTTTTTATTAATGAGTCAGATCATCATTAATCCATCATCCCTTTCCTTTTCTTGTTCTATATTCCTCAATTGAGTTGTGGGCGCGCAGCTTAGTTGATGAGCCCAGAGCAAAAGGTAGAATGAAGGGCATGATGAATAACAGTGTGGGCAACAAGCAATTCTCATGGGGTTTTGTCAAGTTTGCAGTTTGTCTTATGCTGGTGGGACTTGCCTGCTATCGTTTGCTCCTCTCTAGTTCTGTGCAGTTCTCCACGGTTCTGGTCGCCACCGACTCTGCGTCCGTCGCCGACGAGACATTGCCGCTGCCGGTTTCCAGTGATGAGCTTCTGGCGAATGTTGAGGACCAGAGTTCTGAGATTGGTTAGTTCATTAAATCTTGTAACTTTTTAGGCCATGCATGAATGAACTATGTGATAAAGATTGCATCTTGAACATGAATATGTGATAAAGATTGCATCTTGATCCATCTGTGTTGTCTTTTTGGTGTGTATGAATCTATATTTTCTCAATTTTTAGAATATTATTGTTGAGATGGATGGCTAGAAAAATGGGTTATTTTGGGGGGTTATTGAGAAATTTTCATGTTGGGAAGATGCTGAATGACATGATTTTTGGTTGCAGAAAATTGTGATTTGTTTGTGGGAGATTGGGTTCCAGATTCTAGGGGTCCATTTTACACTAATGAAACCTGCAATTCAATACAAACCCACCAAAACTGTATGAACAATGGGCGGCCTGATACAGATTATATATACTGGCGGTGGAAACCCAGGGACTGTGAACTTCCAAGGTTTAATCCTCGGAAGTTCCTCAATTTCATGAAGAACAAATCAATGGCTTTTATTGGGGATTCGATTATGCGGAACCATGTTCAGTCACTGCTTTGCATTCTCTCACAGGTAAGCTAGCTAACTCAGATAATTATCTTGAAATTAAACCGGCCTGATATATATGAACTGTTTGAGAATAATATAATTAATTACTGTCTACTGTACTTTCCAGCTGCTTCTGATCTATTTGTGTTTGTTGGATGTTCTGTACTTGTGTTTCTATGGTTTCATTGCTTTTGTGTGGTGTGAATGTGTTATATCTTCTCTTTTTACAGCTACCTGCCTACCTTCACTTGTGAAAAGTAAAAATGGATGTTTTCTTGTTGCTTTGCTAAACTAAAGTTAGTAGGATGAGAATAATTTGTCTGGTGATTGGTCTTTGTCAGCTTGTCTCTGCAACAGTTGGAGAATCTTTTTGAGTGTAGTAAACAGATTTCCCTTTGATTTCTGGTTATTCGATTGAAGAATTGAGTTTGTTTTGCAGGAGGAAAAAGTTGAAGAGGTCTACCATGATGAGCAATACAAAAGCAGAAGATGGTATTTTCCTGCAAATGACTTCACTCTGTCAGTGGTTTGGTCTCCATATCTTGCAAAAGCCACGATATTTGAAGACGATAATGGAGTATCCACAGATTTAGTCCAACTCCATCTCGACAAACTTGACGAGGTATGGACAGAACAGTTCAAGAATTTTGATTATGCTGTTATTGCCGGGGGCAAATGGTACATGAAACCTGGGATTTACTATGAAAACGGTGTGATTGTGGGGTGCCACAGCTGTCCTGGGAAGAACATAACAGAGGTAGGATTGGACTATGCTTATCGCAGAGCAATGAATTCGACTCTCAGGTACATTGCGAGCTCGAACCCAAAGGTATACACATTCTTCAGAACCACAACACCATCTCACTTTGAGAATGGAGAATGGAACACTGGAGGTTATTGCAACAGAACGAGGCCGTTTAAAGAAGGCGAGGCTGAAATAGATAGTACAGACGAGGTAATGCGCAGAATTGAACTGGAAGAATTTGAGAAAGCATTGGCAGTGGGATCAGAGAAGGGAGTATCCTTAAAACTGTTTGACACTACTTATGTTTCCCTTCTGAGGCCGGATGGACACCCAGGAATCTACAGGCAGTTCCATCCTTTAGCTGGAAAAGACAAGGGGGTTAAGGTTCAGAATGATTGTCTGCACTGGTGCTTGCCTGGTCCTATAGATTCTTGGAATGATTTGATGATGGCAATGCTTCTCCATGCTTAATTAAAGGAGAAAATTTTCCCAGTTTTGATGATAATCTTGATTCTTGATTTTCCGATCCTAACAGGAAAATTCATGGTTAATTTGATCTGTTCATTTAAAATGGCTTTGCAGCACATCATATCTGCAGAGATGTGATTGATTATTGTAGCATTGCTTCGGGTGTAAATAAATCAATCAAAATGTGTTTTTTTTTTTTTTTTTTTCTTTAAACTATGCAACGTCTAACCAACCAAAACTATAATGGAACAATGGAGTATTAGCCAAGCAAACATTAAAAATATAATCTGCTGCTACTGTTTGGTTCTTGGTTTGTCTACTTTGTAGTTGCGCCAATAATGGCGATGGAGTAACTCCCACTACCTTACAATAATGACGAGAAGGCTAAAGCGGTGGCGTGAACATGTCAGTATTTTATCTGATCTGATCTGCTGACCCACATGGCCACGTGTGGAAATTTATAGCTTTATAAAACATAAAATAGTAATTTTTTTTAGTTTTTTAATTAAGGTTTAGGCTGGTTGATAATTTGATATATATACATACATGTTGGGCTATAAGCTACTTGGTGGTTTGCAGCAATGGAAATGGAAGAATTTGGAGGAATGACACACATTGCCATGTTACCAAGTCCTGGAATGGGTCACTTAATCCCATTTGCGGAGCTAGCTGAGCGACTCATCCGCCGCCACAACCTCGCCGTCACTCTTATCGTTCCGACGGACCGCCCCCTTTCCGCTCCGCAAGAGGCTTTCCTTGGGGCGCTTCCGGCAGGGGTCGACTACCTCGTACTTCCTCCGGTCAACTTGGAGGACTTGGCGGCCGATACTAAGCCCGAAATCCGTATCTGTCTCACCGTGACACGCTGTCTTCCCGCTCTTCGCGGGGTGTTTGAGGAGTTGGTGGCGTCGGAAACAAGGCCGCCGCCGGTTGCTTTGGTGGTTGATTTGTTCAGCACCGATGCGTTTCAAGTGGCTGATGAATTTGGGGTTTCCCCCTACATCTTCTTCCCTGCGTCCGCCATGGTTTTGTCATTTGCCACTATCTTACCGGAGCTTGATTTGGCAGTGTCGTGTGAGTACAGAGACATGCCGGAACCGGTTCAAATTCCGGGGTTTTCCGTTCCGGTACACGGAAAGGATTTTCTTGATCCCGTCCAGGACCGTCAGGACGACGCCTACAGATGGATTGTTTACCATAATAAAAGGATTGGGTTGGCAAAAGGTTTGATCTTGAATAGCTTCAAGGAACTGGAACAAGGACCCATTGAAGCCTTGCAGCGACCTGGAAACCCTCCGGTATATCCGATCGGACCGCTTGTTCAGATGGATTCAGATTCCTCCGGGGAGTGCCTGAAATGGTTGGATGCGCAGCCGCCGGGCTCCGTTCTGTTCATCTGCTTCGGAAGCGGCGGATGTCTTTCTCATCACCAGCTAACTGAGCTTGCATTGGGGTTGGAAATGAGCCAGCAAAGATTTCTATGGGTGATCAGAAGTCCAAGCGACACCGCCGCCGCCGCTTTCTTCAGCGCCCAGAATCCCGGCGACCCTCTAACCTTTCTACCACAAGGGTTCCTGGAGAGAACCAAGAATCTTGGTCTAGTGGTGCCCAACTGGGCACCACAATCCCAAATCCTCAACCACCGCTCCACCGCCGGTTTCTTGACACATTGTGGGTGGAATTCGACTCTGGAAAGTGTAGTCCGTGGCGTACCATTGATTGCCTGGCCGCTGTACGCAGAGCAGAAGATGAATGCCGTAGCGCTAACTGAGGATATAAAGGTGGCACTGAGGCCAATGGGCGGTGAAAATGGGGTAGTTGGGAGAGAAGAAATCGCACAAGTTGTGAAGAGTTTAATGGAGGGTGAAGAAGGGAAGACGGTGAGACAGAGAATGAGAGAGCTAATGGATGCAGCTGCCACGGCTCTCAGTGAAGATGGGTCTTCCACTAAAGCACTTTCTGAATTGGCCTCCATTTGGAAGAAGAAGATGGTAATTCCTCCATAATTGGTCCAATTATATATATTTACCGCTGAAAATTAAATAAGTTGTATCTGGGGTTTGATTTAATGGAAGATTCGTTTGGTTAAAAAAAAAAAAAAAAAAAAAGTTGTAATGCAAAGCCATATATATTATTATTACTATTTTTTAAAAATAAAAATAAAAAATTAAAGCCCAATATAGATGAGAAATGTGATCCATTGATTCCCAACAAATTAAAGCCCACCCACTTTGGATCGGCAAATTATATCGTGCACCGCGGAGCATAATCGATTATGCACCGCGCATCAAAACGACGTCGTCTTGTTAAATGAAAAGTAACGACATTTATTTTTGGTTTTTCTGCACCCTTCCGCAAAAAGTAACTCTGTTATTCAGTTTCATTTTGTATACACTGCAGTTTCAGTTCAACACAATTACAAGTTCATTTCGATATAATTATCGTTTCATTCGATATTTATAGACTCAAATATGTGAAAATGTTATTTAATTTTATTTTGAGTTAATACCCAAAATGAGTTAATTCCAGCAATGGTCCTCTGACTATTGTAATTTTCCAAAATTAGTCCTCGACTTTTAATTTGGACGAAAAAGACACTTGACTTTTTAAACTGTTCCACCAAAGGTCCTTCCGTTAAAATACCTTTTTTTACCGTTAGTGTAGGGACAAATGTGTCTTTTCATTCTATTGCTTTCTTCTCCTTCTTAGCCTCGCAGCCATGGCTCTTTAATTTCCTCCAGTACGAAGAAAGCAGCGAAGAACTCCACAGTAAGCGGCCTGTGAAAAGGACTTCCCGAACTCTATGTCAAATGTCAGCCCCAGCAGCCCTCTGATGCCCAGAAAACGGTTTCACGAACGTTTTGGTGGAGCTGCCGGTCCAGAGTTTCTGGCCGGATTCAAGAATCCCATGGCCCTTTTGGAGGTTCGAAAAGAACAAGGTATGCAACTTGGTTTCTCTGCCGTCGTCGAGGGATACTCTTTTGGTGTCGTCGCCGCTTTGTGGGCAGAGCGATTGAAGCGTTGGAAGGATTGAATGAAGGATAGGTCGATTGATGGGTCAATGGTGGCGGATGATGTGTTGTATACTTGTATAGTGTACTTGAAGAAGTGGCAAGCCGTTGTTCCGGTGGTGTGTCCACCTAATACAAACAATAATAATTAAGTAAAACTCATTTTCAACTTCTAAATGCAGAATAATTCCTAAACAATATAATGACTGGATGGCAACTAGACATACCTCTGCAGGAATAATCTATTTGGATCACTATTGTTTATATTGATCAGGAACTCTAAAGCTAAATATTGTCTTCAAAGCAGGAGCAGGTTCATCAGCAGTGATAGTTGTGAAAAGATTCGAGTTTGTGTCCACTTTAATATATGTGGTGATATTCTTGTTCTTCAGCTGAATGTTAACATCACCTTGAAACAGATCTCCTTTCTTTATTCCCAATGAGGTAATAGCAACTCCAGTGGGAGATTACGTAGTGATCGTGAACTTGTGGTCGGTCTGGCAATCCTTATACTGAAGATCTCGAGCTTTCTTGCCGATGTTGGTGTAAAGACCAGGCCCCTTGCCCATGCTTGAATCGGAGACCAGAGGTCGGAGGACGCAGAACACCGGAGAAAAGCTCTATTTGGATTACTATTTGTTGCATAAATACTTCGTTTCGGACGGAAGAAGTAGAAGATAGAGCGATTTACCTTTGTACCCTTCACTTAATAGACACAATATAATAAAAAGACACAATTACCCCTTAAACTAACGGTCAACAAACCATAACTTAACAGAAGGACCTTTGGTGGAAAGTTTAGAAAGTCAAGTGTCTTTTTCGTCCAAATTAAAAGTCGAGGACTAATTTTGGAAAATCTCAATAGTCGGAGGACCATTGCTGGAATTAACTCTACCCAAAATCGTCCCTGACTATAGTGGTTTTTCTCAATTTCGTCCTAAATGACTTTGGTGACTTAATATCGTCCCAGACTTTTGTGTTTCGCTCAATTTAGTCCCAGACTTTTGTGTTTTTGCTCAATTTAGTCCCTCATTTGTTATTCTGTCCATTTGGTGTTAAATAAATAGACAATTCAGTAATTTTAATATTGGCATCTCTTTACTCATAGACATGTGAACTGCGAAATCCTTTTTTTTTACGAATTACTCCCAGAATTACTCCTAAAACTGCGAATATAAAATTTGATTTGCAGGTCCGGGAGTAATTCTGGGTGTAATTCGTATAAGAAAGAGGAATTTCGCACTTCACAAGTTGAAAGTAAAGAGAGATCAATATTGACATTACTGAATTGTCCCTTTATTTAACACCAATTTGACGGAATAACAAATGGAGGACTAAATTGAGCGAAACACAAAAGTCTGGGACGATATTAGGTCACCAAAGTCGTTTAGGACGAAATTGAGAAAAACCACTATAGTCGATGACGCTTTTGGGTATTAACTCATTTTATTTTATATACACTATAATTTTATTAAAACTCAACTACATGATCATTTTGATATAATTACAGCTTAATTATACAATATACACTCAAATATGTGAAATGTTATTCAGTTTCATTTTATATACACTACAGTTTCATTTCACCATAACTACATTATCATTTTGATATAACTGAAGTTTCATTTGATAATATAAAAATAATAGATGTACTGTAGTGTTAGTTGGTGTTTAATATACCGAACATGCGGACTCTGTTAACGGTAACGGCAGACCGTTTCTTTACTTAAAGAAACGATGTCATTTTTTACCGCGGTGCATCATGCACCGCAATCTATGATATAACAACTGCTTTGGATCCACATCTCCAGTGGAAACATAAAAGAAAAGGAAACTGTTTTATTTGACGTAAGGAAAATGTTGTTTTTGTTTTACTTGTTACTCCGTATTATAAATGAAGAAGATATCCACATATACAAGCTCTTACATCAAATCTCATTATATTCACCGACTTGATTCAACTACAAATTAAAAATAAAAATCAAGTCATTCAACAAATTGATATATATATATATATATATATATATATATATATATATATTCACACACACAAAGAATGAAGAACAATTGTCTCCTATTCTCGGCGTGTAAATTGACGTGTGGGCAACAGATATCTTGTCAGTTGTTCTCTGAAGAGAATAGGCTGAATAGTCCATCCAGAGAAAGCTATTCTTCCCTCCCCCTCTCCGCATTTTTCCCCTCCAGTCCCTCTTTCTCGTCTTTCTTCATTTATATCTTCTCTCAAAATCAAGCATTGATGATGCTTGTAACCAATTACTTCAAAAAGAATAATTAAGTAAATATAACATAATTCTTATCCTAAAAAGTCATATAGCTATTACATAATAGCAAATATTGATTACGAGTATCAAGAGTTAGGGGTGTGCAAATTTTGGAGAAATTTCGGTTAACCGACCGAACCGACGAAATTCGGTTAACCGTTTTCGAACCGAAATATTTCGGTTAACGGTTAATTCGGTTCGAAAGTGTCGGTTAACCGAATTAACCGAACGGTTAACCGAATTTTAGAATATATATATAATATATAATATATTAAATATTAAATATATAATTACTAAAATAAAAAATAGTCAAAATGTCAAATAGAATACATAATAATATGAATTTATTATGATATGTATTTTATTTTAATTGGAATTATTATTTTAGGAATTATTTTATAGATTTTAAATTTTAGGGTTAAAAATTTCGGTTAATCGGTTAACCGACCGATTAACCGAAAAAAAAGTTCGGTTCGGTCAATTCGGTAGAGTAAATTTCGGTTCGGTTAACGGTTAAAGCAAAAAAAAGTTCGGTTAATTCGGTTCGGTTAAAACGGTTCGGTTAATGGAACGGTTAACCGAATGAACACCCCTATCAAGAGTGCTTGGTCAATTGACTAGCAATATTTATAAGCAACAACGGAATAAATTTATATTAGTTCGGTTCAAAGTAAATCACTAGTTAGACGACTTCCTTTGAAGGGAAAAAAAAAAAAGGTGAAAACTGGCGTCACCTCTCCAGCTCAGGCCACACGTGCAAAGAAATGAAATGTCAATAATGTGGGACGAAATGTAGACCCGGTAAAAGAAGGACGCAAAATCAATTGGGAGATTGGTGACGCAAGGACGACGTTATAGATGACGTGCGTCGTTGAATACACAGCTCCCAACAGCACACCCACGTGAGCGTTCACATAGAAATGTCCAAAACTCTAGAAATCAGTGTGGGCGGGCCGGGCGGGTCGGGTGGCCATCATTAATGAATTCCACACGACAGCGTACTAACTACATGTTTAATGTTTTACACGAAATTTTAGTATACTCGCGTCCGGTCAAACACCCATAGCTTCGAAACAAAATAGGCAATTGCTATTCTGTCCATAAATTATTAATCCGTATTATTATTTTGAGATATGATAAGATAACAAATATATCATATATTATATGTCAATTTTATAATATTTATTATACCCTCCTCGTTAGAAAACTTATATCATACGGAGTAATTTATTTTCAGGACGGCGAAATCTATTTTAATATCAATAATAAAGTGTTTAATGATATTTTTTTTAAATTTAACATTTAAGGCAAAGTACATATAATTCATTTTGCAGAATTGTATTAAATATGTTATTATTATTATTTTTGAATTTCCTCAGCTAGCTATATTAGAATTCCACATAGTTAGGGACGGAGCCAGAAATCCAGTTGAGGGGGGACGAAACAGTACAGACAGATTCAGAAATTTTTTTCAGAAAAAGCAAAACATTAAAACAAAAGAGATAATTTAAAAATAAATAAACTACCTAAGAAATATAATTGTAAATATTGTTGGATATGGACGAAAAATAAAACACATCGAAACTTTATAAAAATATTCATAACAAAATATGAAACATAATTAATAAAATAATTTGAATAGAAAACACATTATAAATTAGTGTGTGTAATATTTAAAAAGCTATTAAAAAAGAATTGCAAAACAATATGGATGCTAAGATTGGAACCCTTAAACCTCATTATTACTAAAGATGTGCTCTACCACCTACTCTAACTCACTTCATGTTAACATTTTATAGTTTTTTTATACTAATACTAAAACATGTACTATATATACATATATACATACAAATACTATATATGGGGTGGGGGTGGGGGTGGGGGTGCGGGTGGGGTGAGGGGGGGCAGCCGCCCCCCCTCTCCCTCCGTCCCTGCACATAGTGACACTCACTCATGAGCTATAAGACTTAAAAGACCAGCTAAACTTGTAGCTACTATTCGAGGGTGAGTCTAACTTAGTTTGATCATGTGATCACCTATTCGGTAGCTATTAATAGTACATAGACTTCAATACTTTATAAGGTAATAAACAAATTCACCATATTTTTTTTTCTAAAATATTATTTTTCTACATAAGTATGTCAACTTTATCTCTTTACTAATATTTTTTTTTTTTTGAAGCACACATAATTTTTTATAATATAATATTTGTTTTATATTTTTTTCAACTCAAAGAATCAATGCCGCACCATGGAGTTAAATCATGTGAGTATGTGACCATCTATTTGGAATGATAATGACGGTGTCATCATGCTATATAGTACGGAGTAGTTGGTAATTGTATCTCTTTACTATTTTTTTTTTTTTAAATTATTGACTCTATTACAAGATGGTATAGTATATGTTAATTTTTTTTTTTTTTAACTATCTAATTGGTTTATATTTGTATGATTCGATTTAGTCTGAGATATATGGAAAGATATATATAGATGCTGTTCCGTACAAAGATTGTTTAATCATCATAGTTTTGAGACGTGAATCAATCAACAGAAATGAGTGACTCTTTCTATCTTATTTTAGCTTTTTAAAAAAAGTTATTTACTATATTAGTTTTGATTTATTCAGTATTCCTAACTTTTTGGACTTTTAATTAGCTCTAAATTCATTGCATTTTGTTCAAATAATCTGACATGTGTCCAACTTCTAAATAACTTTTTAAATTTCTTTTATTTGTTTTGATTAATTTTTAGTTAATTGACAATTTGGATTAAAATCGAATGCTACGGAGTATTAGATTGAATTCAATAAGATCAACGTTTAGGCAAAAAAAAAAAAATAAACCGAGCCGGGAGGTGGCGTCGGCACCATCAACGGAAGTTAGCAGAGCAGCAGCCGCAGCGCTCCAGGCATACGGTGCTGCCCAGGATGCGGCGTCGGCACCATCAACCGAGCCGGGAGGTGGCGGCCTGCGGTGTTACGTGGATGCGAGCTTCCGTCACGGCACGGGCGAGGCTACGTACGGCATATTATTAATAGCGCCAGATGGCTCTTTTGTGGCAGCAAAAAATGGCAAGTTGCCGGTTTGTTTCTCACCACTTATGGCGCAGGCGCAGGCGTATAAGGAAGCACTGTTTTGGCTACTTGAACGGAACAACACATCAGTCAATTTACTCACGGATTGCATGGAGTTGACTATAATTATCCGGCACCATGACACGTCGATTCATTCGTACGTTGAGGTCACAGTTGATCAATGCAGAACACTTATGTCTTTATTTAATCGTATTACTTTGAATTATGTCTCTAGACAGGTTAATTTACATGCGCATACTTTAGCTTCGTTAGCATTTACGCAGGATCAAGCTATGTACTGGGATTCAATCCCACCTGACGCTATTTCGACTTTGATTCATTAATACAATCGCAAGATTGACCTTAAAAAAAAATGATATTTCAGTAAAAAGAAAATCGTCACAAGATAAAACAAACAATATATTATTAATACAAACAAATTAAATGAGTGTTGTAACAAGTGATGTCATACTTCTCGTTGAAACATTAAGCATAATCCTTCTTCCCCTTGAAATATTAATGGGGCGTTTGGTTGGAAGACGGAAATTATGTGGGAAATGAATTGCAATTTAATGAGAAATAAATTATTGAGAATAAAGTGAGAATTTAAATTCAAGTGTTTGATTTACAGGAATAAAATTATTCGGAATTTCAATTTCAATGTTCGATATACATGAGAATTGAACAGGAATACGTAGTATAAAGTCCAAAATGTCCACTGTTGTTATCAGACATCAATTTTAAGTTTAAAAAGAAATGAAGGTAATTTTATCTCATCATTATCTTTTTTTTTTCTTCCCAAGATCCATAGAATTAAAATCCCAAGGGGCATGAGATTTTAATTCTATAAAAATGAGGGAATTGTAATTCCATGAAATTGTAATTTCTTCAAACCAAACTAAGGATTTCAGTGGCTTTTGGAATTATGTGGGAATGCTCCAACCAAACGCCCTGTAAGGATTAATAAGCATAATCCTTATTAATTACAAACCAAATCACAAATGGTTGTATTTGGCAATTGATTCAAATACCAAGATTGACCAAATAAAGTGACAATTTAAGCCATGAGTCAATGAGGATTATTTCTTCCAAAAGTCTGAATCCCACACCTCGATTCCAAAGAGTATGGATGTAAGTTTAGGTAAATCAATGATTCAGCAGACAAAATCAAATGTGGGTGGTAGAAAGAAAAATTGTATGTATTAAAATTAAACAAATCAAAATGGAAAATTGTATGTACAAGGAGTCAACGTAACTCTACAAAATATTTGGTTAAATTAGGAATTGGATTGGAATGGTAATTAAAGGTTAGGATTCAGCGTCTTTTGAGTCCACGTGAGTATTTCCGTATAAATAGCGCTATCCCCTTTAGCTTTTTGACACACAAAAGAAAAAATAACAATAAAAGCTTTTGGCTCTCTTCATTCAGCCGGCATCTCCTCTCCTCCAACAACAATGGCGACACAAACTCCTCACGTGGTCATCGTGCCCACACCTGGGATGGGTCACCTTATCCCCCTCGCCGAGTTCGCTAAGCGCCTCGTTCTGCAACACCAATTCTCTGTCACTTTCGTCCTTCCCACCGACGGCCCCATTTCCACCGCGCAGAAAACAGTCCTCGAAAACCTCCCCGCCGGCACTCACTACACTTGTCTCCCTCCGGTCAGCTTCGACGACTTGGCGGACGACGTCAAGATCGAGACTCGCATATCCCTCCAAATAACCCGCTCCCTGCCGGCGTTTCGCGATGCGTTCAAGTCCTTGGTTGCGACGACCAACACCGTCGCCCTCGTGGTTGATCTTTTCGGGACTGACGCTTTTGACGTCGCCATCGAATTCAAGGTTTCTCCTTACATATTCTACCCTTCCACTGGCATGTGTTTGTCCTTGTTCCTTCACATGTCGGAGCTGGACCAGAAAGTGTCGGGCGAGTATAGAGACATGACTGAGCCGGTCCAGATCCCGGGCTGCAGCGTACCGATTCAAGGCAAGGATCTTCTCGCACCGGTTCAGGACCGGAAAGACGAGGCCTACAAATGGGTTCTTCACCACACAAAACGGTACAGAATGGCGGAGGGTATCGTGGCCAACACCTTTATGGAGTTGGAGCCCGGTGCAGTAAAATTCCTGATACAATCAGAACCCGGGAAGCCCACGGTTTACCCAGTAGGACCGCTGATAAAGATGCAGGAAGAAGAATCCGGCACCGGAAAATTAAACGGGACTAGCGTTAATCCCTGCCCTATTCTGGAGTGGCTAGACCAGCAGCCCCGCGGGTCGGTTCTGTACGTCTCGTTCGGCAGCGGCGGTACCCACACTCACAAACAGCTGATTGAGATCGCTTCGGGATTGGAGAAGAGCGAGCAGCGGTTTATATGGGTGGTCAGGTGTCCAAACGACTCGATCTCCAACGCTACTTATTTCAGCGCCCAGAGCTCAACCAACCCTCTGGATTTCATGCCACCAGGCTTCCTGGACCGGACCAAGGGGCTAGGCCTGGTGGTCCCCGACTGGGCACCCCAGACCCAAATCCTAAGCCACGAGTCAGTCGGAGGATTCTTGACTCATTGCGGATGGAACTCAATTCTGGAGAGCGTGGTCCACGGGGTCCCACTAATTGCATGGCCAATGTATGCAGAACAGAGGATGAATGCTGTGATGGTGAGTGAAGATATCAAAGTGGCACTCCGACCAAAGGCCGGCGAAGATGGATTAGTGGGAGAACTGGAAATTGCTGAGACAGCCAAAGCACTCATCCAAGGCGAAGAAGGCAAAGAAGTGCGCAAAAGAATGAAAGATCTCAAAGATGCAGCTCACCGCGTACTCACACCAGACGGCTCTTCCACCAAAGCACTAGCTGACCTGGCATCCAAACTCAAGGCCAAAATTATTGCTTAATTCCTTATCCTAATCTTAGTTTCACCAAATGTGAAATACATATATGTATGTATGTATTTACTATTCAATTCCCTTCCTCCACCCCGATCCCGAGAATCCCACCACTCCTGTTCCAAACTTGTTTTGACATAGAACATAAATCGTAAAATGTGATGAATTGCGAAATGTGTTTCAGTATAGTAGAATTTATCAATGAATACCCCAATGTATAGGTAATGGAATGAGATATGGTTGAAGCATATTGAATTAATGATGGGAATTGAAACTTTACCCAAATTTCTTTATTACCTTTTGGTGTTAATTGGTGTCATAATTAAAAAGAAAAGTAGGAGAGAGTAGGTGAGAAAATGGTAGTGGTAGTGTGGCCAGCTATCAAATTATCAATCAAGAAAATAAAAGGTGTAGGGTCCCTTAACTAGAAACAATACCAAAATTTTAAAAATGGTTAGCTGTTACGGAGTACTTGTTAATAAGAGAAAAATATTTACAAAATTGTATAAAGGCTTTTTCAAACAATTAATGTCACAGCATTAAAGACGACCGCAAACACTTGTTGAATGAGTGACTACAAGCGTCCAGACAAGCACCTATGATCCGACTATTTTAAATATCTCAATTTATGGTGTACGTTTAATTTGCCCAAAGTCACAAAGTGTCACATCCGCTCCATTAAAAAATAAAAAATAGAGTTAATATCAACGAAGCTCTCTTCTATTTGGTGACAATTTTAAATTTAGTTTAAAGATTATTACTTTTGTTATTCAACGCCTTAGACTATCATATTTTGGACATTTTTGGTACTTTCAACGACTTTTCTGGTTAAAACCTTTTTTACGTAAGGGTATTTTTGTCTTTTCATTTTTTTTTCCAATTTTTTTACGTCGATTTTCATCTCTTCAGTCATAGATTGCACAATCTCATTCACTTGGATCTTGTCTTCATTTCCTTCAACCCATTCCTAAATCATCCTTCATCAATTGTGATACTGAGTATGTGAGGACCTCCAAATGCAGGAGAATCATTTTGCAATGCAGTTGGAAAGCTCATGATGTCGTCACCCGATTAGATTTTGTTTGACCGCTATTGTTGCAGTACACGATTATGTCGGGGGGGAGGGGAGGGGGGGGGGGGGGTTAAACCTTGTCACAAAGATACGAGTTTTAAATCACAAAAACTAGTGTCAATGATTAGATTTAGAATTTTCACCAAAGATATAGGATCTCCGCTGCAATTAACTCATGGAAAAAATAATTAAAAAATTGAAGAAACGAAAATACCATTGTCTAAAATCGATTTTCACCGAAAAAATTATTGGAATGATCAAAAGTATCCAAAATATGGTAGTCTAGAGTGTTAATTAAATGGCAAAAATGATAATTTAGAATTAAATTTGGAATTGTCACCAAAGACAATGAACATCTGCTGGAATTAACTGTTAAAAATAAATATGAGTTCTCTTATTAACTAGTTCAAGTGTAGTTTAATCAACATTTAGTCTTCTTTTTACTGAAACTTTAACCAATCAGTAGTGGAGATCTCTTTATGTTTAGAAATGTACAAGTGGAAAACCCATAATTACTTGGATAACTCGGATTTAACTCACTCATGGACCTTTAGTATGGATTTGTAGTGTAAAATATACTCCGAAGTTCAGTATGGTAAAGTCATGGAAAAAAAAATACTCCGTAATAAATATAGGTTGCGTGATATGCATGTCATGCTGGTGTTAGGTATGGTAAATTGTCAGCAATGTAAAAGATAGAAACACAAGGTTAATCCATGGTAAATTGGTAATTTCAGTGAGGGCAGCCTGTACTATGTTGGATGTTAACGTCAAAGTTAAAAACATCACATAGACATATATATATATAGATATTAAATTTGGTCATTCTAGAAACTTGCAGCCAGAATATTCCAACGTGCTTACACTAGCATGACATTATCAATGCACGTATTGACGTGTACTAACATGGCTGTTTAAATGAATATATATTTGCATCGTGCTGGATAGGATTGTTAAGGAACTGATAATAAATGAACGAAGGTTCTTTGTGTCTTTTTGTTAAGAATTTTGGGATGTTCGTGCTCGTTTATTAAAGTTTTTAAAAATTATGTTCGTATTCGTTTGTTAAGTGTTCATTAGTGTTTGTTAATGTTCGTGAACACGAATGTGTTCGTTTACGTTAACGAACACGTTTCCGAACATGTTTGTCAATGTTCGCGAACACGTTCATAAGCATGCATGTTCGTTAACAAACACGTTCACAAATATGTTGGTTTACGTTCATGAGCACGTTCGTGAACTTTTAATAACCAAACACCTGCACATGTTCACAATCACAATTCGTTTGTGAACAAGAAATAATTTATGTTCATGTTCGCGAACATTATTAAACAAACACTAATAGAGCTTGTTCACGAACATTATTAAACGAACACAAACGAGCTTCGCTTGTCACGAACATTATTAAACAAACACAAACGAGCTTGTTCACGATCTCTTAGCAAACGAGCATACAACTCTTCAAGCTCTGTTCGTTTATTAACCGAGCTCTAATTTTTGTTTGTTAATGGTTCATTTACCTTAATAAACGAACATAACGAACGCTTACCAAACAAAAACACGAGTAGTTTGCTGAAAGCTCTGTTCGCTAACACTTCTAGTGCTCTGTTCATTTATATATATATATATATATATATATATATATATATATATATATAGTTCCGAATTAAAAATGCAAACCTTTAAATATGCAAATTGGATGGTAGACAGTTGAGCATCCAATCATTAATTATTTGAGAGGAATTGCATGAACTATGTTAATGTATTGTGTTTAGTTGAGATGGAATATATTAAACAATTATTATTTTCTTTTTCTTGACATGCATGTATGTTAACATCGATTAGATATTTCAATTCTATGGTGCTAATTTATTTTGAATTAAAAATAGAGAACTTTAAACATGAGGATTGGATGGTAGATAATCATTATTCCCTTCATCTAGATATGTATAGTTTTTGTATAACATTTTGTTAAATATTTCAATCATGTTTGTTTGTTCCAAATTAGAAATAGAGAACTTTAAATATGTGAATTGGATGGTAAGCAACTAAAATTCTTTAAATACTTTTGCTATGATATGATTGTTTGTTCCAAATTAAAATAAATAATTATGACTATGCAAATTGGAGGGTAACCCACGATTACTATATGAGGATGTATATTAAATAAATCTTACTTTTGTGTAACAACTCATAAATCACATGCATGAAAAATAAAGACTATACAGAAAAAATATAGAGTAAACGCCAGCCAAGGTCCTCCAAATTTGGTGGTTTCGCCACTTTTAGTCCTAAATTTTCAAATCGACCACCTGTGGTCCTCTGAGTTTCGAATTCGACCTGCCGTAGTCCTTCCGGTAACTGTTTCCGTCTGCGTTGTGAAAAGTAAGGACAAAACAGTCTTTTTATTTCAATCCCAACCAAAACAAATCATTTCCCTAAAAAAAACAACTGTAGAACTGTAGAGCTTTCTTTGCCAGGAACGAATCCACAATTGTGAAATTTTCGGATTGAAATTGCGATTTTGGCTCGCCAAAGAATGGTGTTTGCGTAATTGGAAATTATTGGAGAAGAAGTTCGATGTGAGGAGATTAGGGCTAATTTAATTTTTGAGGAAAATGAATTGTTTTGGCTGGGATTGATCGAATTAAAAAGACTATTTTCCCTTACTTTTCATGGTGCAGACGGCATATGTTAACGGAAGGACTACAGCAGTTCGAATTTGAAATTCGGAAGATCACGGGTGATCAATTGAAAAGCTTAAGACTAAAGGTGACGAAACCACCAAACTCGGAAGACTTTAGCTTGCATTTACTCGAAAAAAATATTACGTGAAAGAAGTTTGACTAAAAAAAAGTATATATATTGATATGCATGCATGATCTTTAAATGATATATCCTAAAAAATTTCAAAAGTTGTATATGATTGATTGGAATCATTAAATGATATTTGTTTCTGTGTCTTTAGTATACACATGCAAATGTTTAACAAAAGGCACACCTTTCAATTGCTCTTCTTCCCTAAGGACCTTTCAATTCCTTATTATATATCCGCGCTCCTCCTTTTTTTTTTTTTTTTTTTTTTTTTTAAGATTTAAATATTTAATTTCACTCCCTAAAATAAGTGTAGAAAACTAAGTTAACGTTTTTTTTTTTTTTTTTTATTGGAAACAAAAGAAAACTAATAAGAAAAAAAAAAACTTAATGAAAATTAAACAACTATAACTCAATAAACACTATGAATGCCAATGCTTTACCGAATTTTGTAATGGCCTGTTGGGGTCTTTGGTGTAGTAGGAACTATAGTGTTTGGAAGGGTGCTGGTTTTGATGTGAATATGATGCTCCATAGGGCTATGTAGTTTCTGCGCAGTTGGAGAAATGCAAATGATAGTGATAGCCATCCTACGGCCAGGGTTGATAATGCACGCTGGACTAGACCTGTGCATGGAAGGATTAAGTTGAATACGGGTGCGGCAATAAGTCAGGGAACCAATGCTATGGGGTTCGGTTGGGTCCTCCAAGACGATGCAAGAAACTTTCTAGCAACTAAGAATGTGGTCATTCATGGCTGGGAATTATTTGGTGAAGGAAGCAAAAGCCTTGAGCTTATGGGAAGCACTCAGTTGGTTGAAGAATACAGGTCTGGAGAGTGTGGATGTGGAAATGGACTCACAGGTTGTCTTTAATAATATTCGTTCTGTGTCATTTAATTCTGTTTTTGGTTTGTTGATTGATGATGTAAGAGATTTAGTATCCGCTATCGAGGATGTTGAATTTCGTTTTGTTAAGCGATCTGCGAATTGTGTCGCCCATTCTGTTGTTAGGGAGGCCTTTTCTGTGTGAGGTTGCGGGGAGTGGTTAGACGCCCCTCCTTCTTTCCTTGTGAACATCCTAGCTTATGATTCAATGAATTAATCTTTCTTTCTCAAAAAATAACTCAATAAAGTTTAGATAACACAAGTAATTTAATGTTAAACATATAATATATAGGGAATAGTGTGTGTCACACAAACCAAATAAATAGATCTAAAAAAAATGTATTATCATATCATCATTGAAATGGTGTTTTATTTATCATTGGCCCAACTTGAAAAGTAGATGTCTACTTTTTATCCTGTTTGTGAATTAGGGAAGTATGATTGCTGGAATTGGTGGGTCAAAAGTTGTGCATTATTGCCATCATGTAGTAACCACTTCCATGACATGATAACCTTAAAACTTCAACTCCATTATAGGTTATTCTATGCATGTTATTATCCAACCCCCATTTCTTTATCTTACTTGCTCTTAATTGGTTTACTTTATTTCTTTTATTGCAAATTCTATAGGAAAAATAATCATTTTCACTAATGTTTCAACTCCTAAATGGAGAATGGTCTAAACCCACTACTATAAGAAAATGATTTAATTTGTCCAAATTAAAGCCATGCTGTCATTATTTGCAATTAAAATTTGAAAGGGTATAATAAATTTGAATGAAAATAGAAAAATGAGATCCAAAAGAGATATGAGAGTGTCACAAAGATTTAACGTAAATGGGAGGAGGAGAATAATGGGTTGTTGTGAATATTATTTATTTGCGTAATTGATCAATGCTTGAATATGGGCCAGAGCCCAGAGGTCTAGGTTGCTTCATCCATGGTGATGAGTTGGGCTTAGTCGGGCCAACTGCATTCCATTCCATACTAATTTCCATCATTGACATTATATTACAATGTTTAATATGAAGGCCCGAGCCTGAGGCCCAGAACCAGTCATTATAATATCAAGAAGACATAGAATAGATCGATAATCCTAATCAAGATAACAAGAGATTTAATTACAATATTACAAATTCAAATGCTTACATTTTAAGAGATCTAATTACAAGATTAGAGTTCGAATGCTTACATTTTACTTGATTTGAACCACTTAACTATTAGTACTTGTCATTAAAAAAAAAAAAAAGAAAGATATAGAATAGGCAGATAAGATGGGGAACTGTGATTTGACATGAGTGGACTATAAAGCAACAAATTACAGAGGTGAAGGCAACTTAGAAATGGAGGAGAGCAGGCATAGGGTTTGTGTTATCGGAGGTGCAGGTTATGTGGGCTCTTCATTGGTGAAGAAGCTTATAGACGAAGGCCACACTGTTCATGCAACGCTTAGGAGCTTGAGTACGTATATGCAGGCGATCTAGCTTTTCTTAAATAAACGCCTGATCTGATATGATCTTATGAATAATTGGATCTGATTATTATAATACATATATGAATGCAGGTGAGGAGTCGAAGGTGGGGTTGCTGAAGAGCTTCGCCGGCGCCGATGAGCGACTGAAGTTATTCGAAGCTGATCTTTTCAACAAATCCGAACAAATTGAGCAGGCTATCCATGGCTGTGAATTTGTGTTCCTTGTGGCAACGCCCACACCGCAAGCCAGAAGGTTGAACGTGGATGCAATAGTGGAGGGAGTAAAGAACGTGGCATATGCTTGCAGTAGATGCGGAAGCGTTCGGAAGCTGATCTATACCGCCTCCACCGGCGCCGCTTCGCCGTTGAAAGAAGACGGGAATGGTTTCAAAGGCGTCATGGACGAAACATGCTGGACTCCTCTCCCTCTTCCTTTCCACCATTGCGATCATAGCCTAGGGGTAAGCTAAGTTCCGTTCACAGTAATTGATCGAGACAGCTCAACCTATTTTAACCTAATCCTTTTTTCAGTGGAAATTTAAAATGTCATTTCCCCTTTTTAGATTTAGATTTAGCTTCCTTATCATCAATTTCATCTTATCTCCATAAAATTGAAGGATTATATAGAAAGCAAAACATTGGCGGAGAAAGAAATGTTGAAAATTGGAAATGATGAAGGATTGGAAGTGGTGAGCTTAGCACTGGGAGTTGTGGGAGGAAATACGTGTTTATGGTACTGTCCCTATACTCTGTCCATCTTCTTCTCACAACTCACCGGCGACAAGAGTGGACAAAGCTCCTTGAAATTCGTAGAGGATTTACTGGGGAAAATCGCAGTTGTACACATAGAAGATGTGTGCGATGCTCATATCTTCGCCATGAAAGCACCAAATGGTTCCATGTCTGGGCGTTTCCTCTGCACCAACTCCTTCGTTTCTGCTGCAGAAATCGCTAACTATTTGCGCCAAAATTATCCTGAATTTAATCTCAACCTGCGAGACCAAGAGTACGTACCTAGTGCTTTCCATCGTATATTAATATATATATAAAGTACAATTTGATCCTTATATTAATTTTATTTTGTTTATTTACAATTATAACATGATTTAAACCACGTTATATACTAAGTAACATATAATAATGTATTTACTAGTTGCAGTCGTTGCATGATGAATGGACCTGAGGGACAAGTGGTGTTGAATTATGAAAAGCTTCTTCACAAAGGGTTCACATACAAAAAATCCTGGAAAGATGTGATTGATGATTCTGTTAGCTGCGGGAGGAGATTTCGGCATCTCTAACCTGGAGCCAAGCCAACTCAAAATACATAAATTGAATATATATGTATTATTATGTATTATTATGTATAGGAATAAGGTTCAAATTGACCACTGAACGTAACCTGAAAAAGCAATTAGGCCACTGAACGAAAAAAAAGTGCAATTAGGCCACTGAACACTCCAAAAATGTGCAATTTCACCTGACAACAGGTTACCCTCAATTTTAGCAGGTTATCTGCTTACGTGGCAGCTGAGTTGTCATTTTTAATAAATTTTAAATATTTTTTAATAAATTTTAATAATAAATTTTTATTTAAATTTTTTTTAAAAAAATAAAAACGACTTTATTTTATTTTTTATTTATTTCTTTTTTCAATTTTTTATAAAATTTATTATTAAAATTAATTATTAAAATTTATTTAAAAATTATTAAAAATGTCAACTCAGCTGCCACGTAAGCAGGTAACCTGCTATCCGGTGAAATTGCATACGTTTGGAGAGTTCAGTGGCCTAATTGCACTTTTTTTTCGTTCAGTGGTCTAATTGCATTTTCAAGTTAGGTTCAGTGGCCAATTTGAACCTTATTCCTTATGTATATAGTTTGCCGTTTGAAATAATACCTAGGTGTATTGTATTACAATTAACTTATAATGAGCTCAATAAATTTTCGAGTTGGTTATTTGTTCTTAATTGGGCCAACCCTGGATGCTTTATTCCATCATTATTGAAGCTATGTTTACTAAACCTAGCTGAATGTAGCTGAAAGTTTAAAATGAGCTTAAAACTGAAAAGTTATTAAGCTAGCTATTATGTTTGAAAGTGTTTGGTAAAATTAACTTTTTAATAAGTCGATAAATGTAAAAAGACAAAAAAAGACATCTTCATAAAATTTAAATTAGTTTATTTACATATTAAAATTTAACATTTTGTCTTTAAAAAATTAACATTTTGAAATAAAATTATTAGCATAATCATAATCTAGCATCTCATAATGAAGCAGCAATATTGTTGTGAATCTCCTTCATCTAATAATAATAATAATTGCGGTGAAAGTTGCAGATAAAGTAGAAGAGAAAATGATTTTAATTGGGAAGGATAAAGGATGTCATTTCTTTAAAATAATAAGGATAAAGATGGAAAAAAAGTTAGGAAGCTACTAACTTATTTTGAAACGCTACTTAAGGTAACGTACCAAAATAAACTTTTATTTTAAGCTACGAGCTTATTTTGAGAACATTAACAAACATAACTTATAGCTTATTAGTAGCTTAAAATAAGTTATAAGCTCTGCAAAATTTTGATTGGATCACAAAACAACATGATATAGAGAGAAAGTCACCAAACATGGGAAGTAGTGAGACTTTGGTTATAACCGAAGTAAGCTTTTACTAAAACGGATGCAAAACATGTTCCAACATTATCTCTATAAATTCATTGTGTCCATTTGACAAACTTACGTTAGATACGTTTCTAGAATGTTAATTTGACAATCAAACTAATGTGAGATGCATTCTTTTTTTTTTTTTGGATAATGTAATAGGCAAATTATGCTGTGCATCCGTGTAGTGCATACGGATGCAAAAACGGCGTCGTTTTACTTTTAAAAAAAATCATTTTCGATTGTCGTTAGTTACGTAAACATATGTTCATAATTTTATAATTTCACATTCTGGATTTATAGTAATAAAATTATGGATGTGTAGTTATGCAATTTTGGATTTATAGTTATGAAGTTATGGATGTGCAATTATGCATGCAATTCTGAATTTATAGTTATGAAGTTATAATTTCACATTCTGAATGTATATAGTTATGAAGTTATGGATGTGTAGTTATGCAATTCTGAATGTATAGTTATGAAGTTATGGATGTGTAGTTATGCATGCAATTCTAAATGTATATTTATGAAGTTATGGATGTGTAGTTATGCATGCAATTCTGAATGTATAGTTATGAAGTTATGGATGTGTAGATTGGCTACAACATTAGATGTGGTAGATAGCATTAATCAATACATGAATTATCATAATCGGGCTAAAGGTATCACTTATTTAACTTGTGATTCTGTTTGTAAGTCCAATTCAAATGTATATGTGCTAGCGGATTTGCACACCCCATAATTCTTGAATGGTTTGCGATACTCTAGAGTACCGAATCATGCTTTGACTTTGAAAATTGGATCAGCTGTTATGCTTTTGAGAAATATTGATCATACTCTAGGATTGTGTAATGGTACGAGGTTGATTGTTACAAGGCTGGCTGATCACGTATTGGAAGCCCAAATCATGTGTGGTACAAATGCATGAACAAAGGTAGGTTTTAATTCCCAGAATGTCACTAACACCGTCAGATCCAAGATAGTCTGCACAAATTCCAACGAGAGTAATTTCCTTTGATGCTATCTTTATGCCATGACAATAAACAAAAGCCAAGGGAAAACACTCTCAAAAGTGGGATTGTTTTTGAAAATGCACATCTTTAACCATGGACAAATGTACATAGTTGTTTCAAGGGTTAGTAACCCAAGGGGTTTAAAATTTTTTATTTGTGTCGAAAATGTAACATGTCTAAGTACGACGAAAAATGTTGTGTACAAAAAAGTCTTCAACAATGTGTAATAAAATTACACAAACTTTATAATTTTAAAGCAGAATCTAGCCACAAAATTTTCCCTTCAAAGTGTGAATGCATTTTTATAGAAACAAGATTAGCAAGTATGAATGCATTATATATATATATATATATATATATATATATATATATATATATATATATATATATATATATAAAGTCGTGCATCGCACGGGTGCAACTACTAGTCTTTATTATCTTTATTATTATATATAATAAAGCAGAATCTAGCCACAAAATTTTCCTTTCAAAGTGTGAATGCATTTTGATAGAAACAAGATTAGCAAGCATGAATGCATTAATTGTGTGGATAGATATATTTATACATATTTTTTTGAAGTTATTATGTGTATTTATATTTTATAAATTATATTTTATTATTATAGCTCTATCTCTATCTCTATATCTATCTCTATATATATTAAAGCATAATGAAGTATGGAAAAAAAAGTTTATTGTGTTCAAATTTATTGGTGAAGTTTTATATTTAATATAATTTGTGTATATATTCATTTAAACCTCAATTATAATTAATTTGGCTCCACATATATAAAGAGGAGAAATTAGATATAAAATAAATATAGTTCTTACATAAATAATCTTTTTCAAATGAATAAGTTTTTGGTGGAGATTTTCGACAAATATTATCTGTTATTTTATTTACAAGTTTTATTTAAATACGTTAGTTATATAATTAAAATAGTTATTTCAATTTCAAATTCCTTTAAAAAAAATTCAAATTCAAATAATAATAAAAGTAACAATAAACTTTAAAATCAACATAATAATAGCATAATTAAACTTTTAAAAATATTAAATATTACATTGTATAGTTATATTTACATTTTTAATCAAACTAATTCTGAGATCGAGAACTCTAATACGTTTTTATGTTTCCATAACCATTACTTTCTTTGCTAATTCAGAGAATATCAAAATTTTAATTAATAAATTTATTAAATTAATAATAGTTCATGCATCGCACTGGTTAATAAGTGGTTAATAAGTAGTTTAAATATAATGGTAAAACAAAACACGAACATAAATATAATTCCCAAAAATAGGCAATCAAACAAAAAGTGAAAGAAAAGTAAACAATCACTCTTAACAATTTATGGCACCGACATTTTTTCATCCAATTATTATTATCACATGTCAAATATGGCCTTACTTTTATCGATGTTATAATTTATACAATTGTATATCAATTTAAATATTTTAAAAATATTATAACAAATTCATTCCGTATAATGCACGGACAAAAATATTAGTATATAATAAAGCAGAATCTAACAACAAAATTTTCCCTCCAAAGTTTGAATGTATTTTGGTAGAAACAAGATTAGCAAGTATGAATGTATTAATTATATAGGTAGATGTATTTATGTGTATTTATATTTTATAAATTAAATTTTATTATTATAGCTATATATATATATTAAAGCATAATGAAGTATGGAAAAAAATTTATTGTATTCAAATTTATTCGTAAAATTTTATATTTAATATAATTTGTGTATATATTCATTTAAACCTCAATTATAATTAATTTGACTCTACATATATAAAGAGGAAAAATTAGATATAAAGCAAATATAGTTCTTACATAAATAATATTTTTCAAATGAATAAGTTTTTTGTGGAGATTTTCGACAAATATTGCATGTTATTTTATTGAAAGCTACTGGTTCTATTACATTGTAGTATCTGCTCATATACTTTCCACTCAGGCTTGAACTCATAATCTTCCAAATGGAAGTCCAACCCGGGTACCATTAGACCATATAGTCTTGGTATTTACAAATTTTATTTAAATACATTTGTTATATAATTAAAGTAGTTATTTCAAATTCAAATTCCTTTTAAAAAAATCAAATTCAAATAATAATACAAGTAACCAAGCAATCTTGTGGCATTCAAAAAAAAAAAAAAAAACCAAGCAATCTTGTGGTTGTGACCTCTCCCATGTGGGAGGTCATGAGATTGAGCCTCAGTGGAGACGTGTTGTGCTTCATTACTTTCTTTGCTAATTCAGAGGATGTCAAAATTTTAATTGATAAATTTGTTAAATTAATAATAGTTTGTGCATCGCACGGGACAATTACTAAGTATATATATATTGAAAATTAATTTAAATTCCACCCAAACCTAGCCCACAAAGTTGATTTTTTTAACGGTGGAAAAGTCTGCTTATTATATTCCAAGTCCACTAGGATCACTACTCTATAACACGATGAAATGATGAATATCTACCCTTACAGTCACCCATACATTTCTCCACACTCCACAGGGATAAGAAGAAGAAGAAGATGATGCATGTTTGTGTGACTGGAGGTGCAGGTTACCTGGCCTCTTTTCTCATCAAAACCTTGTTGAGCAGAGGCTATACAGTGCATGCCACTCTCAGGAATTTAGGTGAAAGAAATACCCTCCATTAATGGCTATCTTGCTTCTTTAATGTGGTCTAAAAATCTGATTTTTTTTGAGTAAAATATATAGGTGATTCCACCAAGGTAGGGCTTCTCAAAGGACTTCCTGGTGCAGAAACAAATCTGAAACTGTTTGAGGCAGATATATACAGACCAGATGAATTTGTTCCTGCCCTTCATGGCTGTCAAGTGGTGCTTCATTTGGCTACTCCTCTTCTCCACAACCAGCAAAGCTCTAAGGTTCTGTTACTGTCAGATCTATATATACAAATTTAAAACTATGATTTTTGCATATATATAATTTGTCTAGACTCTAGATTCATGTACTCTGTCAGGTATCCTTTCCCTTGTCTTAAAAAATAGATTTTGGAGCTGTCTACAAATTATATTTGCAATTTCATGAATCAAAATATTTTAATTTTAGAGAAATGTTAGAGTGTGTTTGGTTCGCACATGAGAATCAGAATCGGAATGGGTATCAAATACTCCGTACTTGGTAATGGTAATGGGTTTTGATGAAAGTATTTTGCATGTTTGATAGTAGGGTGGAATGAGAATGATTAGGCTAAGGATGAATAATGGGATGAAACCCTTATAAAATAAGGGAATGAGTTTTTCCATTAATCAAGTATTCCAAACTCATAGTAGTTGTTTTAAAAACCAGTCAACCAAACAACAATAACCATCACTTTCATACCCATACTGAGTGCTAAACTTGCCAACCAAACACACCCTTAGTTGAACATATGACATACTATATGTTGTCTCATGTCTGTAGTACAAGAACACATCGGAGGCAGCAGTGGATGGGGTGAGGAGTATTGTGGAGGCGTGTATAAGAGCAGGAACTGTGAAGAAACTCATCTACACTGCCAGTGTCATGGCTGCAGCTCCACTGAGCCACGAAGACGCTACCAGTTTCAAGGACTCCATGGACGAGACTTGTTGGACTCCTTCCAATTTCCCAATCCCTTACCCCATTGATTTGCTTGTGGTATGTATGTATGGATGTTGTATGTATCTGCAGCTTTTTTTTAAAAAATAATAGTTTTCTTGATTATATTTCTGGGTGCAGTAATTTTGTTGATGCTCTCTTTGCAGAACTACGTGCACTCAAAGACAGCAGCAGAGAAAGAAGTGCTGAGCTACAATGGGAGAGGCATACAAGTGGTGTCTCTTGCTTGTGGCCTAGTTGGAGGCCGCGAGACACTTCAATCTGTGATACCTGAAAGCGTGGGGGTGATCGTCTCACAGGTTGCAAGGGACAAGAATAGGTATGAAATGCTGAGGTTTTTAGAGGAATTGTTGTCAAAAGTTCCACTTGTACATATACAAGATGTAACTGCAGCACATGTTTTCTGCATCGAGAATTCGGACATCAATGGCAGGTTTCTTTGTGCTAACAGCTACCTAAAATCCGTCGAGATTGCCTCTTACTATCAGCATCATTCCCCCCTCATTACCATCCCTCAAGAGTAAGTAGTATGTTACGGTACTGTTAATTGGAGATTAAAAGGTTTGAATTTGATGATTTGAATGTGTGTTTTTTGTGTCAGGTTCATTGAGGATTCAATGAGGGAGACAAAATGGGGTTCAAGAAAGTTGGAAGAAGCAGGATTTGAGTACAAATATGATTATAAGATGACACTTAATGGAAGTCTAGAATGTGCCAAGAAGTTCTGCAATCTCCTTAACTAAACTACAGTTATTAGTTTCCTGTTCCAAACAGCAGCATGTTCAAATACTATTTATGTATGTTTTAAGAATGATTTGCTCTGAAGTTGAAACATGGTTTCCTACAAGTACAATTGAGTCAAACAAGTACACAACCTCTTAATCTTATCATACATTGAATCCTTATCAGACTAAATACTCTAGCTAATGCTGTTAATTAACTGGAAAAACATGAAGCTCAAATGGAGAAAACAATATTTAAAAAAAAAAAAAAAGAAGCAGCTACTCTAAATTTCTAGGTATGTAAGAGAAGCAAAAATATATGGAAATTTGAATTTCGACAGGAGAAAATTGATTGATTCCCTTTCTCCTCAACACTTATTTATGCTAGCTAGCTACACACAGAATTAATGCAGATCAGAATAGTAATTAGAGTTATCAGGAGAAGTACTTTGCGATATCGGTTGCATCAAGATTGGGTTGATCAGGTAGAAAATCCCAATCTTGGAAAGGAGAGTTGGTGACAGAAGTTGGGGTTGAAATGATATGATCAGTGAGATCAGATTCTGATCTGTCCAGAATTTGGCTCAGTCCAAAATCATCATCGTCGTTTTGGCCATGCAAAAACGACAAGTACATACACTCCTCATCAGATGTTGATGGAGGGGTAAACGGTGACTTGAGCGAGTTGTTTTCCTTGTCTGCTACCTCGCATTTGATTGCAGGAGGGAACGAGAAGGGAGGAAGAACATCAACATCCTTTTCCGAGGTTTCAAGTTTCTGATTTAGTCCATAGTCAAGCACCAAGCTGCTGTGTGCTTGCTGTTGCAGCTGAGACTGAGGTTTTGGGGTCTCGTTTTCGCCAGAAATCATTGGTGGATGCGAGGCTTTGCAGCTGTGCCTTCCTTTATATGTAACCTCAAAAACAGAAGCATCTGCATCAGACCTCTGAACTTGCTTTGTAGCCAAGCAGCCTTGCGTGTTGCGATGAGTGCACCTATAATATGCTCTGTAGTAACAAAAATGGACCACCATTTATTAATTAAGCCAGAAAAAAGAAGCAACTTTTCAATATTCAACAATGACTCAACCTATATATGTATTTAGGGCTGGTGTTGAAGTGGGGGGTCCACATAATGGATGCAAAATTTAGGGTATGCACCCAAAAATGAAAACACAAGTTGCACATATACAACAACTCCTAGGAACAACAATAAAGTAGAATGCTGGAGAACTAAAAACACAAGTTGCACACTTCATGTCTTCATGTATGTACAACCACTTGTTGGGAGAATAATTAATGAAACAGGGAGCATCCAAGGCTGCTGTTGGTAACACTAACATTAATACATTAAATTCTTTCAAGAATTGACTAGTAAGCTAAAAGGGGGGTTGGTGATTTTCATTGTAGTGCTAAAATATCTATCTGGGAGTCTCAATTCAAAGTTGAATTTTCAGACTGAAATGGCAGCAAATTCAAGATCCTCACTCAATAATTATAATCCAAAAGGAAAGGCAGGGGACAAATAAAAATAAAATAATAATGTTTACCTTGGGTGATGAGCCCCCAAAATATCTTTCTGGCCATATTTTCTCCAGCTATGGCCATCATCAAGGTTGCCTCCTAAAGCTGTGGCAGAGCAAATGCGGACTTGTTTGCTCCACTGTGCAGATGTCTTTCTGCAAAAATTCCAAACAAAATTTAGACCATAACACAAGATTCCAAGAGAATTGAAGAAACAAGCTAGGGGAAAAAAAATTCACCTTTTCTTGAAGACATCACGGTGGCATTGGTCCTTGGAGGAATCACCATCTGAGGCTTCGCCGGTGGAATTATTACCGAGGAGAGGAAGAGGGGAATCCAGGGCATTAGGGTCTCCAAAACAGAGTTTGAAGTTGAGCAGTGTGAGTGCGTTTTCATAGGAAGAAAGGATCTTCTCCAACAGTGGCTCACATATCTCCGGTGACGTAAAAGAATCGAGGAGCTGCCCCTTCAGCTGGGCTGCCAACTCTCTCCCCTGAGTTAGCTCATTGATGATTACCGAGCTTCCCTCCAAAACACCACCCTTTTCCATCCTCAACCTACTTTAAAAAAATGACAGAAAGCTTGAAGCTAGCTTGTAGATTGAATTCCCTGATCCAACTAAGCACCAAAGAATCGTCTTGAATCACGGGAAGAACAAGCTTGCATTTTACACTCCACGTAAGTCGTAAACAAACAAACAAACAAGATAAGAGAAGCTAGCTCAAACAAGGTGAAATACAGAAGAAGAAGAAGAAGAAGAAGAAGAAGAAGAAGAAGATGATGGAAATGGGTTTGTCGTTTTTTTTTTAGTTGGAGAAGAAGGGTGTGGTGTGGGAATGTGAGTGGGGAGAGGGGGAGTCTTTAAACTATAGAGTTGTCTGTGTATGATTGTTATGAGGTTACGATGGAAGTAGGAAGGGGAGGGGATATAAAGAGGAAAAGATATGGAAAGGGGAAAAAGAAAAAAGCGTTGTTGGGTATGTATGGAAAATTGAAAACCCAAAAAAGATGAGAGACATTTTTGCTGAAATGGTCATAATTCTTCAGACTACAAAAGAACAGTAAAATGAGAACTCCTCCAATCCACATCCACTGTGCTGACCCATTCAAAGGGACCATTCCTGGCCCCACTCTTTATATCTAATCCTCCAATTCCACACACAACATTCATTAGACTTCCACATATAATCCATCTATCCCACATTAACTAAACTTCATGTTTCTTCTTCTCCCAGGCCAATGGTCATGGCCTCCTCTTAATTCTCTTTTCACGCGTCATTCAGTCCGTCTAAATCACTGAACCCCACCATTTATCTATAAATTAATTAAATACTTTAAAATTCATATCCTTGATTCGTTAAATCACACGCATTAATTATATGCATGTATTCAATACTTTGTGTTACGTGTTACGCTCACAAAGCTGAATTGAATTTCAAATTTTATAATACAATTTGTCGCCTATACTTTTGGCCCAACCAACTCATTTACTCGTTTTTTTTTAGGTTGAATACAACACTTTCAATATTTATAATGAAAATACCAAGTATGAAGTATAGATATAGATGTCATGTCAATTCATTATAAAATCGAGATTGAGATTTGTTATAGATCATGAATTGAATGAGGGAAAAATCTCTAAAATTTCCAAAAGGAAGATTCCACTGTCTTCTAATTTCAAGAGTCAAAAAAAAAAAAAAATGGATGGTGAGGGATATGGTGACTGAAGGAGGAATCTTCAAGCCCTTTTCCGCGTTGTTGCTCATCAAAATCCCATTTAACACCTATGCCCACAATGATTTGATGCTTCATCAATTTTATTTATTTACTTCTTTTTTTAAACACTTTTTGAATATAATATCTATTTATATATACTTTTTCAACTTATTAAAGTACAAAAAGTTAATATCCGTTAGAGTTTGAATCCGTAACCTTTTATTTGAGCTATAATTTTATGTTGCTGGACCATAATGTCTTTAATTGATAGTTATGTTAAAATTGTTGCGTCACAAAAGCCAGCCCGCAGCTTACGCTGGCCATTCAATTCCGACCACAAAACCCACAATAATTATAATATAATGTTGCAATTCCAATACTATGTAGTAGTAAAACCATATTCAATATAACATGCCGAATGGAAACAGATCACAGTTAGGGGTGTGCAAACTTCGGATAATTTTCTGTTAACCGATCGAACCGATAAAATTCGGTTAACCGTTTTCGAATCGAACTTTTTCGATTCGGTTAATGGTTAAAGGAATTTTAAAATTTCGGTTAACGGTTAATCGGTTCGAAAGGTCGGTTAACCGAATTAACCGAACGATTAACCGAAGTTTTTAATATATATAAAAATAATAATATAAATATAAATACTAATTTGAAGTTATGGATGTTTGGAGTTTATAATTAATGTTTTTGTATATTTTGTTATGAATTTATTATGATATGTATTTATTTTAATTGGATTTATTATTTTAGGTGTTATTTTTATAATTTTAAATTTTAGCTTTAAAAAGTTCGGTTAATCGGTTAACCGACCGATTAATCGAAAAAAAGTTCGGTTCGGTAAATTCGATAGAGCAAACTTCGGTTCAGTTAACGGTTAAAGGAAAAAAAACTTCAGTTAATTCGATTCGGTTAAAACGGTTCGGTTAACCGATTGAACACCCCTAATCACAGTACAGTTATGGCCGCGTGTACGTCTCAGATTTTTTCTTTTTGTTTTCTTGCTCATCTTTGTAGATTGACGGAGTTTTGGTTCTTGGTAATTCAAAAACGACTGATTGTGATCGATCAGTAAAGGCAGACACTGATTGATTATACCAAGCTTTTATTATTATTATTATTATTATTATTATTGTTATTATTATTATTATTATTATTATTTGAATTATTTGATGATTGCTTTATACTTATCGAGATAAAAATAAATCTGGTATATATTTTGTTATTATACTCATATTTTAATTTCATTTTAAATCGTGAAATGATAAAGGATTACGCATGTCGATCCAAAAAATTCATCGTCATGAGTGCTGTTCATAGAAGTTGTCCCCCATGCTTTTGTGGTGCATATATATATATATATATATATATATATATATATATATATATATATATATATATATATATATATATATATATATATATATATGATTTATGAATAGTTTTTGCCAAAATGAATAATTCTTGTCATTGTGTGCATGTGAGGCCGGGTGTATGTCCCATGCTACACTTCAAAATGCCGGGTCATTATACACACATTATTAGTATTTGCAATCTAGGAAAGATTTAGGTTGGATCAATGAAACCAACTCTTTCTTCTTCTTCTTTTTTAGTATTTTTAAATTCAATTTTTTTTTTTACATTTAATAATATTTTTAATATAAATTTAAAATATACTAATACTAAACTTAGTATTATAAAAAATTAAATTAAAAATATTTTCAGTTAAGTCTGGTTAATAAAATCAGACACATAAAATAGGATAAGGGAATTGAAGTACATTATTATGAGTATATATACCTTTCAAGGTTAACAAATCAAATTAAATCTAGTTCAATTTTTTTTTTTTTTTAAATATCTGGTAATATTTTTATAATGTGAGAATGTTTTAGACATATTTTGAAATTTTAGGTTGAATTTGAACGGTTTAAAACAAATTTAGGATTTGACCTTTATGTTGAACATGCATACTTGATTGAGAGCTATTTTGTCAATAATATACAGAATGAAATTGTTATCCTGAGAAATAAATCAATGGATCAATAATTAGTCCAAAATAAATTCATAATCTTAGCTTTGCTTTGCTAGCGGGCATTAACAATGTAATATACAAAATTCGAATTTTACCGATAACAAATATATATATATATATATATATATATATATATATATATATATATATATATATATATATATATATATATATATATTTGGACACATCTATCTCATCATGTTTAATTTTATCTACTTAACCCACCAGTTTTTAGATTAAAAAAATCTAGAGATGGGTGCATGCAACGTGAATACGTGAGGAGCTGTGGAACAAATTAGGCAATGCATCAAAGTCGATGGCCAACTGTATAAATTGGCTCTGATCTTGAAATTTTTAAAGACAAAGAGACAAAAAAAGATCCGTGTGAAGCAATCTTAAGTGCATTAAATATGCCAACTCTTACCTAATATGTAATATAGGCAAGATCAAGTTAAATGAGAGTCGTCATTGTTTTCGTGCAAACATGTAAACTGCACAATCAACAAGTATCAATGATATCTTTTCAAAAAAAAAGTATATATCAATGATATATTACACAATCATATCATACAAAATGCAAATTAAATATAATAATCTAACTTTGAAAACCTATTAAGAGAGTTAATTAGGACAATAGCCATAGCCATAGCCATAGGTGGCTTGGCATCAGTACCTAAGAACTTTCTCCAATCTAGCTTCTTTAATTTAACTAACTCATATAGTCATATTATATATATTCTACTTCCCATTGTATATTATAACATCAATTATATTATTTTTAAATAGTAATCTTCCTTATAAAATCATTGAGATGAGATTAAATATTTCTCAAATAATATAATTTGACGAATTATATGAAAACAACTTTAAATAAATATAAAAGTTACGCTATGTGTTTAATTATTTTATAGTCCAAACTGTACTCCAAATTATATAATACATATATTATAGTTACTGATTAGATTCAAGATTATATGGGTAGATAGTGACGTAAATCTTTTAAATATATAAAGTGTAAAAAGAATCGTGTAAAAAGATTACTTCATTATATAGTATTCATGCAATTAAAGTGGTTAAAGAGTGGGTAATAACTCATTTTCTAACAAAATATAGATATCGATCTCCTAATTGATTATTATTATTATGATATGTTTATATTAAATTATAATTAAAAAGTAATTAGATATATTGTGAAAGTAGTTAGAGATAAGAATAGTATATAATATATAAATAAAGAAATAATGTCGCTCTCAGTTCCATGAACATGCAAAGCATTTGATTGGAAAAGTTAATGTGGGGATTGGAGGAGTGATGTGTACAGAGAGGGGATTGGGCAGTGCACGTTTTTGTTGGTGAATGGCCGTGTAACCCAAGTCTTTTGGACCAACTCAAATATATTACTCCATCTACTTTATTCCCAATAATCTTTTTTTTTTTTTTTTATATAAATACCATCAATCTAGCTTTTTTCTTTTGTTTTTTCCTTTTAAGTTCTCATTTCGTCATCAATATTCAATAATATTGGATTTTTGTTTGTTTTAATATGATTTCTCCGGACATAGTTGAATTATTGTTTATGTACACACTACTTCATTATTGTACAATTTTTTTTATTAATTACGGGGTAGTTAAAGCAAGTTAAATTAAAACTAATTTTTTAACTAACAACCAAAAAAAAAAAAATCAAAAAGAAAGCTAGCTAGCTAGCTGATGGAGAGACTTTATATTGAAATTTAGTTGGTTTCAAACCTGTGGGGTCGATGCCAACCCTTCTGCCTCCCAACTCCCAATTTCAAGTGTCTGTTTTCTATTATAATAAAGTCAAAAATAAATAAATAAATGGCAGGATATTCTTTGATGGACAATGGATAGCAAAGTACAATCATCTCCTCACCTCATATATGCAACACTTCCTTTAATTAAAGTTTGAATCATTCCAAGTAAACTTTAATTTGGTATTTGAAAAGCACTAATAATAATCAATTCAAGATTGATGTTATATTATTTGATACTCCGTATCAATTAATAATTAAATGTTGAATTTGATGAAGTAGAAATCTCATGAATATACATTATACACTATACATTGACAAAAGACAAAGCTAAAATAGATGTCCGCAGTTATATATATGTGTAATAATTAATAATTTAAAAAAAAAAAATCTTTTGATTTACAAAAGTCTGTTTGCTCTGGGAAAAATCAAAGATTACGGTCGGGACTAAATTCACATTAGTCATACTATGATGATGAAGGAGATCAGAAGTCCCAAGTTGGGATATATATGATTCAAGAGCAAAATGATTATATGATAGTACGAATATTAATGATAACAAATTAATTAACAATAATAGTTAAAGGCCACCACTACTACTACAACGTAATCAATTATATATAGATTTGCATGCCACCTTTGATTCTGCATCCATTTGCTTTAATTTAATTGCCAAAAGAAAATTCACTCCGATCCTAACTTCATTTTGCCTGCACGCATCATTCTTAAACTAACTTTAATTTTAATAATTAATTAAGATGCATTATATATACACAATAATGTAATAACTAACAAATAAATTAATAAGGTCAACAATAATGACACATTTTTAATTTAACACTACAAAAAAATTATAAAAAGAATGATCGCTATTTTTATTGAACATGATTTTCATACTTAACTTGAAGATCTCGATCAAATTCATCGCACAAATTTTTTTAATACAATTTACCTCAAATTTCGAGATTTACTCGGCTTGCGTTTTGGACGTGTACGTGAGAAGGAAGAAGGACGGAATGATGAGGTAGCGAAAGAAAGTGGAAAGTGGGAAACGCGTAAAGAAAGAAATAATGATGCGGCCCCACGTACCTAGATCTTAGGCTATATACTATACTGTGGCCTGGGCAAGGAATTAGTCCAATTTAACTCCTCCCATCTTCTTCTTATTCTTTTTCTTCTTCTTATTATTATTCTTTTCCAATTCAAATTTGAAAAGTATATGGTAGCTTTTTGTCGCATTTACACCAACCACTTGCATATATGTATCAGTCGTGAGGTCGATTAAAACTGTACGAATATAATGTACGTATGTTCGTTGTGTAACGTAACTATACGTTTGGTTGTAACGTGTACCTACGTAGTCACATACATTATATTATATATATATATTATTATTGGACTGGTCCCTTAGCTGCAGCATCTATCTGATATTAATCATTTTGGTTTGGTACGTACGTGCCAACATATATATAATGCACCGCACACCACTCAAAAGGGTAAGTGGCATGCATTCACCTCAATCTATACTAGCTTATCCATCTCGATCTAGCTGCAAAAACGTATTTTTGATGGGAGATCATATCATACTCCTCCACAACATTACAAGACCAGAAAAATAATATATATGGAAAAATAGAAATTAATGAGACACTTTGCTCTTCTGAAGAAAAGGCAACTGCTAGCGAGTAAACGGACGAAATGAGGGGGCCATGTAGTATTTCTTAATGTATTCACACCAAGCCATCTGTAAATCTATCTCCAACTTGTCTGATCTGGTACGATTCAGATTATGATTGTGAAAACAATGACACAAAGGGGCTAATCCTAACTACCTATCTAACCCAAAGCATCAAATTTTGTACCATATTTTAATTTACACTAAAAATATATTTTCTAACATATTTTTACATCAATTTTTTTTTTCATCTCCAACTCATTTACACCAAATTCTGAATCAAATTTTATTCCTTCATTAATCAAATAACACATCCAAATAAATGAGTTAATGATAATTTATAAGTCATAACATCAAAACAATGGTTTTCAAAAAAAAAAAAAAAACATTAAAACAATATTAAAAATTAAAAATACTCAAATATGAAATACTCAAATACTTCAATCATCCAAAGATTCAAAGTATCAAACTAGTCTACGAGTGTATATATATGTCATATTATATATATGTATCCGCGCGCGCGCGCACACACACACACACACACACACACATATATATATATATATATATATATATATATATATATATATAATAATAGTAATAATAATAAAATAGGCCGAGCCGATCGGGTTAACTCGACTGAAATGGACGAGTTAACTTGACTAACTTAGACGTTAGGCGGTCAAATCGGCCGAGTTAGGTGATAAGCGAACGCCTAGGCGGCTGGTAACCTAGGCGGGCGCCTAGGGGCGAATTCGCCACGGTCTAGAGGCGCCTAGACCGATTTTTACAACCCTAATTCACACCAAGCCATATGTAAATCTATCTCCAACTTGTCTGATCTGGTACGGTTCAGATTATGATTGTGAAAACAATGACACAAAGGGGCTAATCCGAACTAGCTATCTAACGCAAATCATCAAATTTTATTCCTTCATTAAAATAACTTGTATTCTCATAAATTAAAACTTTATATTAATACTTTAATTCTTTTAGAATTAATTTCACTTTTACTAGGACTATGTGGTCTAATGGTATCCGGGTTGGACTTCTATTTGGAAGGTTGTGAGTTCGAGCCTCAGTGGAGGTGTTATTGACTCTTTGTGTTTCAGTAGTTGAGAAAGTATATGAACAGATATGTAATAGAGCTAGTAGTAGTGTTCAAAAAAAAAAAAAAAAAATTCACTTTTGGTCCCACGACTTGTGAGGTTTTATCATTTTTGGTGTACAACTTTAAAATTGTTCAATTCTAGTGCCTAACTTTGTTGTTTTTATCAGTCCTGGTCCTTCTGACCAAATTGACGGCGAAATGTTGCCGAATTTTATATTTTTAGGAGTAAAATTGTCATTACAAGTAAAGATCTTCAATGTCTAAATAAAACCATTGTAAAATCAAATCTATGTGTGTTTGATCGATGAGAATGATGGAGAAGACGGACATAAACTAAACACAAATCTATGAGATTTATAGCATCGGTGATTGACAAACCCTTATTTTTCTCTTAATATGATTTTTCTTTTGTTTAGATATTGAAGATATTTCTTTGGGATAATGACTTCCTAAAAATATAAATTTGACAACATTTTGTCATTAATTTGGCTGAAAGGACCAAAACTGACAAATATAACAAAGTTATGCACTAAAATTGAGAAAAATTTAAAATTGTGCACCAAAAGTAAAATTAATTCATTATTTTAATATAAAATATAATTATAATGCAATTAATATAGCATATAACATCAATTACATTTTTATTTATCTATATTAAATATTATTAGTCTTGTTTTATCCATCTTGATTAGATCTTTCAAGTGATATAATTTATGTTTAAGTATTTAATAAAATAGGTAAATATAACTCTAAACAAAAATGATACAAAAGAATTAATTAAAAAAAAAAAAAAAAAAAAAAAGACCACGGCGAAAGGGAAAAATCTCAAAATTTTTGTGGTTGGTGAACAATAATGTGCCAAATATATATGGTGTTATACTGTTCATCCATGGCAAAAATTTGACCGTTTTGATATGTTAATTAGAGGCCATTTACGTAAAATCTGTTGGCTAAATATCAATTTGCCATCTTCTTTAGAGATGGTCATGCATGTGAAACCTCGATCTACATAATTTATCTCATCCAAATCCAAATATATATGGCCAATTGGCCACTTCAATTTAAACACGTACAGCGCAGGCCCAAACACTTTAAACCCGCAAATTATGTTGTGCAACCGAATGCACCTTGCAAGGTGCATACGGTTGCAAAACGGCGCCGTTTTAGTTTAAAAAACGCGCGTCCCACTTAAAGAAGAAATCAGATTCGATTCCCGGCAATAGCATTTTTATATATTCAGAAATTCATAACTATATAACCACAATTTCATAACTATATATCCACAATTTCATAACTATATATCCACAGTGAATGAATGAAGTAAAAATCCACAATAAATGAATGAATGAAGTAAAAATCCACAATGAATGAACTAAATATCCATAATATATGATTGAACTAAATATCCACAATGAATGAACTAAATATCCATAAATTCATAACTATATTACCACAGTGAATGAATGAAGTAAAAATCCACAATGAATGAATGAATGAAGTAAAAATCCACAATGAATGAATGAATGAAGTAAAAATCCACAATGAATGAACTAAATATCCACAATATATGATTGAACTAAATATCCACAATGAATGAACTAAATATCCATAAATTCATAACTATATAACCACAATTTCATAACTATATATCCACAATTTCATAACTATATATCCACAATGAATGAACTAAATATCCATAAATTCATAACTATATAACCACAATTTCATAACTATATATCCACAATTTCATAACTATATATCCACAATAATACTATTGCTGAGAGTCGAATCTGATTTTTTTTTTTAAAGTGGGACGCGCGTTTTTAATCAAAACGATGTCATTTTGAACCGTATGTACCATGCGCATGGTACATTCGGTTGCACAGCATAACTATTGCTTTAAACCATCCATTTTTAGCTTCAACTTTTAAAATGTGATAATCCGATCCATGCCATCCACTTCATTGTGGGCGGTTTAGGGAAAGTTGTACTGTTCATCTATATTTTATTTTGACCATATTATATTCCACTTTTGACAACTAACATTTCTGTAATTAGCTTGGTTTTTGTATGTTGAATTCAACATCTTCATTAGATGTGGATAAGTTGATATCTATACGGATCGAAGTAATATTAAAAATTTAATTTTAACTTGATTAAATGGGTGGAATTAAATTTTCTTACCAAAAAGTCATGTCACATGTATGAATTGTACACTAGTATACTATACACATAAGAGGGGATAATGACCGCATTATATATATGCATGCAAAAGTTTGGTGAATTGAAACATTGGAAAGGAAACATATATAGATGAGATCACCAGGACTATGTGGTTTTATGGCCGGTACCCGAGTTCGAGTCTCAGTGGAGGTGTTATTGGTTCTTTGTGTTTCAGTAGGGTAAGTATATGAACAGATACTACAATGTAATAGAGCTAGTAACTTTCAAAATAAATATATAGATGAGATCAATAATGAAACATGTAGCGAATGAAGCACTCACTGCAATATAATTCAAAATAACTAGTAAGTTCCAGATGAGATGAAATGAGAAACATACGTACGTACGTGGACCATATATACTTATATAGGGCCGGGAAACACGTACGTACATCGGGCAATATATATAGTAGTTTGCTAATAAGCTAAGATTTATGTGATCTGATCGATCTGATGTGTTGTAGGTGATGTTGGGTGCCTTTTGTGGGCAAAAGCATCACTGTGTTTCATTATCCAAAACCTTTCTATTTCCTCCGCTGTTCTGCCGGGTATACGCCCCGCTATCAATGCCCACCTAACCAATTCAAATACACACACATTTATATATGTTACGTTCATCAATATATATAATTGTCTTCAATCTTCATCACATGTCTCAATATATACACGGATGGATGGATGGGAGTATAATAATCTAGATTTGAATGTGTTAATAATAATAATTATGGTACGGTTTAAATATATAAAGTATAATAGTAGGTATGAATTAATTACCTATCGCCGACAATCTTGTGCATTCTATAAATAAGGTCTTCTTCTTGCTGGCTCATGTTTATGAATTCCCACTCCATGCTGCTTACCTCTACACACATTATTAACACATACGTATACTACGTACTTCAATTAATTCATTTTACATATATATACAAACATATACATATACCATGCCAGTACGTATACTAACCTTCAGTATTGCTGCAACTCTGGTTATTGCTGCTCATCTTTGAGCGTTTCTTTTGTAGATGCTGCTGCTGTTGCTCTTTAGACATACTGGGCTAGAAGAGAAGAAGGAACGGCGTAACTGAAATGTACACCAAAAGGATATGATGGAGCTAAGGTAGGTTGTTTGTGGTAATATATATAATGGTGGGGATTGAGAACATATGAAATGAAAGCAAGATGAGAGTGAGGATCGGAGTTGTCTGATATGATATATTGTTGTTATATATAGCCGTCAAGTTAACATTATATTATAATATACACGTACGCAGATAGAAATGGTGGTGGATGGATTGGATTGGATGGGATGGGATGGGATGGGTTCATAAATTTTGTCTGCATTATATTTCGCATGCTAGCAAGCTGCACCATGTCCAGTGCTGCAGCTAGTGCCTGCAAAACAACAAATTAAAGAACCGCTAGTCCTAACTATGCATTTCCTTAACTTTGACTTGTAGTTGTCATATCTATATTATATATATATGATGCCATTTAATTTATATATACTTTTTTTTTTTAAATGAACTCTCATCCACTTCTTCCATAACTTCTTATACTGTATGCATATTCCATTTTTAATTAAACAATCAAACAATATCTCACTTGCCATGCATTATATTCATGCATTGCGCGCAAAACATGCCTGCCATGGACTCACCGCCTACACGTACAACCTACAGTCCAGTCCCGTGACTTTTTCACCCATGGTGATGAATATATATATATATATATATATATATATATATATATATATATATATATATATGCTAATTAAGTTGTTAACCTAACTTAATTATTCACAATGAAGCTTGCTTGCTTGCTTAATCATACTTACATGCCAATAATGGATACGCAGCCCACACTGTAATTCAACTTAAGTATAAAATTCGATCGGTTACAGGTTGTATGGTTACTCTTGCAGGATCAGATCGGAGACCTTCAAAATTGTGAATAATATTTGGAGGTGTGGTCGTTTATATTTTATATATTATTATATAGCCGGACTATATAACAGTAGTTAAGTTAATTAAAATGTCAATTTTCACCGAAATTAAAGCAATGATATGATAAACGTTATACATACATACATTGACTAATGAAGCAAAATAAGATCAGACGGGATCTAGCTGCCTGCTGTTCTGTAGTTCATAGTTACATTCATGCATTTATTCACTTTCCATTTGTAATTTTATGATATAATCACGTTCACACTCAGCTACTACATCTACATCACATCAAACATATAGTGAAAATACAAATTATAGTAAAACATGCAGACATGACATGAAGAAAATTAAAGCCAAGGCCCCTCTAGCTCAATTTTCCTAGCTTCTAGCTCTTGCGCTGAAAGTTATCTTACAGCAAAAATCTTGCAAGGAACAAGTAGCTAGCTAGCTAGCTTTGATATATAATTCTTGGACAAACAAACAATTAAGTACCTGCATGTGTAACTAATATACGCACTTCAACGCTGTAATCTGCAAGAAGATCGATCGAATCTATGGCTGTGAAGGCATTGGCGAGGATGGAGGCTTAAAATCCGGGTACTGCACACAAATAATGACAGACAGATCAGATACATGTGTTACATACAGACATCACTGGAACGAATAAAAGAATGCAAATTAGTGAGATTTATAGAGTACGTTCTCAGAGTTAAAATGCATATATGCATGGTAATATAGTGAGTGCACTTTATTTGGCAATAATGAAAAGGAAATTACGTTTGGATATGGAGAAAGCGGTCTTGGGGTTGGGGTTGCAGTAGGTGCTTCTTCTGCTTGGACTACTTCTGTTTTAGCAACTGAATTGATCACTGGAGGCGCTGCTTCTTCTTTTGGTGTTGCAATGCTCACGTTTGAAACTGATTCAGCTGCTGCAGGAGGGCTTTCCTCTGTAGGTGCAGGTAGAGCCTTGCTACTTACTGGAGTTGGTAGAAGTGCCTTCCCTATTTGCTGATCGAATTCCACGTACAGTTGACAAGTGTAAATATACATATTCACTATTCAGATTAAGAAAAAGAACAAGAAAGCATATATTATTATTACCTTAATCTCATCTACAAGCTCCTTAGGAGCAACCTTGGTGTTTAAGAACTCATCAACTTGTTCAAGTGTTTTCTTTCTGTCCTGAAAGGGGAAAAGTGGAAATAGGTTGCGTTAAAGGAAGCTAGCTACCTCTAATTTTCATTTATTGTCTGTTGTATTGTAGTAAGTTGGTTATAGAACATCTCCTGCATTTAGATTACTGACAAACAAACCTCTGCAAACAGCAGTTTCTTGCTGAAAACTTGAATAATTGCAGCAGAACCGAGCAGTTGAAGAATTGTTTCTACCTGAAAAATGGAAACAAGAAAATAAGCTGTGCATAGATGAAAAAGAAAACATATGACTTGAGCCCGACCTCTGAAAACGCCAATGCTCCTATTCCAGCTGCTGCTGCAACTCCAAGGCCTACTGTGACCGCATCAATACCTTCCTGCAATTCACCAGAGATATATGATATGATATTTGTTTATTTCCATTCCAATAAAAACTAAATATGTTAAATTTAGGAGCAAAATAGTCCGAGGAAGATCAGTACTGATCACTTGGAAGGTTACCATCTAAAATTTATGTGGGAGAGAAATTAAACAGTGTTAACAACGAGTACATAATTGAAAAGATAAGGATTGGAAAAATACCCCAAAAGAATCAGTAAGACTGCTCAGGTCAAGACCTAATGTTTTCTTAGGAAGTGCCCAGGGGAGACTACTGTTCTGCAGCAATTGAAGTGTATTTTGAGCAAACAGTTTCTTAAACAAAACAATCAAAGCAATAAGAAGGTTCAGCAGTAACCATCCATCCTCGGCCTCCTTCTGCTCCATCTTTAATTGCATAAGCAGCTTTAAAGCCATTTTCTGTAACTAGCTCAGCAACCAGTTCCGAGCTACCATCAAATCTGGCTTCATTACAATCCAAAAAAAGAAGGGATTGGATTTCAGATATGATTATCAATTCGTCTCACAGTGCTATATATGCATAATGCCCCAAGTCCCCTCCTTTTCTCCACCCAAAAGAATGAAATAGCATAAATCTTCAATACATGCAAAATGTTCAGGCCATTTTCTCCCTTGAGATGTCTATCATTGGAAAAGATTAGTCAGTCATCTACAAATATGAAAGGCAAAAATCCTTCAAGAAAATAACATTTGCTTCATAATCGTATCCTAGAACCTATCAAGGCATCACATTACAAAATATGAATAGCCTACTTAAAAAGGTTTCCCAGAAGTCAATTGTTTAAATTCTTCTGCAACTTTAGCATGCAAGAATTCCACACAAAAACAAGACAACAGATGCAAGTATTATTATTCCTTGGTTTTACTCGAAGCAAATCTGAAATCTGGTGAATCATTGTCCAATGAAAGAATGAGGGGAAAAATAAAAACTTCAAGAATCTTACTTGTCTAGAATGAATAATGTGGTGTTCTCTGGCTCCTTGAACTTCAAAGACAGCTTCTTCAAGAACCCGGGCTTGTCCTCGCCATTGTAGCTCACAGTAACTGGCTTCTTCTTCAAGCCCCGGATATCCGGGCTCCCCACCTCCTTCAGCTCGCGAGCCGGCCTTATATCCAACAACTGTGCATTGGCATCATCAGCCAGTTTGGCATAAGCAGTCTTTGCAGACTCAACACCCCATGGCTTAGGCTTGCTCAACAACTGAGACACAAGAAGGGGCACTGCCAAAATTGCCACACCGCCAGCTACAATTACAGGGTTGTCACCAGCAAAAGTGGTCACAGTTTCCATAACCCCGCTTGGATCGAAGTCAGTGCTGACACTGGTCTGCTGGAGGGCTTCCTCATATGTTAGCGCTTTAGCTAAGCCCGAGCTCATAACAGAAGATAGAAGCACTAGCCCCCCTTTAACATTTCTTGATATAGCCTCCATGGAGTTTGAAGAAGAGAGGCTCTTGAATGGTAAAGAAGAAGGTAGCAATGGGATTTTTCTGGGTTCATTTCTTCTCTCAGAAAGAACAGAAAGTGGAGTCAATCTCAGTGCATTGACAGCCTCCATAGCATAAATCTTGATCCCCTTATGAACTAGAGTTCTCTATATATTCTGAGAGGATTGATGGAAGCTTAATTGTAGCTATACCATAACTTTGATTCTTGTGATCTGTCAAGTTTTTGGCTTTGGCTCTCACTTTTTGGTTGGTGTGGTGGGGAAGATGGCATGTTGCTGAGGTGGAAGTATCCTCCCAATACTTGAATGACATGTGTCATGATAGGATCACAGAGCTTGGATGACTTTCTTGATTGTGTGGCTCAGAATGCCCACTCCTGCGGTGATAGTATTAGTAGTAGTAGTAGTACAACTTCACTATGCACAGTACAGTACAACTTGGTACAATTCCTCAATTTTATGGAAGAGAAGATGATTGATTATAATCTTAAATTATGGATCGGAATCAATACTTAAGAAACCTCCAAATGCTCTTGAATTCCAGTAAAATTAACAGAAAATATGCAGTACAGGAGTACAGCATATGACTAATATGAGACAACACAGCTTTTGTCCTATAGTACTCAGCAAAGAAAAGGAACAATTGTGTTACAGTGGCTATGAAGGAAGCATAACAAAGAGCCAAAACTTCTGCACTACAAAATATCAAGAAAAGAATCCAATCCTTGCCCGATTTCCCAGATTGAGATGCCAGCACCCCAGGAAGCAGCTACCTCAAGCCGCTTTGCAAGTGACATGAGCGTCGGGTAAAATACTACATGCCTGGCATGTTGATCGTCAGCGTACAAGAAGAAATGCTCACCACTTTTCCCCTCCCACTGCAATGCAGGCTTGTGCTTCTCCAGTAACGATATATACTCGTGTGCTATAATAGGTCCACCACCTAAACCTGCAGTTATTGATAATTTTGCAAGTGAATGACAAGTTTTTGTTGTAACAGAAACGACTAAACTATTTATAAGCATAATTCTTGGAACAATCTTATGACATCAATATACCTCCTGAAATGACAAAATCATTTCCATAGAAATTGATGCCAAGGAATATCTTTCTAGCCAATCTCTGATCAACTCCTCGAGCACCAAGAAGAAGCTGCAATATAGAGTGTATCCAATTCAGAGGTGCATTTGGCCCTGGACTCTGCGGCCCTGAGAAGTCATAAGTCATAAGAGAGAAACCATCCACAGTGTCACCCAAACTTCTTAAATCTTCGGGCCCAAAGTCATGCTCCTGCAGCTTATCAGAATGCGGTGGGCCTATGACATAAACTAACTCCAGAGATTTCTTCATATTCCTTTCTAAGTTTACAGAATGCATGGCTTCTCCAAGTTGCCTTATGAACTGCACGGCCTGGAAAGTGAAGCAAGTATAAGCTCATTAGCGTGATTGATAGAAACTTTTCCATACAGCCAAACTATACATATTAAAACTCCAGAAAATTGGAGACAGCTCTCTCTCTCTCTCTCTCTTGAGTTATAGTTTATTGGTTTATTCCTTCAGTTTTAAGGATTAAAGAAAAATTAAAGTGAGGCAAATTTTAAAAATATTTAAATGCGAAACTCGCAAGTTTATTGGCAGAAACATTTACATCACTTCTAGTTTCTTTAATGTTTGGAACAGAAAAGTGGATAATGAAAAAGGCACAATGTAGGATCAATATGGAAAGATTAATGTGGTTCATCTTGAAAGGAGGGCACACATGATAAAGTTTCAGAAACTTACACACATAAAATAATCACTTTTCAAATAAACCAGAACCATACACTAAAACATCTAATGGCCAATGCTTTACCTTATTTCGAGTATCAGGATCATGCAAGATACCATAAGCTGCCCACCTTGACCAGGACTCAAGAACAATGCCATCATACTCCATTTCCCTTCATAACATGGAATGACCGCCAATAAATGCATTAGTGGACAGACACAAGAAAAAAGTGAAATCGTTAAAAACAAACAAAATGTAGAGAACTGTTTAGATCTCTTGCAATTATTTGGCAGTGATATCAAAACACAACCCAATTCATGTGATTAAGTTAAGGTCAAGTGTACTTGCCAAGTAAAAAAAAAAAAAAAAAAGTAAAATGGGGGATGCATACAACAACAACCAAAATGAAGACTTACTTGCACTCTGCTATAATAATTCTTATTGCTTTCTCCCTCTGTCCCTTCCTTTTAAGAAGATCCATAGGGATAGCTTCCAGAACAACTCTGGGTAAAATCTAGAACAGTGAAGATACAAATTAACATTAGCACTAGAAGTTCTAAAAGCCTCACTAGACTGTATATAATATAATCATGGTATTTGCAATTGAACCACATGCAACTTAAAATTGAAATTTTAAAAGTGTGTTTTAATCTCTACCAGAGCATCTCCTTTCATTCGAATTTCTGAAATCCATCCTTTATCAGCATTATGCCTTCCATCCAGAACTAAGTCGGTACCTTTACTGAACTCAGACAGAAAGTTAACATACAAGAGAATAACAGTCACTCTATAATTTCAGATAGGAAAAAAAGTACACATTAACAAGGCACAACTTATGTCAACACGAACATAACGATTTATAACACAAGCATGAGATTATTGTTGTTGATAATGTTATAAAACAGTTGGACAAGTAGCAATAGGATATGACATGTTGTCGGTACAATGTTGGATTTAAGATAATGAAAATTCTCATACCTCTTTAGTTCATACCAAACAGGTGACAAATGTGTAAACTTGTTGCAAAACTTCTTGGCCAGGTTATAACCTTTTGAATTCCTACACAAGTATCACCACAAAAACCATCTCTCAGAATCTAAAGCCTATGACTACAAACACCTCAAAGACCAATGAGGCAATCAACAATAGAAGACGAACCAATATCAAAGAACTGAATTTTAGGAATAAAGTGGAAGTACTAGTACTTGTGCCATATATATATAAAAGGAATAAACTTCTAGCTCTTGTAGAAAACATAAATTACAGTGCATATTTGTTCATTTCATGTGCTACCAAAAAAGCTAAAATTAGTACTATTTTGTTAAGACTGCAAAATATTAGAACCATAAGATATTATCTTTTCGGACAAACTCAACTTGAAACCATTGCCAACATCATAAAGCTGATTTTAGAAACAGCATGATTCAATTGTTCCTACCAATACTCAAAATGGTACATTTTTGGCAAAGCTGGAAGCTTGCTATAGCTCTCATTAACAATTATCCAACCACCACGCAGAAATTACCGGAAATTCGAAACATTCAAATTCCAGAATATGAAATTACCAGGGCGTAATGTAGGCTAGTACAGGATTCTGAAAATGCCGACGAGTTTCGGTTGAATCTTCAGACACCTTTGAATTCTCCTGAAATTCTTAAATTTTAACCCAACAAAAACCTCAAGAATTTTCCAAAATGAGATTTTTCTGAACAGAATTGAAAAGACGGAAACTGCGTAGACTGAGAACAATGCATACAGTGAGAACTTCGTGATAATTCAAGTCGGGCTTGACCAACTCGTGTTGGTAAAGGTATGGCTTACGAGAATCGACCACAGACACAGTAGCTGGAGAGTATATTTTCCTGTATACGAAAACAGATATTGCCGGAAATATGATGAAGAAAAGAATGTAGAAAGATATGAGCTTGCGATCTCGAGGCTTCGTGCGAGACTTTACTGGCTCGTTGTTCTGGTTTGCCGAAGAGCCGGGTCGATCATTCCGCCGGCTAGTGCTCGGCCCTAGTCGCCGATCTCGGGTTTTGGCCATTTACTATCACCACCGATACTCAGGCACCGTTCCAGTCTTCCAGAATCAATACTGAATCTTCAGTTCTTCACTCTATTTCCCGCTTATTTGTTTTTCCCTCTCTATTTTTGGCAAATTGCAACAATTTCCCATAGTTTTCGTATTACCACATTGTTACCATATTCTTTTCTTATTTACCATGTGCCCCAATATAGAAATAGCAAATTTACTTTCTAACGTTTAGTTCCTAACATGACATTAAAATTTTTGTTATGTATTAATTGTTCATGAATTGATTAATATCTACTATTTTATAAGCTTAATGACACTAATGTCCACTAGGCATTGTCACATCTAATGCAACAATCCAAGCACAAATGAGGCAAAATATATGAACAATCACATTGTTATTATAATAAATAATAAAGTAATTATTAATAAAAATTTATAAAGCAAAACTTACCAATAAGAGTAAGCGTAAAATCTTAACTATCGGAAGCAATAAATCAAAATACTTTAAACTTGATAAAAGATATTTATAATAAAATATGAAACATAATTAATTGAATAAAATAGTTCGAATAGAAAACATATTATTATAAATCACGCATCTTCTATATTGATATCATATTTATAAATACTTATTGTTTTAGTTACATCAATTTCAATTCAAGTTTTTCTAAATTAATTTGAATACGATATGCATAATATAACTTCTAATTAAACTATATTGACTATATAATTAATAAATTAATAAACTGTTTAAAATACTTTTCATAACTATGATCAGGGACGGACGGACATGCTAAATACAGGGGGCCTCCCCCCCCCCCCCCCCCCCAATCGTTATGCTGTGCATCCGTATGCACCATGCATGGTGCATACGGATGCCAAAACGACGTCGTTTTATTAAAAAACGCGCGTCTCCCAGTTAAAAAAAATTCAGGTTCGATTCCCAGCAACAACATTATGTTGTTCATTCATTCTGGAATTTTAGTTCATAGATTATGAAATTATAGTTCATTGATTATGGAATTATAGTTCATCGATTATGGAATTGTAGTTCATCGATTCTGAAATTTTAGTTTATAGATTATGGAATTTTAGTTCATTCATTCTGGAATTTTTAGTTCATAGATTAGATTATGGAATTATAGTTCATCGATTATGGAATTATAGTTCATCGATTATGGAATTTTAGTTCATATGTTATTGCTAGGAATCGAACCTGATTTTTTTTTTTAAGGGGAGACGCGCGTTTTATTAAAACGACGTCGTTTTTGCATCCGTATGCACCATGCATGGTGCATACGGATGCACAGCATAATTTGCCCCCCCCCCCCCCCCCCCCCCCCCCCCCCCCCCAAAGAAAATTTCTTTTATTAACACTGGTATCGGCAGAAGATTTAGATGAACAAGGTAATTGGGGCTTTGGGCCCTTGGCCCCCCTCCCCCCTCCAAAAAAAAATTATTAGTAGTATATTATTATTGTTTGTAGCCCCTTCGCCCCTCACCAAAGTATTTTTATTCTCCAAACAAAAACTTTCAGGCTAAGATTTCAAAATCTTATTTGATTCCAATAGTTATGTTGTGGACACAATTTTATATTCATAATTATTGAACTATATGTTCATAATTATAAAGTTATATATTCATAATTTTTGAACTTCATATTCATAATTATTAAACTTTATATTCACAATTACGGAACTCTATATTCATAATTACAGAACTATGTATTCATAAATATAAAGCTAAATATTCATAATTTTTGAACTTCATATTCACAATTATTGAATCTTTATATTCATAACTACAGAATTATATGTTCATAATTATGTTCACAACTCTATGTTCATAATTATAGAACTATATGTTCATAACTTTTGAACTATATATTCATAATTATGAATAGTTTTGGAACAATGTCCACCTTACAAGGTGGACACGGTTCCACAGCATAATTTGCCATTTGATTCGCAACTGGCCTTGCCAAGAATATGATTTCTTCTTCTTGAACATACACAATCACATATTGTCTAATAGGCTTCATATTTCTTATTCTTTTTTTGTTTCCCAGATTCATTTTTCTAAAATTAATGAATTTTTTTCTTATTGATCCACACTTTTGATTTGAATTTGTTTAAAGGGTTCTGACAATGTTTATATGTGAACTACCCATATTTAAGAAATGTTTGCTCTTTGGTTAATGGTGATTCCTTGTGGACTGACGGCTCACGGCTCTTGATCATTTAGAATTGATGATGTTTGCAAGTTGGTGGAGAAATTTTACCCTCAAGACTTTATAATATAATGATGTATTTTGGACTATGTTAAATGAATATTAATGTATTTAATTATTCTCTTTCAAATTGTGAATGGCCCCCCGCACCAACAAATCCTTGCTCCGTCCCTGACTATGATATTATATATACCTAACTTATTATAAAGTTCACAAAACAATACATCTCTATTACATTGGAGTATCTGTTCAAACATACTTTAAGGGGGTGTTTGGTTGGATGGAACATGTTTTCTTAAAAGTGAAGGAAAATGTTGTTTAATGTTGTTTGGTTGGATGGAAAACATTTTCCATTGGAAAATGGATTCCTCAAACTTGAGGAAAATGAATTCTTTGCAAAGGGGTGAGATTTTGTTTTCCACATGGATTGGGAAGAAAAATAACATGAGTGTACCATTTTACCCTTATGAAAATTTCTTAATTACATATACACTTACTTATTCATTCATCTTTTTAAGGGCATATTGATCTTTATATTCATTATTCCTTATCTTTCTAAACCCAACCAAACAATGGAATCTATATTCCCAGTAATTTCTTTTCCACCAACCAAACAATTGAATCAATTTTTATGTAATTTATTTTCCATGGAATTTCAATTCCATTTCCCTTCAAATCTTTTCCAACGAACCAAACAGGCTGTAATTTCTTAACCTATTAAAACACAAAAAGACGAATCTCATGACCTCCCATATAAGAAAGGTCACTATATATATGTCATCTGAGCACAAAGTGTTTGGCAGTAGTAAATTATTTGAATAGAAATAGATTCAAAATTTGATATGAATCACAAATCAATATATTATAAACCTCACTAGCTATAATTATAGAAAGGTTAAAAAATCACAAAGTTGTACCTATCCTGGGCGGCAGCATGCACCTAAGAGTAGGACTCTTCTCTTGTGCATGCTTACATGCATATATGCAAGGCAGTGGTTGTAGCTTCTCCAACAAGGGCCTCCCATCCGACCAGGCCAGCTGATCTGAGGACGATGGTCGACGAGAAGACCTTGAGGGAGAATCAACAACCACTTCTTAACTGCCCGGAATATATCTTACAGATCGATATGCAGCTAGCTAGCTTGCTTATATATATACTGCTTGCTTAATATAATTGTAGGTTGTCTGATCGAATATAATGCAGTAGTGACGACTCAGAACTGATTATTGAACTTCCATTAGCTGCCTGCATAGCTATTTATAGCTGAAAAAAGGGCTAACAGATAACAACTCTTGTTATGGCAATATATATGGTGGGGACTTAATATACCTTTAAGTCTTTAATTACTTAATTGCCACCAGATCAGATCATATCATCACAAAGTCAACGCCGAATGCAATATAAATATATAATGAATGAATGAATACAGAATAAAACAGCTATTCCTTCCATTACATATATACCCACGTTCTAATTAAGTCCACTACTTCACAACTTGGCTCTTTAATACGGAGTACAAATTAATTTCTCTCTATATATATATCCATATTCGCCACATGCTACAAATTAAAGAATCTAAGCATGCATGAGCAGTCATGCCGCGTCTCACATTGTAATTTGGCCCATTCAATGCCATGTTTAGTTGTTAGTTACACTGCATGCATGCATGCATCAACATCTTTCATTTTGTGCCTACGTACATACGCATTCATTACATGATGGGATGAATATATATTGTTAGTGTACAAATGATATACATTAAAACCCTTGCTTATTGGCTAATTTAATTGTCAAAATAATCATAATTTAGTTTGAATTTATCATATGAATCATGGACCATCTCCTATCAAAAACAAGGTATGAATATTATGCAAGGTAAATAAACTGGAAGTCTTCAAGCACTTGGTCCGTAATGCAATTCAGATTTGAAGATTTTAATAAATGGTTTTGATTAATCAGTGTTGCTAATTAATTGGTTGCATGGTATGATTTGTGGCGTTGGAAGTATTTGAGGAAGAAAAAATGTGGTGGGGCAGTTAAACATATTGCTAAGGAATTAATATTTTATTATGACTATGGTATTTCTCATGTGAGTGGACACCATGTGTTTGGGAAAAGTTTGTTGAAAGAGAATCAGTATAAAAGGAGGCAATTTTCTAATTGAAGTTGACGAATTACCAAGCTCTTATATTGAGAAGATATTTTCTAATTAAACTACTGGTTTCTATATTGATTTATCGTGTGAACCTTGTTGAACAGTGGGTCTGAACCTGGTTCTACATTAACACTTGAAGCTTGTAACGGCATGCACGTACAATCCTGAGTAGATGTTAGGAAGGTATTGTGGTAGTAACGGCTGGTAGCCTTTTTGTACTTACCTCTTGTAATACTCCTTGGTGAACATCTATAGTGGATTGGGCAGACGTGGGTTGCCCAGCAGACGTAGGAGAAGCGCTCCGAACTGCGTAACAATTTCTTTGTGTTTTTACTTTCGTTTATGCTTTCTGTCTTCATTATTTATATTTGTTTAACCAAGTTTAATTAATGAACGTAACTGGTGCTTAACTTAAAAACAAGTAAAAATACATTACTTTTTGATTTCAAGATTCACGGTGCAATTTCATATATATATATATATATATATATATATATATATATATATATATATATATATATATATATATATATATATATATATATATATATAATTAAGTTTCAGCGCATTTAAGTGTTTTTTGTGCGGTTGTGCGGTTTTAACGTGCGTCAGTTGTGTACTTCGATCAAGTGCGTGAGTCTTGTGCTTAATGTGCGTGAGGTTCGATCAAGTGCGTGAGTCTTGTGCTTAATGTGCGTGAGGCTTGTGCTGAATGTGCGTGGGTTTGTGCTTAATGTGAGTTGTTGTTAAAACTTGGGTGAGTGAGTTTTGTGTTTAAGTGCGTGAGTTTTGTTCTTACGGTGCGGGCGTGAGTTTTGTGCTTAACATGCGTGAGTGTTGTGCTTAACGTGTGTGTTTGTGCTTAATGTGAGTAGTTGTCGAAACTTAGGTGTCTGAGTTCTGTGCTTAAGGTGCGTGAGACTTGTGCTTAACATGTATGAGTTTTGTGCTTAACGTGCGTGGATTTGTGTTCTAAATGTATTTTGTTTGTGTGGTCCAATACAAAATAAGCAATTCAACTTTCAAAATTTTCTTCCATATATAATTCTTTTACTAATACTCTAATAGTCTAACTTAACTAACTTAACATACATGCATTGAGATAACAAAATAATGAAAACGATTTATCTCTTCAGTTTAATTTAGAGACTATTACACAAAAGTAAGTGTACATTTTTGGATAATGATTATGAGTTTTCCTTATCACAAAATTAAAGAATGAATAAGAATACTTCGTTTGGGAAAAATTAAAGATAGAAAATTTGAAAGTGGGTATATGAATGGAATGTTTTATTCTCTAATTATTCATTAGGGTTGACTTGTGGTGATCGATGTGTGTCTATGTACCACTCTATCATGCTAAGCTCTAGATATATATGCTGTGGAGTTAGTTCAAAGAATATGGCCGGCTTTGACCTACACTTATATGTAGTGACAAAGGTATTAAGTTCCCAGACCACCATATACAACATTGCAATAATAACACAAATTATCTTAAAATAAGTGATCAATATATATATATATATATATATATATATATATATATATATATATATATGTCACTTTCGTACTTGAATATCAATTCTTTTTTATACCCCATATCCTATAAGGTTTTACCTCTCATGAATCACGTATAGTTAGACAACTTGTGAACAAATTAAATCAAAATTTAGTGTAATTATTATTCAGTCATAGTATGAAAGTAAATATTATTGCATGTGCCTCTGTGATCATATCCTTGCCAACTATATATTATGACCGGATTTTAGGAAGTACAAGATGCATAATGCTTCATTTTTAGAGGGTCTAATATTTATTTTTGACTTAGTTACTTAATTTAAATTGGGAGGAACTGAAGTAGGAACTATCATTTTTACATTTAGCTGGTGTTACACCCTTCAATTCATACTTATTTAAAGTAAAAACCATATATTTTACGGTATTGATTTTAAATATTAATTTTGGTAGGATCTCATTTATTTATAAAAACTGTAGTCAAACCTAGCCCTGTATGCTATATATGGCACATATATATTCGCCATATTCAATAGTAAGATCGATAGAGATAGCTTGCATTTTAGTGGAAGTTTAACATACATATGCTCCAAAGAATCCTGAGATTTGACAAATATTTGACACCTATATGGCCTTTCTTGAGCCGAAGGAGCAAAAGCCAATGGCCACAGTTGACAATGCATATATAGATACGCGAATGCAAGTAGATAAGAGTTAATGATATATATATATTATGTACATAAATTCTTTCTTATCATCAAGACTACTTAGCTATAACTTGATCAAAATCTCAATCAATTTGACATTCATAATGCATATGTATCAAATGAGATGCTTAAAAACTCCTTTTAATCTAATTTATTCCTCGATCTAACCGGAGATAGACAAGTTGTCTAGTCACCAATCCACTAACCATCTATCTCTCTTTATAAATTTAGAGTTAAATATGCAATTATTAATGCCACTTGTTGAAACAATGAACTTCTATATTCAATAATGGTAAATGAATAAAATACAAACAATTATATTATATGTAAAAAAAAATTAAAATAAGTAAATACAACATGTTATCATAATAATTTTGTTTTTTAATAATATGGCATGTATGTTAAACTTGATTGTTTAACTGTATGTATTAAATGAGCTAACTAGTATATCTAGTTAGCAATTTTTTTCTTTTGAATGATTGAGATAAATGTTATTACTCCCCGAATGTATAAATTGGGCTAATATATATAATGCCCACATTCTAATGAAACAAGGGTGACTGATGAGCGAAGATTACTTGAGGGAGTGTGTGCACGCGCGTGTGCGTGTATATATATATATATATATATATATATATATATATATATATATATATCAACATACACCTGCAAGATCTGCTTCAATCTAGCTAAAGGGTTGTTCATAATTACCAGTGCTATGCAGACACTGCCAGAGCGAGAAGAATCTCTTCAAAATTCATAACGCAACTATATATAGATGTTTTCATGATATATAATACGGAGTACTAGGTTGGTGATGAAACAAGATAGCGTGGGGCCCTTTGTTATACGTGTCGGACCCAGCATCTACAAACTGAAAAAGATAAAACCTTATCCACAGTAAATCTCTACTCTTCCTTTCAAATCTTTTGTTTTCTCCCCCGCCGTCGTCTCTTGTTTATTTCTCAGTCATGTCCCTCCCAAGTTCCAAACTTTACTGCCGTTTTTCCCAGCCCCAACAATCTTCAATCTTACAGTTAACTGTCAAGCTGTGTCCATGGAGGCAATCGCTCAGTTTAACCAATTCAATTCCTCAATCCTTCAAAAACCATTCAAAAAGAAGCAGCCAAGAAATTATGCTACCAGTTTTAGCCTTCTCAATATGGCAGAAATGCCTGCACAAACCTCACTATCTGCCTCTCATGAATCAACTACTGTCAACTCCTTGCCTCTTCTTACTTCGTCTGATGATTTGAGTGAGCTTCAGCTTGATTCACTTAGCTCAGTCAAAGCAATGCACGCCCGGATCATAAAAATGCCCGCTAAATGTAATTCTACTGCAAAGATGCAATCTTTGACCACATCGTACTTGGAAGTGGGTGATTTCACATCTGCTGCTGTGGTGTTCTTTGTGGATTTTGCAGAAAACTATCTGCATTGGAACTCTTTCTTGAAAGAGTTCAGATCTTCAGGGGGGAACCCTTGTCAGATTCTAGAGGTTTTTGGTCAGTTGCATAGTAAAGGTGTGGTGTTTGATAGTGAAGTTCTTGCTCTTGTTTTGAAATTATGTTCCCAGTTAAAGGAAGCATGGTTAGGTCTGGAAGTCCATGCTTGTTTGATCAAGATGGGTTTTGATTCAAATGTCTATGCAAAATCTGCACTCATGAATTTCTATGGGAGGTGTTGGGGGGCTGAAGCTGCTAATCAGGTGTTTTATGGAACACCAAAAACAGGATCTTTGTTGTGGAATGAAGCTATTTTGGTGCATTTTAGGAATGAGAATTGGACAGAGGGTCTAGAAATGTTTCATGAGATGCAGGGTAGAGGTATGAAGGCTAATAGCTTCACAATTGCCAAAGCATTGCAAGCCTGTGGGAATTTGAGAGCCTTTGATGAAGGAAAGCAGATTCATGGGTATGCTTTTCGAAATGCCTTTGAATCAAATTTATTAATCAGCAATGCTTTGATCAGTATGTATGTGAAAAATTCCAATCTTAAACCTGCTGAAGCTGTTTTTATGTCAATGGAAAATCGTAACTTGTCCACATGGAACACAATGATCTCAGGTTACACTACACATGGTCATCTAAACGATGCATGGAAGCTATTTCTTGAACTAGAGTGTACTAGTATAGAACCAGACATTGTAACCTGGAATTGCCTTTTATCGGGTCATTTTTCTCATGGATTGTATCAGGAAGTCTTGATAATCCTCAGTAGAATGCAAATAGTTGGCTATAAACCGAATCCTAGATCTCTTACTTATGTTATCCAAGCAATAAGTGAATTAGGCTCCTTGCGTCTTGGGAAAGAGGTTCACTGTTATATCCTAAGAAATGGGATGGATCATGATTTGCATGTTGGAACTTCAGTACTGGACATGTATGTGAAGAATGATGACTTAGCCAGTGCTCAAGCTGTTTTTGATGGTATCAAGAACAAGAACATCTTTGCTTGGAATTCACTAATTTCAGGGTATTCCTTCAATGGCTATTTTGAAAAAGCCATCAATTTCTTGAATCAGATGAAGGAAGATGGCATTAAACCAGATTTGGTAACATACAATAGTCTAGTTTTTGGATATTCTAAGTCGGGTCATATTAAGGAAGCCTTGGCCACTTTACGTGAAATAAAAAATTCAGGGTTGAGTGTGAATGTTGCTTCATGGACAGCTCTAGTATCAGGCTGCTCGAAAAACGGATACTTTAAGGATGCTCTTGAGTTTTCCATTCAGATGCAGAATGAAGGTGTAAAGCCTAACTCAGTGACCACTGCAAGCTTACTTCGAGCTTGTGCTGGCCTCTCTTTGTTGCAGAAAGGGAAAGAGATACACTGTTTCAGCATCCGAAATGGTTTTGCAGAAGATGCATTTGTATCCACAGCTCTAATTGACATGTATAGCAAATGTGGCAGCATAAAAAATGCCTACAAGGTTTTCCAGAGAATTCAGAACAAAATTCTAGCTTCTTGGAATTCCATGCTTATGGGATTTGCAACTTATGGCCTAGGTAAGGAGGCGATTTCACTATTCAATAAAATGCTTCAGGAAAAAATTCAACCAGACGCTATAACTTTTACAGCTGTTCTCTCGAGCTGTAAGCATTCTGGACTAATTGATGAAGGTTGGAAATGCTTTGACAGTATGGAAACAGATTTTGGTGTTAGCCCCACAATTGAGCATTACTCTTGCATGGTTGATCTTCTTGGAAAAGCTGGTTTTCTAGATGAAGCATGGGACTTTGTTCAGTCAATGCCAATGAACCCTGATTCTACAATCTGGGGAGCTCTTCTTGCTTCATGTAAAGTCCATGGCAACTTGGAACTTGGAGAAATAGCTGCAAAGATGCTGTTCAAATTAGAACCATATAACACAGCTAACTATGTGTTGATGATTAATATGTATGCAGCATCTAACAGATGGCAGGATGTGAGCCGCATAAAAGAAATGATGAATGATGCAGTGGGAGCGAGAACAGAACATGTTTGGAGCTGGCTACAAATCGATCAGAAGATTCACATCTTCTCTGCAGTTGGAAAACCACATCCAGATGAAGGAATCATCTATTTTGAGCTGTACAAGTTGATTTCTGAGATGAAGCTGTTGGGGTATGTGCCTGATACTACATGCGTTTATCAGAACATTGACGAACCAGAAAAGGAGTTGCTTCATCACACAGAGAAACTGGCAATTACATATGGTCTAATCAAAAGCAGAAGTTGCAGCCCAGTTCGGGTGATTAAGAACACAAAAGTTTGCTCCGACTGTCACATGGTGGCAAAATATATGTCCCTGTTGAGGAATAGGGAGATTTTCCTGAAAGATGGCTCGCGTTTTCATCATTTCAAGAATGGTAAGTGCTCCTGCAATGACTTCTGGTAGGGGTGTAAGCATCACCATAGATGTTCGAGATTAGCAGAAGTGTTCAGCCTGTAGCATTCACTTTACAAATTCAAACTGTAAATATGACAGTGAAAATTAATGGAAATCCAGAAGCTTTGATGTATATATATGTAACTAGAAAGATACAAATATCAAACCTACCACAAAGGAAGGTCACATTACTCTGATTATTTACTCAAACTAAGGAAAGCGGTCTACACTAGATTGGCATAATAGTGTCTCCATGTTCCTATGCATAATATTATATTTACAGATACTAATAATTCAAAAGCTTAACCTACACCACAATGGAAACTCCACTCCAGAGGTTTTAGAGGATCGGAACTATAATTAGATTGAAATGGAAAAGTGGATGCCCAGCTCAAAACAAAAGCCTTTCTTTACGGCTTAATATAGGCACTAGATGCCCAGGTCACAGTTGTAGATGCAATCCCATTCCCATTCCCATCCTGCACCGCCATTCTCTCCGAGACATCTGCCAAAGCTTTCAGGTTACAGTTGATAAGGGCATTCACAAAGTAGCAGGTATCGTCTCGAGTGTTCCCTTCAGGCACATCTACCAAAAATGACTCGATCACCAGTGTTCCTGCTCTCCCATCAATTATCTCTGGATGGACTGTAATCACTGAAGAGTAGTTCTGCATCAAGACAGGTCCATTAAACAATCTTAGCAAAGCAGTGTAAGTAGCAAGCAAATAAATTCGAGTCATATCATCAAGGCCTGCAATTAAAAAGCGTATTCTTTGAGTGCAAATTAAGAGTACCTTGAGTCTGTGATCACCACCAACAATCCTGATCCCAAGGATATGCTCCTCGTCATCAAGAAGTTCCAACATTTCAGTGCTGGTTGTAGCAGGAAGTCCTGACTTCACATCTACCTCTCTAACACTCCCAATTTCAAGATCACCCAAAACTGTACACCTGCTAACAAATGGCTTATACTTCTGTGGCTGATCAAACCTCCTCACCAGTGACCAAACCTACCACCAAACACAGTAACCACTTCTCCTTAATTACAACAATTTAATAAACCAACTGAAAGTTTAGTATCAATTTAATCAAACAAACTCATCTTAATTCTCTCAATATGCAGACTAGACTAGACTAGAGACTTCAGATTCCTCTAACTCCAAAACTTGTTAAGATCATGCCACAGTAAAATACATAAATCAACTTATAAGATCAAAATTAAACTTTTGAATTATCAAAAGAAAGAAAGAAAGAAATAAAAATTCTGTTCTATTCTATTTGGACATGAAACTCAAAAAATGTAGAAAATCAAGAATCTATACAAAAACCAGGAGATTTTGCCAATAATTGAGACGTTGGCTAGATAATTAAAGTTAAAGAGATCAGACTGCTGAAACTAGAAGGATAAGGATCCAAAAATATGCATGGCTAAAACTCACAGCTAAAAAGTTACAAATTCTCCCCACTTAACATTCACGCTAACAGTAGTACAGCACAGTACCCAAACGCAAACAAGCAAACTACTAACAACGACTTCCATGGAAATCAAGAGTGTTAAATTCACAAAACCAAAACCCATCCATACAAGGAGATCGAGAAAGGAAATTTACAATATCAGTGGGAGCTTTGATGTGGTTCGTAACAATGGAAGAACACTGATACTCTGTAGGCTGATGCTTGTGGAACCTCTCTATGTACTCTGCTTCCATTTTCTCTTCCAAAACCATCAATTCCCCGGAGACAAAAAAAAAAAGCACAGAAAAGAAGACAGCTTAACCCCGAAATTCACCGAGGAAAAATAGAGGATCTTTGCGTGGTTAAATTGAAAGAAAGTCGTCTACTCTACAGAAGTGAAAGATCTTTATGCAGACTGCAAAGCATATTAAGGAGTATATTATATTATACTCGCTATTTTGTCGTTGTCAGGGTCGACCGACAAGTAACACTAACCATTTTAATAGTAAAATAATGAGAAAAAAATAGTACTCCCGTCATATGTTTCGATTTAAAAAATAATTATAATATTAAAAAGACATGACATAAAGTCAAGAACATATTTGAATGGTAAACAGGTGTAAGGAAGGTAAAAACGCATGCAAAAACAAATTCATAGTACTGAATTGTATGGTGGTTACACGTGGGAGAAGAATATTGGACGCTGGGCGTTGGGATGTTAGGTCAGAAATAATTGCAGCCCTGTTTATCCACTCACCGGAAAATCGTCGCTTTTTATCCGCTCACCCTCACAAACAGTCGTCGCTTTTTGCCATCCACAGAAGAAATTGTTACGAAAAAAACGCCTCCATATCTACAGTGCGTTTCAATTCACTGTCCTACCTTTTTCTTTCTTGTCTGTATTTGTCAATGTTCAAGTCAGTAATTCATATATGAGACTCATGCTCTATATACAATATATGGTAATAACATATTTTTGACACGTACCTGGATATATATATATAGATTCAAAGTGAGTTGAATTTGGACTGGTTTTCAAAAGGGACACTTGGTGGTGGGTGATAGGTTTGTGCATCATTGGTGACGATGAGTGAGAACTGAGAAGGGCAGGAATGAATGGAGAGATGAGGGTGCACTTGGAATCTTAATAATAAGATGACAATATTGGACCACTGGTAGGTGATTGGTGGTGGCACAACAGTTATACCATAGACTCGGATCCATTTTACATAATGAATCTGAGTCTAATATTCACAATTTACATATTAAATTATATTTAGTATGTAAATTCATTAAATTGTACATTCAGTATGTAATTGTGTAATTTTAAACTTGAATTCACCTTATAAAGTGAACCTGGGTCCACATAATAATTTGTAGTGGTGGCATGGCATGCCATTCGGCGAAATCTCCACTCCATATTGGATGCAAGAAGGAACAAATTGAGGTTGTCCTCATCCAATTAACCCAAACTTCCTCCAACTTCCAACAAATATGTTTGTCTTTATGTTGAATCTCTTGAACCCATCCTTTATCACTTGCTCGACATTATCTTCATATGGAGTATGCGATTTTGTTACGATTATTCTTTTATTTTTAAAACCATAATAGGTAAAGAAAGAAGATAATTACAACTATAAAATCAGAAATTAAAATTAACTTTTATATGTTTGGTCATGTTAAAAATTTTCGAATTAGCCATGTTCATAGAATAAGAGTGCAACGCTACAAGTGAAATATGGATCATATCAGATGTCCCCTCCAAAAAAAAAAAAAAAAGAAGTAGAATTGGGCCTCTATGAGGGTAAGTTTGGGCTACACCTGCTCATTGGGCCTATAGCATATATATTTTGGGTTTTGCTTAACAGGGTCAGTCTTTTCCTTGTTGATAGATTTGGGGCAAATTATTGTGTGGATCATGATCCACACAATGTTTTGTGCACCATAATAAAAAATGCATTTTTAATATACTAAATGTACATTATATAATATAATATACACTCAGAACAAAAATAATGTACATCCCCTGAAGACAATGTACATTATTTTTGTAATGAATGTACATTATTTTACAATAGACAAAATATGGTCCACACAGTAATAATTGTAGATTTGGCAATGGCCACGTACAAGCCCATGTGGTTGTAATTGAGTCCTTATGTAAATGGTGCTTACCGTTGCAAAAACGATGTCGTTTTAACGTTTAACTTAAAAAAAAAAAAATCAGTTTTGATTACCGTCCATAACTTCATAATTATACATACATAACTTCATAACTATACATTCAGAATTGCATAATTACACATCCATAACTTCATAACTATATATTCAGAATTGCATAATTACACATCCATAACTTCATAACTATACCTTCAGAATTGCATGCATAACTATACATCCATAACTTCATAACTATACCTTCAGAATTGCATGCATAACTACACATCCATAACTTTATAACTATACATTCAAAATTGCATGCATAACTACACATCCATAACTTCATAACTATACATTCAGGATGTGAAATTATAAAATTATGAATATATGTTTACGTAACTAACAGGAATCGAAAATGATTTTTTTAAAAGTAAAACGACGTTGTTTTTGCAACCGTGTGCACCATATTTGCCGTTGTAATTAGATTTTGCGTTAGTGAGAAGTGTGAGTAATTGAAAATGCAATGCTTCAGTTGGAAAATCAGTATCAGACTATCAGGGGTAGCTACTAGATATGCATACATACACCTAATAATTGTGCATATGTTAGGTGTTTTCTTTAATTTACGTGAAAGTATGTATTCATTACCCCAAGAATCATAAGGATGTACATTATTCGATCGACTCAAATTAAAAAAGTTAATAAACAGCTCAATAGATTATAAGAAATTAAACTCAAAATTTTGTGTTTATCAAGCTCAACAATTCGACGAATTGAACGGGTTATTCCATTTTAGGTGTTTTCTTGTTTGTGCATGTATTGAGCTTCCATAGTATGTACGTGGTTGGTTACCCAATTTGTGTTGGGTTTGAAAACAAAAAACCCTCACAACTAGGGAAGAATTAAAATTAAGCACGATCTGCACGTAACTGCAAGAAATAATTTATTCCCTAGCGCAGCTAGCTAATTTCATTGTGAGGCGCCCAAGATTATAAAGAAAAAGTAGTCATTGTTAGTCAATGGCCTTCCATTGTAAGGAGGTGAGCGGTTTCTGTGTTTCTAAATAAAAAACGTTGACGATCGATGAGCATTAAATGGTAGGCTAGAGATGCTGCCTTGGTTTCGAATGCTAACTAGCTACCTCAAACCTCTGATCTGGGCTTTACCTACACATATTATGCTTCATTGTTTCATAAGACGAAGCGAATTAAGGAGATCGATATATATATATATATATATATATATATATACACTACATAATTATTTGGACAAAAATATCTTTGCCGTTATAACTTCTGTTATCTTTCACATTATTATTACCATTTACATGCATACACAATATCTTTTTCTTACATTCTTCAATTGGTAAGTTTAATTTTATTTAGATTTAATTAAATGTTACCATAGTTATATTTAGTAATATATCATTTCTATAATTCTTACTTCATTAATATTAATATAAATATAATTCTACAATTATATATATATATATATATATATATATATATATATATATATATATATATATATATTATTTGAAAAGAAAAAGGTTATAGCGACATGCATGGTAATGAATGTTTTGAAATTAGTGAAATATGGATTCTAGTACCTATTCATCAATCGAAAACATCGGAGGAAGTGTAGCATGTCAACAATATAATATGGAATCCATTAGTTACATTGTATATTCTCGTTGCAAACAAAGGCTACCCTGTCTCTCTTAATTGTCATTATTATATTTTTATAATATCTTTATTAGCTAGGTAGGTGTTTTTGGCTTCTACTCTTCTATTTTGAACAAGTCATGCCCAAGAACTGAAGCTTTTCATTCCTTGCACTGCTCACCAAACCAAACCGTTTCTTGCAATTGCGGGCATTGCTTAAGTTTCTTAATTAGGTTTAGGTGATTGCATTGCAGGAGATCGATCAGAGACAAACGAGTTGCATGCACCGCCCCCATGGCGTGCACCTCTCTGTCGACGATCAACCCTCCCGTCACCAGAAGCTTCTTCCGCCGCTCTTTCTCCGACAACAATATTAATATATGCTGTTCTGTCAACCATATTAGGAATTCAGCCCCCGCGCACAAGTTGAAGAAAAACCGCTCCACCGGGAACATCTTTAGCCTCAAGTTTCCGAGCTCTTTCATCCCCGCTGCTCTACGCTCATTCTTACTGGATTCGGAAACGGTTAATAAGGAAATAGTACTACAAGTGGAGGAAATGGTGTTCCAGAGTGATGATGATCATAACATGACGGAGGGGGAGAGCGATCCTGATGAGCAGAGGCGGAATTGGAAGAGGTCCAATTGGGTTGAGAGGCTTATGGAACTCCGAACTGATTGGAGACACAAACAGAAGCACGATATTGATGCTGATGCAGAAAGCGAAGAGGACAACGTTGAAGGTTGCGATGAACATGAATGCGAAGTGAGCTATGACGAGGACGAAGACGATGACCAAGGGGAGATGAAGAGCATAGAGAGGACAACATTTTCCAACATGTTAAGACGTGTGTCCTCCTCAAATATTATGATCTTCTCTCGACTTGCCTTTTTGTGCAACATGGCTTATGTTATCCCAGAAATCAAGGTATGTATATGTATGTATGTATTTTGTCTCATCTCTAGCTCTCCAGCGATTAATTAGCAGAATACATATATACTGATCGATCTGATCTCTTAGATAGCTTATTGCGGGCAGAGCTGACAGCTGGTAGGATTTAACAATTTTATAATATACTATGGTGCAGGCCAAAGATCTGCGCAGATACTATGGTCTGGATTTTGTGACATCTTCAATAATGATGTTTGAGCAGGATTCCATGCCCATAGCCACAGCAGCTCATCAAAATCAAAATCAAAATCAAAATAATAAGCCCCAACAAAAGCGTAGTCTACTTCCCCGCCCACCTGTTGCTTATGAAATTGCTGCTTCAGCTGCTTCTTATGTCCAATCTCGTGCTAAGGACCTTTTATCTCACGATACTTATTCACTACAGCCCCCACCACAGGGAGATGATAAATCGCTGCCATTGCACCCGAACAAAAGCTGCCAAGAACTCGAAGAAGAGAGCACTTCATCAGAGATGGCTGCATATGTGGCTGCTGCATCAGCAGTGACTGCAGTGGTGGCTGCAGGTGAGAAGACAAAAGAGGAGGCAGCTAGGGAACTTCAGTCACCACAATCCTCACCTTGTCACTGGTTTGTTTGCGACGATTCCACCACACACACACGCTGTTTCATAATCCAGGGATCAGACTCTCTTGCATCTTGGCAGGCAAATCTCTTTTTTGAACCTACCAAGTTTGAAGTAAGTGGCCAGCCAGGATATATAGATCTTCAACCTACCTAGCTAGCTTGCTTAAGAGTGATCTGATGAGTATATATATATATGAAATGGAATTCGTCTTCTGCAGGATACAGATGTGTTAGTTCATAGAGGGATTTATGAAGCTGCAAAGGGAATCTATGAGCAATTCTTGCCAACAATAAAGCAGCATTTGAATGATCATGGAGATCAAGCTAAGCTTCAATTCACTGGCCACTCTCTTGGAGGAAGTCTCTCACTTCTAGTCAACTTGATGCTACTCACAAGAAAGGTTGTCACCCCAACCTCCCTTCTACCAGTTGTTATGTTCGGAGCACCATATGTGTTCTGTGGCGGCGAAAAAGTCCTGGAACAACTGGGTTTGAATGAGAATCATGTTCACAGTGTTATGATGCACAGAGACATTGTTCCCAGAGCATTCTCCTGCAACTATCCCAACCATGTTGCCACAGTTCTCAAACGTTTGAATGCTACATTCAGGTCCCATCCTTGCCTCAACAAGAATGTATGTGAGACCATATATATCTATCTTCACTGTAACTACTGTTTTATGCCAAAATTAAAACTGTTTGTTTCTTAACTTGCAGAAACTGTTATACTCTCCAATGGGAAAAACATTCATCCTCCAACCAGATGAGAAGCTATCACCACCTCATCCATTACTCCCTAACGGCAGTGCCTTGTATACATTGGAAAACAACAATTGTTCCTCTACCAGGAAAGCTCTAAGGGTCTTTCTGAATTCCCCTCATCCGCTAGAAACTCTGAGCGACCCAACAGCGTATGGTTCGAATGGTACAATCCTGAGGGACCATGATTCAAGCAATTATCTGAGAGCAGTGAATGAAATGATAAGGAAACACCGCATGAAACCTCCTCATGTTCTTAGGAAATCGAGAAAGCAGAGGAACATACAGTGGCCATTGTTAACTTCACAATCTCCTCATGCCTGGACCCAGGAATATTGTGGTGTAATGGAAAACACAAGTCCAGTTAGGCAGCTGGAGATAATGACTACTGGAGTATGAACATATAATTATATATAGTTTTAAGCAAATTAATTAATTGCTTCATCCGCCCGGCCTGCACATATTCTCACAAGTTATACTCACTTCTAGCTTAGCTTGTATCATATATATACTCCCCAAAACTGTAATTATATAAAAAAGTGATCGATTAAACAAGATTTTAGTATGGAACTATCCTAGTAAGCTAAAGGAAAGCCCTCAGGTAGTGAAGTTTGTATATTCACTTTTTGTAGTAAAATTAAAGCATGAAGATGAAGACCCTCATAAGAGCTTTCCATTTACAATAAATAGTTTTAGCTTTACTATCCAATCATTATATTTTCCACGACCATAACTATCACCAAACAATTTAAATTTAAATTCAGTTTGAAAACTGGTAAAATAACTCATTTTACAGAAAATAATTTATTTTGTTGGTGTTTGTCTGAATGTCATAAATGGTGGTGTTAATAATACTCTACAAACTATAAAAGAGATGAAAGATAAAAGATAAATATTGAAAATTAAAGAATTTTAAAAATATTTTCCAACTAAAAAAATCTATGAAGACAATTTCCACTGACTTTATTATTATTGAAATACCTAAACACAATAAAATTTAAAAAATGACCCCTGCAAATTATTTACTGAGTTTTCAAATTGACCCTTAATCATATTTATTTTTTGGGTGCAAAGTACACTAATATTTATATTTTATTTTAATGCAATAAGATTAATTCACCTTAATTAACTATAATCTAAATATCTCTTGCAAAGGTTGTTGAATGCATGTAAACTTGAATTCATGCTTAAGAGTTTTGGGCGCACCAAAATTGTGGGATGGATGAGAAAAGAATAAAAGGAACCTTATTTGGGCAGTTGATGAAATCCTTGTATGGGCTATTGAGAATGTTTATGTAGCTCAATGCTATAGTACTATACTCTCTATGTTACCTTCATGTAATGGCCCAATTTGTGTGTATTATATGATGATCAAATTTATAATGTAAAAAACATTGTCATTGTCAAAAATGATAAAAGTATAATTGATTGAATACTTTTCATTTTTAGTAGTATTGTGATTTACATCAATAAATAATATAATATATTAATTAGTAATAAAAAAATATACCCTTGTTGTATAGTATCTTTCAACAACAACAACCCCCCACATAAGATTTCCTACAACCACAAGCGTCGAAGCTTTTCTCCCCCGGTCTCTGCGAATTCCTGTTCTTTCACGCCCCTTTCTTCCCTTCATCCAAAGGAAGAGAAAATGTTTTGATTTTTTTCAACTTTATTTCAAACAGATTTCTGCAATTTATCAATCCCAACTCGCCGTCTTCACTCTTCCTAAAAGTGAACATCCCAATCTTTATATATATAATATGTATTGAGTTTGCCATTTAGGGTTTCTTTGATTTGCCCGACATTGCTGACTGCTCCAAATATATAGAGTTAGATTTAGAGTTTGATAAACTCTCCCCTTTAAATCCATTCATCCACTATTAGGGTTTCCTTTTCCGGGGTCTATCTAATCTGCTGGTCCCGGATGATATGATTTATATTTTTGTTTATTGTTTTGCTGTATTTTCAGGTTTCTTGTTTAAATTTTTATAACCCAGTTTATAAGTAGAGCTGTTTGAAAGAAAGAAGGTTGGACTTGGAATTCCAAGAGCATCTCGTGAGTTGCTCGAGAGAAAGATTGGCTTTTGAGGTTAGAGGTCCACGTAAAAATTGAGTATTTTCAAGTGGTTTTCTATACTTGTAGTGTATGGGTGAACATGAAGGATGGGCAGAGCCGGCTCGGCCGTTGCCAAATGGGCTATTGCCCAATGCTGCACCTGTCATCCAGGGTTTGGACTCGGAAAGATGGTTGAAGGCAGAGGAGAGAACTGCCGAACTCATTGCTCGGATTCAACCCAACAAACCATCTGAGGAGCGCAGAAATGCAGTTGCTGATTATGTCCAGCGGCTAATCACCAAATGTTTCCCATGTCAGGTTGTTTTGTCATTCTATAATTGCTGTTTTGACATGAGTACCAAAAAATATTGTTCACTTTGCTACATTGTTCTACTATGCAAATTTTTCTTACATCTGTCTTCAGGGTTCAATGGATATATGATTAGTCAATCAAAACTGCAATGACTTGTTGAAAAACACATTTTAAAGAAATTTAATAGTGGTTTGGAATATTTATTTAGAAATTGCAAGTGGAAAAACTTACAAAACTATGAACATAGTTTTCAGGCCTAAATTGTGTGTGCAAGAGTCACCACCGTATTTGAAATTGGAAATGAGATGATAAGTAGTATTACAGTTTTGGTAATTCTGTATTGATGTGTAGAACGATGATATCAAGCTTCACATCTTATAAAGAACTAGAGCATCATGGTAAAAACCTGTTTTGCACACACAGGATATGAGCTGATCAAAGTAGTTAATTGTAGTGTATTAGACTGTTCCAGCAGAGCTGACCACTTAACTGTTTGGGATAGTTATGAATCATCAATGAGCTGTCACTCTTTGTTATGAGTATTCATGGGTGGAAGGAGATGCTAGAGTTGCTGTTCTGTGTATTTTTAAATGAAGGAATTTTCTGGCCTTTTCTGCTTTAAGTGTTACTATTTTCTATTATTGTTATTTATGGTTTGTGAATTATTCTCATTTGAGTTTTCCTTTTCCCCAGGTTTTTACTTTTGGATCTGTGCCCTTGAAGACATACCTACCTGACGGAGATATTGATTTAACTGCATTCAGTGATAATCAGAGTTTGAAAGATACATGGGCTCATCAAGTTCGTGATATGCTAGAGAAAGAGGAGAAAAATGAGAATGCTGAATTTCGTGTCAAGGAAGTGCAGTATATTCAGGCAGAAGTAAGTTGTTCTCTCCATCCTCTTTTTGTTTATATTGGAGAAGTGTAATTGTGCTTAGTCTATCTATTGAATATTTCCACATTGCAACACATAACTTGTTTACGTTGGACATGTTTCTTTATTCCACATATTTTTCATTCTCCCACAACTCTGGTGCATGAAACTGAAATGGCTTCAACACATTGTAGCTTGAGTGACAGAATTGTAGTATTCAAGCTCACTAGCTACACCATTTCTATTATAACCCACTCTTTGATGAGAAGATAGCATCATCTCAAAATTTAATTGTGTTCTAGACATGCTAAGTGCCTAGTGGAAAAGTGGTAGATAACTATTATTATTATTATTTTTTCATATGAACTTTATCTGGGTGGGGAAAGTGATCTTTAATTTTTTCATTGACTTAAAAGTTGTTAGTAGCCAAATGAAGTTGTTAATGTATGCTTGTCTGGAAAGCAGTCCTTTATTATCAATCAGCATTTAAATCTGAACTCTGAAGTGCTATATTTTTACTCTCAATTTTTTGCTTTTGATTTCTAAATTTAGAACATAGAAAAAATGTTATATATTCCCTTATTTGTGATGTGTTTGAAATGCTTCTTGGAGGAGTTCAATGAAGAAAGTATTTGGAACTTGAATGTTCAGATGTCCTACTTTTTTATATTTCTATTCCATTCTCTTTTCTGGGCAGGTGAAGATAATTAAATGTCTGGTAGAAAATATCGTGGTTGACATATCTTTTAATCAACTTGGTGGGTTGTGTACCCTCTGCTTCCTTGAGGAGGTTAGTAGTGTTTTCTGGATGTCTAATGATGTGAAGAAAAGCATGAAGCTTAATATTACTTCTTGTCTTCTTTGTGTTAATGCTTTTGTAGGTTGATCACTTGATCAGCCAGAACCATTTATTCAAACGGAGTATTATTTTGATTAAGGCGTGGTGTTATTATGAAAGCCGTATACTTGGTGCACATCATGGTCTTATTTCAACTTATGCACTGGAGGCCCTGGTTCTTTACATATTTCATGTGTTCAACAAGTCCTTTACTGGACCTCTTGAGGTTTGCTATAGTTATGATCGATATAGAAGTCCCCTTTCAAGGTCTTGATTTGATTCTTTATTTTTAAGCTGAAACATATTGAACAATGTTATGAATTCTCACTGCAGGTGCTGTACCGCTTCTTGGAGTTCTTCAGCAACTTTGACTGGGATAATTTTTGTGTTAGTTTGTGGGGACCGGTACCCATCAGTTCACTCCCAGATGTAAATGGTAATAGAATGTGAAAAATTCTCATTTAATGTCATACTGTTTGCTTCTATTGGTGATGTTTATCTTGGTTGTATCTTACAGCGCAACCTCCCCGAAAAGATAGCGGAGAATTGCTTCTCACCAAAAGATTTCTGGACTCTTGTAGCGCTGTATATGCAGTTCTCCCTGGTATCCAGGAAACTCCAGGACAACCCTTTGTTTCTAAACATTTTAATGTTATTGATCCTTTACGAGTAAACAACAACCTTGGGCGTAGTGTCAGTAAAGGTATTTGAAATATTGAGTCTTTAATGACCTTTATCCCCTATCTGTTTTATGTTGATATGGCTTAGCAGTAAATTCTCTCTCTCTTTTTTTTTTTTTTTCAAGAAAATTTATTGATTATTGTTCCAAAATAGTATGAATCTACATTTGTGACTGTTGGGACAGCTATGTATCATTCTGATAGTTTACAACTTTGAGGTTCTTGTGTGTATTGCGTAGCTACTTTTGCTTGGTCATTCTGCAAATTTTTTTCTTGAAATTCTTGGCATGATTTTCCAAGTAGTGATTCATGTGGATTCTGTGTTTTGCTGGCAGGTAATTTTTTTAGGATACGAAGCGCATTTACGTTTGGTGCCAAAAGGTTGGAAAGGTTATTAGATTGTCCGAAAGAAAATGTTATTTATGAAGTAAATCAGTTTTTCATGAATACATGGGAAAGGCACGGCAGTGGCCATCGTCCTGATGCACCAGTTGCTGATTTGTGGCATCAAGGATTGTCAACTAAAGATCATCTCCCTGAACTTGAGAACTTGAGGTTCAGTACAAATCCCAAAAGAGTAAATGAAAACTCTTCTGATTGCAATGCAGAGGCTGATGGAGCTCTGCCTGAAACTTATGAGAATTCTACTTTATATGCCCAAAACCAGAGAAGTAATAAAAATTTGATCACTTCAAGGGTGTCTGATCATGTTACTAGGGAAACCACTTCTCATCAGGATTTGCATACTGATAGAAGTCAAAGAAGTTTAAAATCTGACAATTTGGTAAATGAAATCCAGGGAAGGTTTGTCTTTGCCCGAACTCAATCCAGCCCTGAACTAACTGACTCATATGGTGACATGTCCAGTCAAGGTAGGCATAGCAGATTACCAGAAGGTGTGGATATGCATCCTACTCCTACAAAGGTGGATAATAGTAACACGAGGAAGAATGCTGGATCTGAAAATTCAACTAGCAATAGTGGGCACTCTTTAAATGATGACACATCATCTGTCAGGCATGCCCCATCCCATCAAAGTCTTGATGCTGCAACTAATTCCAATAGTGGATCAAATAGCTATCACCATGATTCAGGCTTAGATGCCTTGAATGAAGAGCTTGCTTCTACCGGTGGGACACAGGCTTTGCATGAGGAAGAGCAAGATGTTGTGAACATGATGGCGGCTTCAACTTCATTTCATGGTTTTAATGGTCAAGTTCATCTTCCATTTAATTTAGCTTCAAGTCACCTTCCTTTTCCCATCTCACCTTCCTTTTTAGCTTCCATGGGATATCCTCAACGCAATATGCCTGGATTGGTTCCTACTAATTTTCCCATGATTGATCCTACATTTTCAAATGTTCAATTTCCCCATGGATTGTTGCCACCCCATATGACCCATTACTTCCCCAGCCTTGGGTTGAGCCCAAGTTCTGAAGACCCTAATGAGCGCAATAGTGAAAATTTTAATTCTACAGACGTGAGCGTGAGCGATGCTGAAAATGATTTTTGGCCAGAGCAGGATGCGGGCTCGACTGTTGGGTTTGACCCAAACAGTGGTAACTTTGAAATGCATCAGTCAGAAGAGAAGTTGCACTCTATGCCGTCAGGTCAGAACTTTGTCGCTCCATCTTGGGTAAGTGGCTCCAATAGTTCCTTGAGATATCAGCCGAAGCATACAAAGGAAAAGCGTGGGCATATCAGGGAAGACTGGCGTGATAATTTCCAGGTTCAGGATAGCGGAACTAGTGATGCTTATGCTGAAGAAAGAATGGCTAGCTCAAGGTTGTCATCCACTGCTCACAGTAGTCCTCTAAGGAGTAAGGCTTCTTCTGAGAGTTCCTGGGATGGATCATCTGCAAAATCCTCAAAATCAGCTAGGGAAAGAAGGGGAAAGAAAACAGTTGCTGCAGAAGCAGCAACTGGTTATGGAAAAGGTAAAATGATGTCTGAACCTGTACCTAATCAAAATGAGGATGATGACCAAGACTGGAATTCACTGCCAGATATTTGCACTGAAGTAGCAGAAAGAGGCCAAGGAGTTCAATCGGTTTCCTCATATAGTGTTCCTATGCCTTTCCCTCCTGAATATGAACTTGCCCAGACAAGTGGATCAGACTCGATGATGCCTATTGCACCAATGCTTATAGGTCCCGGGGGTTCTCAACAAAGATTAGGCGATAATTCTGGAGTCATTGCATTTTACCCTACAGGTCCACCAGTTCCGTTTTTCACAATGGTTAATCTTCCTTTTTACAACATTCCACCTAAGGCAGGTACTCCTGATGCATCCACAAACCATTGTGGTGGGGAAGAAAGCATTGATAATAGTGATTCTGGTCAGAATTTCGATTCATCAGAGGGACTTGACCAGTCTGAAGTTTTGAACCCTTCCCATTCTTTTAGAGGGGCTGCTATGGATGTATCTTCTCATGAACATAAGTCTGATATCCTTAACAGTGACTTCGCTAGCCATTGGCAGAATTTGCAATATGGCAGGTCTTGCCAAAGTCCAAGATATCCTGGGCCTTTGGTTTATTCCTCACCAGTAATGGTGCCCCCTATGTATCTGCAGGGTCGCTTCCCTTGGGATGGACCTGGAAGACCAGTTTCAACCAACACAAATGTTTTCACTGAATTCATGAACTATGGTCATCATGTACCCATTGCACCTATCCAATCTGTTTCTGATAGGCCCGCAAATATGTTTCAACATGATATGCCAAGATATCGCAGTGGGACAGGGACTTATCTGCCAAATCATCCAGTAAGATTGGTTTCCTTATAGAACTATATACTGTTATGGATTCTTGTGCACTAGAGTGTCTAGGTCTGATTGATTAATCTTATGACACATATTTCTTATCACAAATGATATTTTATTGCTTTTGTTCTTTTCTGGAAGAAATTTCATTTCTTTACTTTTAAGTGGATGATAACCTATGTAATTTGCTTTTTCTGCTTCAGAAGGTCTCTGCAAGGGATCGTAACTCTTCTGGTACCAGACGTGGAAATTACAACAATGAGAGAAGTGACAATGGTGACAGGGAGGGAAACTGGAATGCAAATTCAAACCCAAGAGGTGCTGGACGTGGCCACAACCGCAACCCAACTGAGAAGTCAAACTCAAGAACTGATAGGTTTTCTTCCAGTGAGAGCCGAGCAGACAGACCGTGGAACTCCTATAGAAATGGCTCATTCAATTCATACCCATCACAAAATGGTCCTATGCATGCAAATTCAAATCAGAGTAGTGGTCCAAATGTAACATATGGCATGTATCCTCTAACTTCAATGAACCCTATGGGAGCGTCTTCTAATGGCCCCCCTGTTGTAATGATATATCCATTTGACCATAATGCCAATTATGGATCACACGGGGAGCAGTTGGAGTTTGGGTCATTGGGACCAGTAGGCATCTCAGGTACAAATGAACAAGCCCTGTTAGGTGAAGGGGGTCGACCTAGGGGAGGTTTTGAACAGCGCAGATTTCATGGGCAACGGTCTTCACCAGATCAACCATCTTCACCACGTCATCCGAGGTAATAACTAGTTTTTGACTTGTGCAATATATATTAAATTATACCTTTCAACAATTCAGTCAAAATCATGGACATTGAATTTACATTCTTCCCTGTATACCTTCATGAATGATTTATATGGAAACCCACTGTGGGTGTATGTTCATTGACACCCTAGGTTTGCCAGTAGATCTAAATTTCCTAGATATAGATGTCATAGCATAAGTAAGTAAACTTGTTACAGGATCAAGAGAAAGAGAATATACACAGTGATGGTTTTTACATAGTGATGCATGCTGTAATTTTTGTAGGTAGTTGCACATACACCAAAGGTGAGGAGAGATGATAGGCTAGACTACCTTTGTTTGCAAGGTTAAAGGTCATCAGTCATCACAGCTTTGGAATAAGGAATGAGCAGAAAAATGTGGGGGTATCTAATGGTCTCTTGACCTCATCAATAATGTATTACGTTTGCAGGAGGGTATAATTGTTTTGGCAGATTGGCAATCGGAAGACAAGCTAAGGAAGGTGGTGAATTTTAGGCTGGATGGCAAGTGTGACAAGGGGGGATTCATTCTCCCATTGTTATTTGTTAGGCGAGCTTTTGTTTCGTCTGACACATACTTGATCATAAGATCCTCCCTCCGGGCATGCATTTTAGGATGGCGCAGATGCCTGCCTGCCGTTGTATGTGAACTACTGAATCGTGTATGTTCAGCTGCAGCCTCTCAAAATACATGGAAGGCAGTTTGGAGGAAGTAGGGCGGTGACATGATATGATGAGTAGATCTTAGTTGTCCTCCACTTCTTTGTAGGGAAACAGTGTAAACGAAAAGTGTAGTGTAGTGTAGGGATCTAACTTTGTTATAGTATTCAGGTTTTGTTTTTTTAGATGCATGGCTGCTGATACTATCACTGCTGTTTGGCTTTAATTTTGACATTTACAGACAGTATACAAACTAACAAACCTGAACCAACTGCAGACTACTTTTGTAATATTCTCAGATGATTTATTCATTTTTTGTCAGGTCAGTACCCAAAGTTTATCCACCTTCAATTACTATTTGTGTGTATCATATGTCATGTATATATGTTAGTACTAGAAAGATTGACAATATATATGCTTTTGTCTCCCTACTGCCTGCAGGGATAGATAGAATAAATAGGTGTTGAAATTACTCTTTTCATGGTTTGAACAAAATGATGTTGTGTTCATGAGTGATCGATGCAGACATGAATCAAATACGTACAGTGGCAAGTCTGAGCTTTCTGCTTTCGTGAACTAATATATTGTCCCAAATTTCACGTCAACCTTTAACTTGTATATTTTTGTTGGAAAATTTAACGAGGGGTAAGACTTGATGCTCTGCAAAATATGTTGCCGCATATAACCAATTCTATCTTCCCACAAAATTTGTGATAAGAAAATCGATGGAGAAGCAATCAAATATAAACTCATTTATTGTCTCACAAAAATCTTTACAATGAATTGAAATAAGATATCTTGTTTTGTTCTAGAATCTTTAAATTGATCATCTTATACAAATAAAGAAGATTGTGAACTGATCCATAATAATATAATATAAAGTATAAAATTTTAAGGTTGATAAAGCAAAAGAAATATTAATAGTTAATATTTCTTTTTCAATCTTGGTGTTTTTTTCCAATTAGGATTATATATAGTTAATCAAGTAAACGCTTACCTCCCATTCACCAAAAAAAAAGAAGAAGAAAGAGAGTAAACGCTTACCTGCTTAATTAATTAATTAAATGGTGCATGCATATATGATTAAGATTTGGTAAATCAATATATTTAAATCATCACGCTGCAAATATGCTACAGTGTTAGTACTAGCTTTAGGCTATGTTTGACAAACCTAGCTGAAAGCTGAAAAGTAATAAGCTAGGAGCTGAAAACTAAAGAGTTGTTATGATTGAAAGTGTTTGGTAAAATCAGCTGTTTGATGAGCTGATAAATGTAAAAAGACTAAAAAGGACAACTTCATACAATTTAAATTAGTTTGTTTACATATTAAAATTTAACATTTTGTCTTCAAAAAATATAACATTTTGAAATAAAACTGTTAGCATAATCACGATCTAGCAACCCATAACATCTTCATCCTATTCATCATATATATATATATATATATATATATATATATATATATATATATATATATATATATATATATATTAGATAATCAATTCAATCTTAAAATAACAATAATAATAATAATAATAAGATAAAAGGTGCGGATAAAGGATTTGTCATTTCTTTAAAATGTTTAATAATAATAATAATAAAAGATTATTTGTCATGAAAGTTGTGGATAAAAGAGAAGTAAAAAGTTTTAATTAAGAAGTTACTAACTTATTTTGAGAACATTACTAAACAGAGTTTAATTTATAGCTTATTAGTGTTTAAAATAAGTTATAAACTCCTAAACAAACTCGGCCAAATATAGCCTTAGAATGATAAGAAATGATGAGCTTGATACAACGCGAATAGTGTGAATCTGCTTGTGACTTGGGAACTCACGTCTTTTGCCACCTATGCGCCCTGTGTCAGGAAGCTCATCGTGAAGTTCATCGTAGGCTTCCCCATCCCGGGTTCAACGCCCAACCCGTCTTGGTCATGATCCCTCCCGGAGAACAAACAATGGGTCGCTAAGCGCAAGTATTGTCCATTCATAGATGGTTCTGCATTACCTGATTGTTGTTCTTCTATTGCCAATTAAGCCTGCACTGAGTATATTTTCTTTGTCTTTTTAGATCATCATATTTATAAATAAGACATGTTTCTGTCCAAAAAAAAAAATGTTTTATACGTTACAGATATGTCAATTATATTTATAATATTAAATTAAATTATATTGTATTAACAATATTGATATACATCACAGTACATACGCTATATAATTAACAATATTGATATACATCAGAATACATACGCCAAGAATACATACGCCTGCAAAGCATTATACACCTTTTAAGAAAAAGTGACAACTTTAAAAAAAAGGTGACAACTTCTGAATTGTTATCCCAACTTTTCTTTCTGGATATTCATGTCCATGTGTTTGTCTTTGTGGGAAAACCAAGCTATGACTCGAGATATTGCGGCAGTGGTACTGTACGTGCATGATGGAGAAAATCAACAATAGTGAAATTATCTCATGGATTTGGAGCCACACATTATATGCCTAACATGATCGTCATCAGGCAAATATAAACCAGTCTTTTTCTTCTTCTACTACTACTACTATTACTAGTTGTTGGTGGTGGAAGAGGAAGATGCATGACCCCCAAGGTCCATTTCTGCAACGGTGGAATAAAAGATTCTTTATTGCCTGCATATTAGCAGCGACAGTGGATCCACTTTTCTTTTACATCCCAGTGGTGGATGACCAAAAGAAATGCGTTGGTTTAGACAGGACTTTGGAGATCACTGCTTGTATTCTTCGTTCCGTTTTCGATTTTTTCTACATATTTCACATTATTCTGCAATTCCGCACTGGCTTCTTTGCTCCATCATCTCGTGTGTCTAGTAGGGGTGAGTTGATTGTGGATCCATCTGCCATAGACAAGCGATATTTCTTTTCTTACTTCCTCATAGACATCCTAGCTGTTCTCCCTCTCCGGCAGGTACGTATAAATAAAGGCGGTATAACCTTTATTCACACTTAGTAATTTTTAGATTAAGAAAACTAACGTATGTGTACTGTGCGTAGGTTGTACTGTTCATGATGATTCCCCGCGCGGACCGTCCCTTTATGCTGGTGGCCAAAGACATACTGAAGGTTGTGATTTTGGTCCAATCTGTTCCCAGGTTACTTACGATATATCCTTTGTACAAGGAAGTAACTCGAACTTCTGGGATTTTCACTGAAACTGCCTGGGCTGGTGCTGCGTTCAATCTCTTTCTCTACATGATAGCTAGCTATGTAAGCAAATCTATCTGATCGATCTACACACATATATATATAATCTCACTCACATGCGAATGTTTCGCCCACGAACGAAATAGGAATGGATTATGTCCGTCCACGTGTCAAGATCTAATGGATGAGAAATACTGATTTTTTTTAAAAAGCCTGTGGCATTTTCGTAAATAATTGAACATCGAAGTGCAAGTAAAATGCATTACAAGTGCATGTAAAATGTATTATAGGTGCAAGTAAAAATTTACACTGAGCATCAATACTAAGTGCACCTATAGTTATAAGTAGTTGCACCTATAGTTCTAAGTAGTTGCACATATAGTTATAAGTAGTTGCACCTAGGTGCATGAATGTTTGCGGGTGGTTTTCAGAGGTATTACTACCTGCTGAACTCAGATCAATGAATGTTAACCAGGCAAAATTACATGCACTTATATAGGTGAAAGTAGGTGCACCTATAGTTATAAGTAGTTGCACCTATAGTTATAAGCACACCCAGGTGCATGAATGTTTGCGGGAAGTGAATGCTAACAAGGCAAAATTACATGCACTTATACGTGAAAGTAAGTGCACTTGTAAGTGATTTTACTTGCACTTCGATGTTCGATTATTTACGAAAATGCCACTGCGTTTTTTAAGCTATTAGATCTGGACACGTGTCACGCGCTGATTCGTTCGCATATTCTTTCCTGGGCACTTATTCGCACCTGAGTGCATCCCTCTATATATATAAAATTGCACTCGGGTGCGAATGAAGCGCCCAAGAGAAAATATGCGAACGAATTAGCGTGCGACACGTGTCCAGATTTAATGGATTAAAAAAAATGCGGTGGCATTTTCATAAATAATTGAACATCGAAGTACAAGTAAAATGTATTATAGGTGCAAGTAAAATTTACATTGAGCATCAATACTAAGTGCACCTATAGTTATATGTAGTTGCACCTATAGTTATAAGTAGTTGCACCTATAGTTATATGTAGTTGCACCTATAGTTATAAGTAGTTGCACCTATGTGCATGAATGTTTGCGAGTGGTTTTCAGGGGTATTACTACCCACCGAACTCAGATCAATGAATGTTAACAATGCAAAATTACATGCACTTACAGGCGAAAGTAGTTGCATCTATAGTTATAAGTAGTTGCACATAGGTGCATGAATGTTTGCGAGTGGTTTTCAGGGGTATTACAAAACGCTGAACTCAAATCAATGAATGTTAACAAGGCAAAATTACATGCACCTGCAGGCGAAAGTAGGTGCACTTGTAGGTGAAATAGGTGCACCCGTGAATGCAGGCAAAAACTACATGCACTTGCAGAAGAAAGTAGGTGCATGTATATGTGAAAGTAGGTGCACCCGATCAATGAATGCTGACACGTGGCGCACGCTGATTGGTTCGCACGCGACATATATATATATATTAGCTAGCTAATTTTAAAGTATAAATATGCATATATAATACGAGTAATAATTAATGTCCATTTGAATGATAATGATAATGATATTGTGGCCTGGGTGCATGCAGGTAGCTGGATCCATCTGGTACATCACTGCTATAGAACGTCAAGATAAATGCTGGCGGAAGGCCTGTGAGAAACATGGCAGTTGTGACATAGATTTCCTCTACTGCACAAAATTAGGGCGTAGAGGAGGAGGAGACTTTTTGTTGTCCTTTCTAAATACTTATTGCCCTCTGCTTGAACCTGAAAATTTAAAACCTCAAGACTTTGATTTTGGAATATTTCTTGATGCTCTCAAATCTAACATAATGAAGAAGAGATTCTGGTCTAAAATTCTCTACTGCCTCTGGTGGGGGCTCAGAAACGTAAGGTTCGCACTTTTATTAGCTTTTTCCATCTTATCTTATAATTAATTAATGATATACATATATAACTACCCGTGCGTATATATAGATTTTGGTTCCTGTGAAAACAGGTCTTCCAGTGCGGTCAGTGTGACATACACCATTAGTATACATAAATGCACCATACAGTGTTCGAGAATACACCAGAATGAAATGTCAAAAAATGCACCACACCAAAAAAAATACACCACACATAATGTTGTATTTTCGAACACTGTGTGGTGCATTTATGCATACCTAATGGTGTATGCCGCACT